GGAAACACCCAAATTCGGGCAACAACAAAATACACATTTAAGCCAGGGTGTTTCTTTCTTAACGCAACGCAATGCAATACACAGAAACAAGAGAGACAAGAGGAAAAAGAAGGCGCAAGTAAAATTGACTGAAAGTTAATTCTACTCATTTAAAAAGAGTTTTGATCTCAGTGTTTAAGTAATAAGTTAATTAAATACCTCATTACCTCAACTGAAATAGAGTAAGTTTACAGTACTCCTATAGATTCGTTTTTCAACTCAAATGGTTGGTAACAATCAGTTTCCTCGAATGGTTTGAGTTGTCTTAACTTATTGGGTTTTACAGTACTCGGTTGGTTTGAGTTCTCTTCATTTATTGGGGTTTACTTTGCTGAAATTGTTTAATTTACTCAAATGGATTAAGTTCACAGTACTTATTAATGGTTTGAGTAACCTCAACTTCTTTGGTTTTTAGTGTGCGAGTGAGAGGAATCAAGCTGACGTGACATGGAGGCGTGGCAGCATCGACGATTCTATTTTTTGATTCGATAATCGAAATCAAGCATAAATTTCGATCGATTTTCGATTAAAATCGAAATCGTGACACCCTTAACAGAAAAAGATATTGTTGTTTCAAGCTGTGCGATTTTGCCCCTGCTTTGGCTCCTAAAAAAATGTATATTAAATTCAGCGGGTTTGAAGACTGTTTAATGGCTGTTCTGATCTCATTTTCCCTCCAACATGGGGAAATAATATGCTGTGTATTTATTAGGTATCATCTTACATACCTAATAAATAATTGTATGACTTAAATTGAATTTCGTTTTGTTTCAATTGATGGTGTTAAACTCAGACACATGCATGAAGGCTTGTTCATTTCTTGTACATGTCTTGATTTCCATACGTTCTGACATTATGACAACTGAAGTCTTACAGTATGACACGTTGATCATGTTTGTACAGTCGAACAAGCTGCAATCATAAAGGGCTATTAAAAATCACACAGGCTGGCTTAAGTTCATCATTAATCCAAATCTAAAATGTAGCCTCGACTCTGGAATTGTATATATATTTTTTTTCTGATAAAGTCAGTTTGAACGCTTGGGCTTGGGGTTTTTTGTTCAAACTACTTTATTTATAATGGGCTGAAACAACACAATTCTTTGGGACAACTTTAATGTTTTACAGTTAAATTTGTAAAAACAATTAAGTTAACTTAATCGATTTATGTTGAGATAACATGGAAGCAATTGTGTGGAACCCTGCATTTTATACAGTATCAATAATACTCTCCAGCTCTTATTTTCCTGCACTGTAAAACCCAACAGTCAACTTTATCAAATGTGTTACAAACCCCTGATGTTGGTCTACGGGAAAATGGGGTTTGACATTTATGTACAATTAAAATAAATTTATACAAACTGTGAACGAAGTGCAAAAGACAACCAAACTAGATCCAAACATTGTGACTTTATTTTAAATACCCAAGGTGAACAAAAATAATGAAATAACCAAAAATAAAGTAAAGAAGGTCATGCAAAAGTATACAATTTACAATATATACAATATTGGGACAAACACAAAGGCGGGGAAAAACAAGAGAGCTGGCAGAAGGGGCGTGGGCGGCGCTAAAGAAATGAAAAGAACAAAACCCGAACAATATCTTACTCCCCAGAAACATCTAACTAACTAAATATGTGAAACAAAATAACCAACTTGCGAAGAGTCTTCCGAGTCCTAACTATCTACTCTATCTATCCAAAAAGTACAAGGGGTGGCGCTCGCCCCTAACCTAATGTACTATACACAAGAGTAGTCCTACGTGTTGTAAAATGTATGTCACGTGATCTGCTTACCTGCCCACTTCGTCCAAGCCTCGTAAACAACGTAAATGAGAAATGGGACCAATGGAAAATGGAAACACCCAAATTCGGGCAACAACAAAATACACATTTAAGCCAGGGTGTTTCTTTCTTAACGCAACGCAATGCAATACACAGAAACAAGAGAGACAAGAGGAAAAAGAAGGCGCAAGTAAAATTGACTGAAAGTTAATTCTACTCATTTAAAAAGAGTTTTGATCTCAGTGTTTAAGTAATAAGTTAATTAAATACCTCATTACCTCAACTGAAATAGAGTAAGTTTACAGTACTCGTATAGATTCGTTTTTCAACTCAAATGGTTGGTAACGATCAGTTTCCTCGAATGGTTTGAGTTGTCTTAACTTATTGGGTTTTACAGTACTCGGTTGGTTTGAGTTCTCTTCATTTATTGGGGTTTACTTTGCTGAAATTGTTTAATTTACTCAAATGGATTAAGTTCACAGTACTTATTAGGATTAGTTTTTAACTAAAATGGCTTTTTGCAATTGATTTCCTCAAATGGTTTGAGTAACCTCAACTTCTTTGGTTTTTAGTGTGCGAGTGAGAGGAATCAAGGAAGACTGATAATATAAAACTCTTTTTTTCTATTCAATATTCTGTTTCAGCAGGAAATACATCACAGTAATGAAGTAAATCAGTTCAACTTCCACTTCACTAGGGTTTGGTAACTGTGGTCTGATTTGGTAATCGATATGATCGACATCTACACAGTTTGACTTGTGTTTCTCACTGAGTGAAATCACTTGCTCGGAGTGGAAGATAGATATTAAATGTTCTTTTGTAATTGAAAAGATCGATCTAACAATGCATGTTATGTAGTGTCTGAAACATTTAAACATCTGAAGATATTCCAGATAAACCAGACTATATAGAGTTAAAGTGAAAATTGTGAGACTTCCTGTGAAATTTTTCTTCCTTTTCAAATATTTGTTAAGTGATGTTTCACTGTAAGCAAGAACATTTTCACAGTATTTCCAGTAATATTTTTTTCCTCTAGAGAAAAACTTATTTTTTCATGTTGGTGGTAAAAAAAAGCAGTTTTTTAAACAACTTTTGAAGTCAGTATTATTAGCCCCTTGTAAATTTTATTTCCTATTGGCAACAGAATAAACCACTGTTTTTCAATAGCTATGTTTCCATCCACCAATTTTATGCACATTTCAGATATGCACAAAAAAACTATGATTAAATATAATACACAAGTATAAATTTGTAAGCATCATGAAAATGCTTATAAAAAGCATATGCACATAATTGGAAGCATAATGATGGTAACACTTTTACTGAACCAATTCCAGTATGCACGTTAAAACAAGTCATGTGATTTTCTTATAAGAGATCATGTGATGATAAAAATGTGTGTGAATGGATAAACTAGCAGGCTGAACACATTGTAAAACATTGGAAAAATTTTGTTTTGGTCATTCTAAAACACCTTAACCATTTCAGTATTAGTGTTATATATTAATAATTACCAAGAGTGCCTGTGCTCTGCGTCTTAAACCTTGTCTTCTGAGGCACAGGTCATTTATTAAATAAAGAAAAGATTCACGCAGCTTCTCTTATCACAGCAAATTCAGTTTTTAACTTTGATATTTGGCATCATTTAATCAGGAAATGACGATTTTGTTCTCTTTGACTCATTAGATGGGAATGTTGCTTTAATCTAGGGGTGTCAAAATTAATTGTTTCTTCGGTGCACCGCGATGCAGACGCGGACAATTCTGTATCGGTTTAGTAATAATCATAACAGGTTATTATGTACTGACGTCATTTATCTCCTATGCGCTCTGTAGCGAGGGAGGTGAGCGCAAGTATTTACAACACTCAGGCAACTCCGGGCCAGCCCGTTGCATAGGCACCATAGGCATATGCTAAGGGCGCTGTACATCCAGGGGGGCACCAGAAATGAGCGCGGTTCAGTTGGTTTTGTTTTCGATTTTCCTGACACACATTCAGTTATAGACGGCATTAACTCAAAAACCTCTTACCCTAAAAAGATCTAAAGTGTGTTTCCTACAAAAACACAAAGCTGGTTATGTTTCACAGCTGTCTTCCTTTTTTTTTTCGCTCGACATTACGGTCACTGCTCCGTTTAAGCCCTCGCAATATGTGTTTAGCCGGGACAGCTCGCGCTGAGAGGAGCTCTCAGTAAGGGACCGTGGGTAAAGTGCTTCTTTTTTTTTCGTTTTTCTGCTCCGCTCAGCGCGAGCTCTCCCTGTTGTGAGGGCTTAAGTGTGTGTGTGCGTGTGTGTGTGCGTGTGCGTGTGCGTGTGTGTGTGTGTGTGTGTGTGTGTGTGTGTGTCTGTGTGTGTGTGTGTGTGTGTGTGTGTGTTTGTTTGTTTGTTTGTTTGATGCTGTCTATGTTTGTGTATGTGTTTTAATGAGAGTCAGTGTGGTGCTGTGTGTCTGTGTTTATACAGACAGCTTGTTATAGCCTTCCCCCTAAAATATAACACTGTATATAGAAAGCACCGTCGATGCACCGAGATGTCGAATTGAACCGAATCGAAGGCATGATAAACCGAACCGAACCGTTAGACCAGTATAGGTTCACACCTCTACTTTAATCGCATATCTTTAATGCAATATTCCTCTCTTGCGCATAAATTTAATTTGCATTTTGGATGGAAACATAGATAATGGCTTGCCTACACAACCTAACATAACCTAGCTAAAAAAAATCTAGCCAAACCTTTTAATTGCACTTTAAACTAATAAGCAAGAAGTTTGAATTTTGCTACAAAAAAAATTGTTATTAGAAATTAATTATTAAAACTAAAATCTTCTGTCCATTAAAACAGCACTTGTGAAATATTTTTTAAATAACATGAGTTCATACATGCAGTCTGTGCTACTGTATTTTAATCATGGTTTACATGTTATTTCTAAAATGAACCTTGATACGATCTAACCCAGCAACAGTGACATTTCCTGCTCAGGGTTTAATGCCACAAACCTTCACAACAGCAAATGCAGTGAAAAGTTGGGGGCTGTAAAAACCACATGTCATGCAGCTAAGCAAAACTTGTAGTTTCTTATTTGAATATTGCACTTTCTGTACCATTTCCCCAATCTGTTATAGTAAGTCATTGAACTGTCAACCTATTATGACTGTGATTGTCCTTCCTATTTCAGCTCGTCCATCAACAACAAAACCAAAGAGAAGGTGGCCATCAAGAAGCTGCACCGACCATTTCAGTCGGAGATCTTTGCGAAGAGAGCATACCGTGAATTGAGACTGCTCAAGCATATGAAACATGAAAATGTAAGTGTTGCTTAAATCATAAGTGCAAGTTTAGAGCCAAACCACAATGGGGTTTCAATAGCTGGAGTGTCTTTTGCACGGCACTTGTATCACACCATACTCATTGTTTTCATTGAGAACGGTGCGAGTATATCAAATGTTTAGCTTAGCGGACTGAGTGTGTATGCACAGAACGGGATACTTGTGCCTGGAGGCACTGATGATTGACTGCTGTGTCATAAACTGTAAGTGTCTTATATAAGACACCCAGGCAGCCTTATTCAGTCAGTCTGTCCATCTAACACCATTATAATATTAGTGAAAAGACTGACTCACTTCTTGTCTTTTTTCCTGTCAATTCTGCTGTCCAACCCAAGGTAATAGGCTTACTAGACGTCTTCACTCCTGCCACCAGACTGGACGAATTCCAAGACTTGTAAGTCTTTAATAATAATCCTGTGTATGAGAAAGCTGGCTGTTTGCTATATGCCTGACATGTTTAATGAAATAGTTGAGCCAAAAGTGGGAATTCTGTGTGAAACTACTTAATTTTTTTATTCAAAAAATCATATACACAAACCGGCCACTTTATTGGGTACACCTTACTATTACCGTGTTGGGCTCCCTTTTGTATTCAGAACTGCCTTAATCCTTCATGGCATAGATTCAACAAGGTACTGGAAATATTCCTTTGAGATTTTGGTCTATATTGACATAATAGCATCATGCTGTTGCTGCAGATTTGTTGGCTGCACTTTCATGATGCAAATCTCCCATTTCAACACATCCAAAAGGTGCTCTATTGGATTGAGTTCTGGAGACTTTGGAGGCCAATTGAGTACAGTAAACTCATTGTCATGTTCAAGAAACCAGTCTGATATGATTCATACTTTATGACATGGAGTGTTATCCTACTGGAAGTAGCCATTAGAAGATGGGTACAATGTGGTCATTAAGGGATGGACATGGTCAGCAACAATACTCAGGTGGGCTGTGGTGATGACGCGATGCTCAATTGGTACTAATGCGTCCAAAGTGTGCCAAGAAAATATCCCCCACACCATTACACCACCAGCAGCCTGAACCGTTGATACTAGGCAGGATGGATCCATGCTTTCATGTTGCTGATGTCAAATTTTGATCCTACCATCCGAATGACGCAGCAGAAATCGAGAATCATCAGACCAGGCAACGTTTCTCCAATCTTCTATTGTCCAATTTTGGTGAGTCTGTGTGAATTGTAGCCTCAGTTTCCTGTTCTTAGCTAACAGGAGTGGCACCTGGTGTTGTCTTCTGCTGCTGTAGTCCATCTGCCCCAGGGTTTGACGTGTTGTGTGTTCAGAGATGCTCTTCTGCATACCTCGGTTGTCACGAGTGGTTATTTAGGTTACTGTTGCCTTTCTATCAGCTGCAACCAGTCTGGCCATTCTCCTCTGACCTTTGGCATCAACAAGGCATTTGCACCCACAGAACTGTCATTCACTGGATATTTTCTCATTTTCAGACCATTCTCTGTAAACCCTAGAGATGGCTGTGCGTGAAAATCCCAGTAGATCAGCAATTTATAAAAATACTCAGACCAGCCCGTCTGGCACCAACAACCATGCCATGTTTAAAGTCACTTAAATTACCTTTCTTCCCCATTCTGATGCTCGGTTTAAACTACAGCAGATTGTCTTGACCATGTCTACATGCGTAAGTGCATTAAGTTTCTGCCATGTGATTGGCTGATTAAAATGAGCAGTTGGACAGGTGTACCTAATAAAGTGGCCTGTGAGTGTATAGCTACCAGTGTTAAATTTCTGATGTAGATTTCTGAGCTGTATGTAAATATTTTCTAATGTCATGTAACAGATTTACAACTATATTATGGTCATTAAATTATTATTATTTCTTTTTTTTTGTTTGTTTAAGCTACCTGGTGATGCCGTACATGTACACCGATCTCTCTAAAGTCAAGGGCCTTCTTACAGAAGATCGTATCCAGTTCTTGGTCTATCAGATGCTGTGTGGACTAAAGGTCAAAACAATTTCTCACAAAATGTTCCTAACCATGCGTGATGCAACACGTTTCCAGTGGTTTGCGATTGAAAAATGCTGTGTGATGCAACACGGCCAGTCGGAACATTGTTTTTTTTTTTTTCACAGAATCGTCATATCAGCATTGAATCAGATTTAATTTCAAATGATTACTCCATATGCTTATGTCAGATAATTGAAACAATGCTTTCATTCAGAAAGGATGCATAAACCTGATCAAAATGGATAGTGAAGAAATATGTAATCTTAAGATTTTTATTTATAAATCTATTGTCTTCAATTTATTAATCAAAAATGATAAAAACTAAAAACGTATTAAACTATAGTTATGAATTGTTTTTAACAGTATAAAAGGTTTATTAAGCACAAAATATGCATATAGGAATAGCAGGATTCATCTTGCTATCACAGTAAGCTATTAAAAACATCTATACATTTTAAATCTATTAAAAACATAAAACTGATGAGATTTTTATATTATTATATTATATATAATTTTATATATTAGCATATGACATTTTTTCATTTTTATATTATATTAATATCTCCCAATATTACTGTTTAAAATGTTTTTTTTTTATTATTAAATAAATGCAAGTCTGAGCATACCAGACTTAGGGAAAGTTACTTTAGAAAGTAATGCATTTCAATATTGAGTTACTCCCCAATACATTGTTACTTTTGCGTTGCTTTTTCTGACCTGGCTGAGGCTTGATCTCTTTCAGAACCTGAAGGGGGGAACAACACACTGTATTACCTTCATTAACCTTTAAAAAAACACAAAAAATAATGTAGGATAATGTTATCTTCTGAGAACTTTTTGACCCCAGAGCTATACACAACCCGACAAAAGTCTTGTCATAGATCCTAGCAACAAATAATAACTTCACTTTTAGTTTTTATTATTTGGAAAAGTGGCAGAAGTTAGATTCTTTTCTGATGATTCATCTGTTGAACTGCACAAATCATCACAAATACTGCAGAAGGCCTATTGAAACACGCATGGACCCAAGATACTCACGGAAATCAGTCAAGTTTGGTGAGGGAAAAAAATCATGAATTGGGATTACATTCAGTATAGGGATGTTCGAGAGATCTGGAGAGTGGATGGCAACATCAACACCCTGAGGTATCAACATTTTTGCCGCCTATTACATTACAAATCACAGGAGAGGGCAGATTCTTCAGCAGGATAGCGCTCCTTCTCATACTTCAGCCTTCACTTCAAAGTTTCTGAAAGCAAAGAAGGCCAAGGTGCTCCAGGATTGGCCAACCCAGTCACTAAACATGATCATTATTGAGCATGTCTGTGGTAAGATGGAGGAGGCATTAAAGTAGGCTTGGTAATACGGTAATATGTTATACCGCAGGATCTAAAAATAGCTAGGGTGTTAGTTTCAATACCGTTATACCATCATAAAAACAATGCACTAAAATAGGAGACAAGTATTTAATATTAAATATCTTTTATTTAATGCCTACAAATACGTATGCGTGATTGTTATCGCGAAAGATTGTGTAGGAGAGAAAGGGAGAGGTGAGGTGGCGAGTCACGCACCAAGTGACCTGTAGTTTGGCAGTATTTCCAGAAGTTAGACGTGGTAAATACCTACTGCGGGAGCCGACCAGATTTCTTGCAGTGCGGGAATACATTTCTGAATAAAGCATGGGTGCGGTCGGTAACTCAGGTGTAATTTGAAAGGGAGTGGGCGCAATAACAATATCGCTCCCGAGTGAGCAATGCTTTCTCTATGTGTGTGTTTGTGTGTGAATGAGAGAGAGAGCGGTGCTGTGCATCGCTTGGTTCTCTCTCTCTCTCTCTCTCTCTCTGTGTGTGTTCATGTGCGAGATAGAGCGTCCCGCGCAGAAGAATACAAACAAGACAAGCAGGTGAAGGCGAACCTAAGGTTGCATACACGGTATTCAGTTTTTGAATGGTTTAGACACAAGCGAACAGTTTGGTGGCGCTGTCTGAGCCTTACGTCATAATTTTTTTAAATTATGCACGGTAATACCTGATACCAGGGTAAAATAGGGAGGATGTTTGACGGTATCAAAATTGGATACCGCCTAAGCCAACATTGAAAATGAATTCAAAGAATCTTGATGAACTCTGAGAGTCCTGCAAGAACGCTTTCTTTGCCATTCCAGATGACTTTATCAATGCGTTATTTGAATCACTGCAGAGATGTATGGTGTTAAGTGACAATACTTTTGTCTAAGCAAAGTAAGTCCTTACTGTCCTAATTAAATAATTAAAAATCAAGGCATGATCATATTTTATTTTGGTAAAATAAGCATAATCTAGAGGGCTTTGCCTTTCGTATGAGCCACTTCTGATACAAGTCAAGTTATTATTTAGTTGATCTTAGAGAAGTGACAAGACTTTTGTCAGGTAGTGTACATGCCGTATATCGAGGTAAAAGTAAAATCACAGTCCATTCAGATAATCCTCTTTTCCATTTCTTCCATGTGTTCAAAATAATGAGAACTTTCCATCGGAAAAAATGTAAAGCTCTGCCATCTTCCTTTCTGCCCATTCCTGCATTCTCTTATTGAGTGCAGGATTCAACATGACTACGTTCATTTTAATTTAACAGTTTACTTTTAAAAGTGAATTAACTAAACTAAAAACTAACTTGCATTACATTTTAAAAAATTAACTTAAATATTATTACTTAATATTTAACAGTAAGGCTTTACTCGTTACATAGAAAAGTGATATTATTACATGAATTGCGTTACTTGTAATGCGTTACCCCCAACGCTTATTATTTTATTCATATTTTATAATGGTAACCACTATTTTTTTAGCCCTGTCAAAGTTCAGCATTGTGATATTAACTGCATTATATATTTTTTGTTTTTTTTTCCTAAGTGGCATAATCTCTTGACCTTATTCTTCATGTATGAATTGGTGCAGCCATTGGAATCTTTTTAGCTGGACACTTCCGCTCTCATTCACTTCCATTAATTATTATACATTAAAAATCACTCGTTGTGCAGCTTGATGTTGCAGATTTATCTATTCTTATTATATTACTCTACATGTTATGTATAGTCATGAGCACACTTGTTTGTAGAGCAAGTAATTTGACTGAATTATGCAGTTTTTATTCCTAGTCATTTCTCCCATAGGCAGCAGAATCAGAAGTACTCAATCGAAAAAACGAACGCACTTCCACATCGAAGAATAAGGTCAATAATGTGAGCTCGCACATTGTTTTAACAACAATTACAGTATTGTTGAAAATAAAATTGCACAACCCTATATTAGTACACAAATTGTGCTTCAGATTGCATTCACTAACATGCACAGGCTTAGAAAAGTTGGATTCAGAACACGCATACAATATTATCCTGATGCTGAAACTGCATAAGAATGCATAAAAACAGAAGTGTCTTTTAGGCTTAAGATGTTTGCCAGTGGGAATGGTAATGCAATCTCTTAAGTTAATCCTTATTTGTGTAATACTAAAACATAAGACTGTGAGGAATAATCCTGATATTTCTTCTTTCTCTCTCTGTCCCTCTGTTTGTCTCCACTCCACAGTACATTCATGGCGCTGGCATCATTCACAGAGTAAGTGAGACTGGCAGTGAATAAACAGCATCTGCTCATAATTATCATTTCCACACAGAGCTGAATTAAAGACACATGGCATCTCTTGGGATCGCTGTAGCTTTTGCGCCGGGAGATGCAAATCTGGTCCATGGGGGAGTTTTCATCTCCACGAATTACATTTACTAATTCGCTAATATGCATTAATCAGTAGACCATCAGCAGCCATAAAAGATTAGATAGAGCAGTCACCCCTAAGTATAATTTTGTTATTTATTTTTCTTAATATATGAACTATTTTTCAACAGCTTAGATGCAGTTCTTCTAGTTGATTTTATATAATAAGGATTAAACAAGGTGGCATGGTGGCTAGCACCCTCACCACACAGCAAGGAGATTGCTGGTTCGAGCCCCGACTGGGCCAGTTGGTGGTTCTGTATGGAGTTTGCTTGTTTTCCCCGTGTTCATGTGGGGTTTTTTCGGGTGCTACAGTGTGTCACACAGTCCAAAGACATGCGGTATAGGTGACTTGAGTAAACTATACTGGCTATAGTTTATGAGTGTGTGTGTTTGTGTGTTTGTGTGTTTGTGTGTGTGTTTGTGTGTTTGTGTGTTTGTGTGTGTGTGTGTGTGTGTGTGTGTGTGTGTGTGTGTGTGTGTGTGTGTGTGTGTGTGTGTGTGTGTGTGTGTGAATAAATGTGTATTGGTGTTTCCCAGTACAGGGTTGCAGCTGGAAGGGCATCCGCTGTGTAAAACATATGCTTGATAAGTTGGCAGTTAATTCTGCTGTGGCGACCCCTGATAAATAAGGCACTAATGCCGAAGGAAAATAAATGAATGAATGATTAAAGCAGTTATGTACATTTTTGTCCAAGGATCTTTGATGAATGGAAAGGTCAAAAGATTATAAAAAAGTTATATCATAAAATTGATCAAAATTGACCATAAAGTCGTTTATAATGTTATAAAAGCATTTTAATTGATTTGAATGCTGTTCTATTCATCAAATAATCCTGATCATTTTGTACGCAGTTATTTTAAACATTGACCATTTTAATTATTGTTTCTTGAGCACCAAATCAGCTTATTATAATGACCTATGAACAACCATGGGGCAGCTAATCTTTTAAATATTAAATGTAGCCTTTGTATGCAGAAGAGACTTTTGAAAATCGTTCAACATTTGAACTATTTCTTCTATTTCATCAACATTTCTTCTAAATGTAAAATAAAAAATAACTTTATAGGAGTAAAAAAATTGTTGATCAAAATAGTCAAATACGTATATTTTCAGATGTTTATATACTGTGTGTGGGGGAAAGAAGTATTTAGCACGTCACCATTTTTCTCAGAAAACATATTTCTAAAGGTGCTGTTGACTTGAAATTTTCACTGGATGTTGGTAACAACCAAATAAATCCATATAAGCAAAGAAAACAACATTAATTAGTTTACAAATTAAGTTATATGCAATTAAATGACACAGGAAAAAAGTATTGAACACATGAAGGAAGGCGGGTGTAGAAAGGCAGTTGAAAGCCCAGAAAGCAGCTGAAATTTCTTAGTAGTTTTTCAGCAACACCTCCGCCCTTCATCATTGTAAATGAACATTGGCTGCTTCAGTCCAACATCTACATTATCAGGATGATTAAGATGAAACCAGGTCAGACATTTCAGCAAGGCAGTGATCCAAAACACAGCCACGGAAACTCTCAAATGCTTTTAGAGAAAGGAAATAAAGCTGCTTGAATGGCCCAGCCAATCCCCTGACTTGAATCCAATATACAAAAACAAATTAAAGATTAGATTTGATAGACGAGACCCAGAAAAGCATCAAGATTTTTACACTCTGTTGAAATCTGTGAAAAAAATCACACCTGAGCAATGCATGTGACTCGATTTTACAAATGAGAGGAGTCTTTAATCTGCCATCACCAAAAGAGCCTTTTATATAAAGTATTTAATACATTTCAGTAGTTCAGCACTTTCTCTTTGTGTCATTTCATTGTTATTAAACATAACAATTTTTGGGTTTTACCAAAATCTGGTTCAGTTCCATGTCAACAGCTCCCAGAAATGATGAATAACGAATATTTTTTCCACTATTGTACATTTTTAGACAACAATGCCAATATTTCACTTAAAAATAGTTTATATTAGGTAGGGGGGTGGGAAATCATTATTTTCTATAAAAACAAATGAATAAAAAATGTTATCAAGAGCAATGGGTTATATGCAAGTGGACTTTTAATTTTCAGCCAGGCAGCCCAACAACTTCAGGTGAACTGTCATTATAAAATTGTGACGTTTAAAATCTGATTTCTATAAAAATCTGCGATCTTCACTGCCTTTTAGATATACGAAATAAAGTGGGTTTCAAATCGTACAAGAATTGCTGCATTAAATTTGATTTTCCTCTGCCAAGTCTTTAAAATACGATGGTTTATTTTACCCCAGTATTTTCAATGGAATTTCTGCGCTAGCCTGTTGCTACTTGCGGCGCTTGGGGTTGCAACGGTCTTATATCTCGTTTTATGCTTAAACATCTAAATGAATGCTTAAGTCTATTTAACTGATTGTATTTGAATTACATTACAGCATCGATGCTGTAAAAACAACCTTGTGAAATTGAAGATAGTCACATTAAGCTTTCACCGGATGTTTATCATTGGATTTAAAACTCTAGCTGTGCATAGAGGCCATTGCGGAGTGTAAGTGTGGAACACTGGCTACATTTTAAAACAAGCTATATAAAAGGTGAACACACCAAATAAAGAATCTACACTACTTATCAAGACCACTTGTCATTTTCTGCAAAAAATAAATAAATAAATCTCTAAATGAATTAACATAATTGAAGTTTGGGAGATTTGTTATCCAGGGTGTTTACTCAAACACATTCCTTGCCACAGCTATATCACCCTGCAGCCCAAGACTGGTGCTCTTTGAAGCTAAGCAGGACTGAGCCTGGTCAGTACTTGGATGGGAGACCACATGGGAAAAACTAGGTTGCTGTTGGAAGTGGTGTTAATGAGGCCAGCAGGGGGCGCTCAACCTGTTGTCTGTGTGAGCCCTAATGCCCCAGTAAAAGTGAAGGGGACACTATACTGTCAGTGGGCGCCTTCTTTCGGATGAGATGTTAAAAAGAGGTCCTCTGTGGTCATTAAAAAAAAAAAAATAGCACTTCTCGTAAAGAGCAGGGGGGTTACCCCGGTGTCATGACCTCCCAATCATCTCCATCCACCGAATTGGCTCTATTCTCTGTCTCTTCACTCCACCAATAGCTGGTGTGTGGTGAGCGCAATGGCGCTGTTGTCCTGTGGCTGCCGTCGCATCATCCAAGTGGATGCTGCACACTGGTGGTGGTGTGGAGAGATCACCACCCTCATGATTGTGAAGTGCTCTGGGTGTATGGCCATACACGATAAATGCATAACATAAACACACATTACATTACATTAAATTACTAGTGATTGCAGTACATTCAGAGAAACTGAGAATTGTCAAGTGCTCTTTTTAAAATTGATTGCTCAAATTAATAGTATTGTGAATTTTGATCACGAACATCTTCCTGTAATATGCTTAAAAGACCCATGTATTTGTAGGCCTGTTTTTTGGTAGATATTCTGTCGCTACTATAAATAGCAGATTCACACTTCTTTTTGTCAGACTGAATTGTCTCCAGAAAAAAAAGATTAAATAGTTGATGCACAGTTTTTTTTTTTAACCACGAGTTCTGAAACCTGCTGTTTTGTCTTTCCTATTCTAATAATATCAGCAGGTTCAAGGCTATTTTGCTTTGTGTGAGCTTTCCTATCATGCATAGTTGCTATGAGGTAATGCCAGCGGTTTCCTGTTTGGTGAGGCACTGTCTGTACAAGCTCAGATCTGTTTAAAAATGCCCGGCTCTATGAATGTCAAAAATTAAACAGCATTCAGATGAAAGATTTCTGAAGAAACTCTCCAAGATCTTGTGCAATTGTTCAAGAACAATCTTCTCTGTCGGAAGATTTACACCTTTTTGCATTGCAGGACCTCAAACCAGGAAACTTGGCTGTGAATCAAGACTGCGAGCTGAAGGTTAGTGGCACCATTCTTTCACCATATTAGAGAAGATGTGCAGTTGACAGTAACACTGTGTCTTTGGTCTGGCTGCAGATCTTGGATTTTGGCCTGGCGCGTCATACAGATGCTGAGATGACGGGTTATGTGGTGACACGGTGGTATCGAGCCCCGGAGGTCATTCTGAACTGGATGCACTACACGCAGACAGGCAGGATGTTTGTCATTCATTCAGATGTACACACCTGTTGAAATAAACGCCAAGAGCTACGTTTACTCTGGCTTTTCAGAACAAAACTTTTGTATCTAAAATATGAGGTTAAGTGATTAATGATTTAGTCATCGATTCTACTTCAGGTAGTTTCTTAAGATTCTGTCTAATAGCACCTCTGCTGGTCTATATGAGCACTTACAACATCTCTTTGCTATAATTCCAACCAGTGTAATTGTAACAGTATATGCATCTGTCTGAAAGTATTGGGTTATATGTGGATATCTACACAGGGTTAGGTTGGGTTAAGGTAAAGTTAAGGTTATGGATAGTGCCTAGTTGTTACTTTTTACTACAAAAATTATATATATAGTATGTGGAGGAACAAACAGGACTGTAAAATGAAATGCTCAATGTGATTCAATATGCAGCAGGATGGTAAATGTTTATATTTACATGAATTTATAGAGTTATAAGTTGCGTGTTACTGTTCCATATCACTACGCTGGTTTAATTTATTTCACAGCTACATCATTCAAAAATATAATTAAATCAAAAGACTTGGACTAGATGCGTAATAAACTCCTACAGAAAAGAACTGGTTGGTGACAAAAACGGGATAAATCTCTTGAACTATAACATCTATTATATATATATCTATTATATATATTCTATTATATTATTATATATCTATTATATATATATATATATATATATATATATATATATATATATATATATATATATTATAGGTGGGCATAGATTAATTTTTTTTAATCTAGATTAAAATGGCTCATTTGAATATTGCCGAAAACATTCAGAATATATGTGCTACCCAAATAATGATTAAATATAAGTCTTTGAGAACAGGTTTCTCAAGCCAGAAGTCAGGTGGAACATTAGACCAGGAGCTCATCTCCTATTTCCAAAATGCATCACAAACTGCTTGAGAAACTGTTTTACTGTGATAATTGGTGATGAAAATAAATAATGTTCAATAAGATGTACTTGTGTTTACTAACTGTTTATTCAGTTAAACATGAATTTTAAACTGTAGGCCTACATAAGCTCAAAACAGCGATTATTTATTTATTTATTTTTATTATTATTATTATTTTTTAATGACCCTAGTCCGACTAAAGTCATAACTGAACTAAACAGAAATGGAATTTAGACATGTGGAGTATGCTTATATTAGTGGCATTATGGAAGTAAACACCACAATCAAAATATTACTGTCATATAGGGCTTTGCACCATATTTTCCGACAAGATCCATATATATATATATATATATATATATATATGTATGTATATAGTTTTATATATTTTTATATATATTTTACTCAATATTTTTCAAGACACTTCTATACAACTTAAAGTTACATTTAAAGGCTCAACTTAGGTTAATTAGGTAACCTAAGCAGGTTAGGGTGATTAGGCAAGTTATTGCATAACAACGGTATATTCTGATATTTCGATATACTATCGAAAAAATATATAGCCTAAAGGGGCAAGTAATTTTGATCTTTAAAATGGTTTTTAAAAAATGTAAAACTTATTTTATTCTAGCCAAAATAAAACAAATAAGACTTTCTCTAGAAGAAAAAAATATTATCAGACATACTGTGAAAATTTCCTTGCTCTGGAGAGAAATAATTGAGAAATAATTTAAAAAAAGAAGAAAAAATAATTTGACTTTAATTGTATATATACACATACACACAGTCAAGCCAGAAATTATATAAACCCCTGGCAAATTACTTCTACATTATTCACTCAGCAATTGTTTTAGACCAGAAATGACACAGGCTTTTGCCAAAAGATAATAAGACAATGTATAAAAGGCCTCGCTGTGGAAAAAAATATTTTTTAGAATTTGCCAGGGGTATGAATAATTTTGGGCTTTACTATATTTATAATTCTAAACTAATTAAAAAGCAGAAAAAAAGAAATCTTATTTACTAGATACTAAATTAAATAGTCAGGCTCCTCCCAACCATTCATTTAGGGTGCTTTCACACCTAGACTTTTGGTTCAGAAACTATCTCCTTTGCCCAGTTAGCACGGTTCGTTTGGCATATGTGAAACAAGCAACCGCACTCGTATCCGCGCCAAATCAATCGGGTCTGAGATCGCCTGAATGATGTGGTCTCGATTGAAACCAATTCTGGAGGGATCGATTGTAGTGAGAAACCAAAACGATTTGAGCCCGGCTATATTACAGTGTATTATGGATATGTAATAGGCATATATGACTATAAGAAGAGAGAATTATAAGTAGGGCGAGATGACAATCCTACCAGCAATTGTGCGTTTTATGTTAACTGTCAACGAGAGCTGTTTATCCGTTAGAAACATTAACCGAACTGCAGTCTAGCCAAGGGCTATGCATGAGTCTTACCTCTGATTTATATCTGGTGATGATGTCTGTGGGCGTCACCATTCAAAATTAAAGCACAGCTTTCCGCTTATTATGTCTCATTGCTCATTGCCATCGTCTGTTTAGAAACTTTGCCGTGTGAAAGCAAACCGCACCAAGAACAAAGAGCAACATTGTAACAATTTTAATCCCTGTTTCGGAACAAATGAATTGATTCACAGGTGTGAAAGCACCCTTAGATATATTCTAATTCCATATTCCAATCAAAACTTATTTTGCCAGATTTTTCTTGTATATAAAATAATTTAGCACAACACAAAATAATGTTCTTACATAATTAAAGTTCATTATATAAGAACATTATTTTGTGTTGTGCTAAATTATTTTATATACAAGTAAATCTGGCAAAATACGTTTTACACAATGTAGCTATTACTAAAATCAATCAAACAGATTGTTGCTGTGCGGATGACCTGAATGTCCTTTATTTTTTGTTTACTGGTGGTTTATAGTTCAATATTTGTGATTGTTGCATTTTCTCTTTTTGTAGTGGATATCTGGTCTGTTGGGTGCATCATGGGTGAAATGTTCAATGGAAAAACACTCTTTAAAGGAAAAGACTGTATCCTTTACTTTGCCTAAATTATTTACAGTTTTTACTATTTAATCTGATCTCATTGAATGTCTACAGGAATTCTACTGTTGTGCTCCACTGATAACAGACATGAGTGCTGTTTTGTTTCCTAAATTTCAAGTGTTTGACATACAGTAGATGCAATTGCATTTAGAAATGCTTTTCCCACTTTTGCCTACTTTTTCAATTACAGAAATAGTTTGGAAATGACTTTCTGTCTGGGGCGGATCTAGAAAATTCTTTATGGGGCGGCATGACAAATTTGAGGGGTGGCACAGCCTCTTTGCACGATTATTGCTGTACATTTAATGCTTCATCAACTTCGCTATTTAGTTGACTAGCTAGCAACTACCTCAAAAATTTTTATTTTTATTTTTTAATCCTAAAACATTCTTCATTCATTCATTTTCTTGTCGGCTTAGTCCCTTTATTAATCCGGGGTCCCCACAGCGGAATGAACTGCCAATTTGTCCAGCAAGTTTTTACGCAGCGCAACCCATCTCTGGGAAACATTCACACACACATTCAAACACACACTCATAAACTACAGACAATTTAGCCTACCCAATTCACCTGTACTGCATGTCTTTGGACTGTGGGGGAAACCGGAGCACCCGGAGGAAACCCACGCGAAGGCAGGGACAACATGCAAACTCCACACAGAAATGCCAACTGAGCCGAGGTTCGAACCAGCGACCTTCTTGCTGTGAGGCAACAGCACTACCTACTGCGCCACTGCATCGCCTTAAAACATTCTTGCAACTTATAGTAATAACTCAACTTAATTTCATCAACATTTTCTATAATAAATATCCTTCTGCTCGAGAGGTTTCGAATGATGATATCTTTTTAATATTTTTATTGTACTATTGTAAAGGCTACAAATAAGATTGATAGTTTTATAGTGAAGCACTTTTCAGATTTAGTATAATAATAATTATATAATAATAATAATTTTTCAGATTTAGTATAAGTGGCAACTTTTGCTCTAACGTTACGTGATTTCCCACATAGTCCAAAGACATTCAATAGAGGTGCATTGTGTAAACAAAATTGGCCGTAGTGTATGAATGAGAGAGTGTATGGATGTTTCCCAAGACTGGGAAGGGCGTTCACTGCATAAAACATATGCCAGAGTAATAGACGGTTCATTCCACTGTGTCAACCGCTGATAAATCAGGGACTAAAGCCCCTTTCACACAGTGATACCGGTAAATATCTGGAAAATTTCCGGAACGACTTTACCGGTATGTTCAAAAAAGCGCTGTTCACACAGGCGAGGACGTTACGGAAATTTTCCGGAAAAGAGCATTCACACATCCATTACAAAATACCGGTAAATTCTGACATCATTCACCACAAATGAGCTTTAAACGGCTGCGCTTGTATTTGTAAACATTTGACTAAATTACAGACTCTGTGGATGATCAATATTGTAAACAACTTTCACAGGATCACTTTCGCATGTCGAGATGTTTATAATATGTGCGTGTGCAGGCGCTCACAGGCTGTTTCACAGGCACACGCAAAGGTTGAAGGTAAACAAACAACGGCTTATCATAAGCATCTCATCGATGATTATTTACACAGTTGGCATTAAGAAGAACATATAAACGTGATCTGACTAACTTCTAGCAGCTAAATGTGTCTAGAAAAATATTCAAAGGCTTTTATTTTCATAAACCGCGCGGACGTAAATGCGTCTTGACTGTTGTGATTGGCTAAAGCAGACGTCTCACGTCAGCACGTTCTAGACGTGCACGCGCTTATTACGGCAATCTTCCTTCTGCATTCACACAGCGCAGCATTCCGGCAAATTGCCGGTAATGTTACAACTTCTCTTTCCGGAAAATAGCCAGAACGAATTTACCGGTATTTCCAAAAAGGACCTGTTCACACATACACACCTTTCCGGAAAATTGCAGGCAATTTTCCGGAAAGGTCTGTATGTGTGAAAGGGGCTTAAGTCAAAAGTGAGTGTGATTATGGATTTTAGCTTGACTTCCACTGTAAATGGAACTAAATTTCATGAAATAGCACAGATCCTGGTCAGTGTTTTAATTTCTGTTGTTCTACCTGCAGATCTGATGTATAAGGGACGGTGTTTGACATTGTTTCATTTACATAACATGATGATCATTGCATTTATCTTGCAGAATATATCTTGCCCTCACTGCAATAAATATGCTATTTTCACGCACTTCCTTTTTAGATTTCCACCTGTCAGTTTCGATACGGTGTCATGCTAACCCCTTACTTCCTCTTCCTACTTTATTAAAGTCCAAATGACTTTATGAGTTTATAACACTGTCAGTATTAGTATTTTAAAAAATAAGTCCTACGATGCGGCACTTATAAATTATGACTATATCTGGAAACTTGGAGCTGTGGAGTCTGCAGCTGCATGATTCACAAAAATATCAGTGCATAGTTATCATGCTTTAATATTTAATAGATGAGATTTATTTTCATTAATTGCTGTTATACAGTCACCGGCCACTTTATTAGGTACACCTATCCAACTACTCGTTAATCCAAATTTCTAATCAGCCAACAACATGAAAGCATGGATCCATCCTGCCTGTATCAACGGTTCAGGCTGGTGGTGGTGGTGTAATGGTGTGGGGAATATTTTTTTTCTCTTCAAAAGAGAAGTAAAAAATTATAATAAAATAATTAAAAAATAATTTAAAAAAACTTAAAAATAATAATGATAATAATAATAATATGATAAAGGAAAAAGAAAAATGGATACGAGTAATAAAAATGTACAGGAAATACAACCAACTGAATACAGACATTGTCAATGTTGAAAGTAAATTTTTACAATAAACCAGTATAAGATAGTAATAGTGAAAATCAAACAAAAATTAAATTAATACTTAATAAATTAAAAAGGAGGGAAAGTGCATCCATAAAATGCAGAGCAAGATGTTAAGCGAGGGGCAGCATGGTGGCACATAGGGTAGCACAATCACCTCACAGTAAGAAGGTCACAGGTTCGAGCCACGGCTGGGTAAGTTGGAACTTCTGTGTGGAGTTTGCATGTTCTCCCCGTGTTTGTGCGAGTTTCCTTCAGGTGCTCTGGTTTCCCCCACAGTCCAAAGACATGCGGTTCAGGTGAATTGAATAAGCTTAATTGGCCGTTGTGCATCCGCTGCATAAAAACATGTGCTGGATAAGTTGGCGGTTCATTCCACTGTGGCAACCCCTGATCAATAAAGGGACTAAGCTGAAAAGAAAATGAATGTTAAGAGAGTTCATGTAAGTTACAAAACATTGCCACTTTTTAAAGAAATTAGTTTTCCCTAAGCATCTAAGCTTTTCCAACTTTAAAAAATGCATGATTTACACAAGCCATTGAAATGTAGTTGGAGGCTTTTTTGATTTCCAGTGACGTAGAATATGATGCCAAGCTAAAAATGAGGTAAAGGCCAAAATATCAAGTTGTTTAGAATTTAACTGGGACCAAATCTTTGGAATCCCAAAAATGGCTACATCAGGGGATGGGTCTGTATTTACTGTATTTGCAACAGCTTAGAAAAATTTGTAGCACCGTGGTGATTTGAACCCTGGTCTCCTGTGAGCAGTTTAGCTCTCACATCATGAGCACTGACCACTAGGTCACCTGGAACTCACAGCTTAAGTCTATTTAACTGATTGTATTTTAATTACACTACAACATCGATGCTGTAAAAGAAACCTTATGAAGAAAAAAATAGTCACATTAACCTTTCATTGGAAGTTTATCATGTGCATGTAGCCTATTGCCATGCATTGTCTTTAACTTCTGACATTCAGACATGGATCAGCTGACTCAGATAATGAAAGTTGCAGGAACACCAGGCCCAGAATTCGTGGAGAAGCTGGAAAGCCCAGAGGTGAGACATTTTCATTGCAAGCAAAGATAGTATCTTTAATACATGGAGTGTCTGAAACTTGATTAAAGCCAAGACTGATCTCTGATGTTACTTGGAATGAATAGCTAATGCGATGCAAAATAAGATTGTGAAAGTAATTTTGGTCTTGACTATTTTGGAGAAAAGTTGAGCTTGAATTATTAACATCGTGTGACGGTTGCTGTTGCTTCTGTTCAGCTGTCATCCCTCATCCTGATCAATGTCAATGTGTCTTGGCTGCTGTTAAATAGGCAAAGAGTTATGTCAGATCCCTGCCCCACTACCCACACAGAGATTTCTCCACATTGTTTCCCAGAGCTAGTAAAAAAGGTAAGTAATACCCCAATGAAAAATTACTCCTTTGTCATGTTGTCACATTTCTTGCTTAGCGCGAGACTTTTTTCATTGTAAAACTTGTGATTTAGTTTGACTGCATAGTTGCTGCCTGTCAGTGTGATGTGTCATTATTTCTGACAAAAGTGACAAGATGCTGAGCAATTGGAACAGAGCAATTTAAGCTGGTTTTTACATTTTTAAACTTCAGGTAGAATGCCACCAGAAGCTATTGCCACACATACCCTTTACCTTGGCACAGCAGTGGAAACTTTTAGATTAGTTATTATAGCAACTTGGAATATGCAGCCCAGAAATATGAAATGACATTATTATTCCATGTTGGTTTTCTGTGATGAGCTTTGTTAGCTCTGCAGTTACTTCTAGAACTAGGAATGGTTTACTGTACATTGAAGGTTCATTTACATTCCGTTAATAGACTATCCATAATTAACAGTGAACAATGCTTACACCATGTAATACCTATAATCATTTCCTCATTTACTAATACATTTTAAAAGATTCAATCAGTAAGAATTAAAATGAATGACTTACAAATAGACGTGAATTAAAGGTGCCGTTTGTACGTTTTTGACTCTTTTAAAGCATAATAATACCATAATATGTTTGCAGAAACGTGCTAAGTGAACATTCTTGTTTATCTGAAAAACAATGCTGAAGTCAGACATTCTGCTTTGAAAATGTGAGTTATGTGCCAGAACAGCTGCCTTTGTTTTGGTCATTTAACCTGATAGTCGATTATATTTCACCACTCTGGGTTGCCTTTGTGGAAAATTGCATATTTTATTTATTCATTCATGAAGACTCTCAAAGTAGGCATGACCAAAAATGCGACTTCGGGTGGACAGTAGCAGAATCGGAAATGAGTTCCACATGAGATGGTTATTAATTAACAAATAATATAAATATTATGAACGTAAACATTAGATAAGCAGGGGTCTGTTCTTCGTGCCTTGCTTAAATGATCTAAGATGATTTGGCAGATCCTGGACCTGTTAATCTTAATAACTGATCTCTGGCTAATTTGGTTCTTCAAACAAGTTCGTGAATCAGATTAGAATGTCTGGATAAACTGATCTGAGATCGCTGTGTGTGTTGTGAAGGACAGATCTATCAATCCTCAAAATCATGATCAGCATGCAATGATTGGCTGATGGCACAGCAGCGTAACGACATCATCTGATTAAAATTTAATTATCCATGTGAGTTAAATTTCATAAAATTCGTAGTAAACGGTTTGTTAAATATGACATGCAATAACTTTATACCTTGTTGTGGGCTGCATGCTTGGCCCTTTAATGTGTCAAGAGCGATTTATTTAGTTTTACAGTTGGAGCAGATTTTCCTCTTTATAGTAGTAATAGCCGGGTTTTTTCGGTGTAAAGAATAACTGGTTGTTTACAAAAGCATTTTGATATTGGTAAAGGCGTCTACAACTTTTGTGAAGCACCAAATTACCGTCATATTAACTATCCATACATGTTTATGACTGCATTAATGTATTATTGCTTTTAAAAAAGTCAAATGTTGTGCATTTCTATTATCATGCACAAATTGTACTAAAGCAATCTAAAAAGTTCATACCAATAAGTTTTCTCTTAGCACCACCAAGTGGCAGTCTTTGTACTTTCATTTCAGGGGTGCAGATTGCATAAGTTTTATTAATTTAATATATTTTTTACTTTATATTACATATAGTTAAAAAATATTTACTATTTTCCCAAGTGTATATAAATACTACTGTAGGAAAATATCAGAATTTGCCACATACTTTCTGTATTATCTTTGCTTGAACTGACCCGATCTAATCCTGTTCATATGAAATGAGCCTGCTCCCGACCAAGTTTGATCTACCAAAACTGTTGCTATGACAACAACTCTCGGATCAGTTTTGAAGAACGAAACGATCCTGGATCATGTCAAATCGTCAGTATCCAAATCCAGCTAATTGAGTAATCCACGTATGAAGAACAGACCCCTGGTTACAATGTAGCACTGTTTTCTAACAACACACTACGTGACTAGATACACAGTGATAAGCAATTTGGCTGTTTGCACGAGATGAAAAGCGACAGAAATTCAGAAGCACTGAATAGTGCACTTACTGCACTCCAATGAAATGGTGTTTTATAATCTAAGTAATACAAATTAAACATCTTTACTATTATTAAATGTAGATGCTGAATCACTGATGCATTTGAAGTGAGATTTATTAGCCCCCCTTTGATTTATTATTATTTTTTATATATTTCCCAAATGATGTTTAACAGAGAAAAACAATTTTCACAGTATGTCTGATAATGTTTTTTTCTTCTGGAGAAATTCTTATTTGTTTTATTTCGGCTAGAATAAAAGTAGGGCGCAGCAAAGAAAAGTCACTTATAAATTAAAACTTTATTATTTTATCCAACAGCCTTACATTTAAAAGGGAAACATAAGGGCGATCATAAGCAAAAAGACCCCTGTAGCCTTTAAGTTGTTTTATGGAATAGCCTATCTTAAACTGACCAGCTATATGTTTTCTTTGCCTTATTTTTTAATTTTTTTTGGCGCATGTACTTGTGTGCGAACCGAAAACTAGTGTAATGACAGCATGCCATCTTTACCACACTTGGGAAAAGTCTGCCTCTCCTTTCACTCTGTCCCAAAGCCCCAACTGGCACTCTTTGGCCCAAGGTATTTGGCGGTCCGAAAAAGGGGCGGCCGCTGGCCCCGCCTTTAGCCCAATCAGGCCCCGGAAGTGACAGTGGAAACGCGACTGGCCTTGGCTCGCCCGGCTCGCTCTCTTTATGCACGATAGTGGAAACACAGCTATTGTCAGTTTGCAAAAAATATAAGCCACTTCTAAAATATAAATTTCAGGTGTCCCCTTTGTCTGGTACAATTTTAATTTAGTATATATTTCATCCACAACACACAACTCGGGTACAATTATGAAGACTGCTTACTCATTCCGAAGGTGAACCGATTATTTTGCACTTGTGTATTTCAGAGTACATTACAGTGTGTGTGTCTGTGAGGGAGCATGCACTTACATGAGTTGTGAAGCTCATTAATATTCACGACTGTTCCAAATATGGTCAAAACTAGCTTTTCAATGTAGAGGTAGATTCTGTGGTTATAAATGAGCATATGAACAGTTTCTAATCTCATCCAAACCAAATACCTGTTATGTAGACATCAGAGAACAATTTAACATATTAAATCCAGCACTTTATGGCACCTTTAAGGGTAAATCAGAATAGCTAGTCCTAATCATGGATAAAATAAGAGAAAATAACTAACGTTAAACCATAGCTCAGCTTACCTTGTACTAATAATGCCTGCATAATAACAGATGTATTAGACCCTGCTATTCTAATGCCACTGCTTTGTTTCTGACACACTGTCACCCCTCATTGCCACTGCACTGGTCACTAACCTCAGCGGTAGAGCTGCTTGAGAAGATGCTGGTGTTAGATGCTGATGCCCGTCTCACTGCTAGTGGTGCGTTGGCACACAGTTATTTTGATGGTCTAAGAGATCCAGATGACTGGCCGGAGCCTACTGCATATGATGACAGCTACGACAATGCCACATTGCCCTTGGAAGAGTGGAAACGTGAGCAATAGATATTACACACTTGCACATCTGCTATAAACTGCTTTTTTATTGACATACAGTGCTCAGCGTAATTGGGTACACCCCATTTTGCAAATGAATATTTGTATTAATTTATCAGTAAATATTGGTCATAAATTTTGGTTTATTTGAGCAAAACAGATTTATTAAACAGATATATTTATTAAAATAATAGTTTAGTCAAGAAACTTAATTTGAAATGTAAAGATAATACAATTCAATTTATGCAAAATATTGGAAAACAAAATTACAACCTACAAAATTTCAACTAAAGTTTTGCTTCTCTTGATTTTTCCTCTTTTTTAAATTTGTCTTTAATATTTTTCTACTCAATATAAATTTGGGTGTGCTAGTTTTTGGACCATTATCAAAGGTATTTTGTCAGATTAGCTCCAGATTTGGCTTCAGCACTGAATAAACTAATGTATATGCACAAATATATTAATGTAAAGCTTCCTATAGAAAATATTAATTATATTTAATAATTAAATATTAATTTAAATGAGAGATGTAAGGGGTGTACTTTTATACGCTGAGCGCTGTAAATTTTGTGCATAAATATAATGTGACCTTTTTTTCCCACAGGTTTATCGTTTAAAGAAGTGAGAAGCTTTGTTCCTTTCCCAAGAAGGGACTCAAAGAGAAGAAACACACTCACGATGTCCTAGTGATAGTGGGTCTGATGCAGACACCGTACTGTAATGTTATTATACAATTTAGTTTCTGCCTTGGAACAATTTTTCTTCCTTATTCACTCCTAAATGTAAAAGTACAGTTAAAAGTCAAAATTATTAGTCCTCCTGTGAAATTTCTTTCCCCCAATTATTTCCCAAAATGAGAGCAAGGAATTTTTCACAGTATTTCCTTTAATATTTTTTCTTCTGGAGAAAGTCTTATTTGTTTTATTTTGGCTAGAATAAAAGCAGTTTTAAATTTTTTTTTTAAATTTTAAGGTCAAAATTATTAGACATATTAAGCTTTTTTTTTTTTTCAGATTGTTTACAGAACCAACCATCGTTATTCTTTAGCCCCTTTCACACAGTGATACCGGTAAAAATCCAGAAAATTTCCGGATCAACTTTACGGGTAGATTTAAAAAAGCTCTGTTCATACAGGCAAGGACATTGCGGAATTTTTCCGGAAAAGACTGTTTACAGATCCATTCCAAAATGCTGGTAAATTCTGACATCATTAACCAGAAATGACTAATAATCGACCGCTCTTGTATTTGTAAACATTAAACTACATTACAAACTCTGTGGATGGATTAGTATTGTAAACAATATATAAATAAAACCTATGGAGGAACACTGAATATTATGTACACATATTATGTACATCTTGATATGTGACAAAGGCTTTTATTTTCATAAACCGTGCGGACGTCAATGTGTCTGAGTGTTCTGATTGGCTAAAATAGATGTCCTGGGTCTGCGCGTATTAGACGTGAACGCGTTATTTCCAGCAATCTTCCTTCTGCGTTCACACAGCGCAGCATTCCGGCAAATTACTGGTAATGTTACAACTTCTCTTTGCCGGAAAATTGCCGGAACGAATTTACCGGTATTTTTAAAAAAGGCCTGTTCACACAAGCACACTTTTTCGGAAAATTGACGGTAATTTTCCGTAAAGGTCTGTATGTGTAAAAGGGGCTAATAACTTGCCTAATTAACCTAGTTAAGCCTTTAAATGTCACTAAGTGAATACTAGTATCTTGAAAAATATCTAGTGACATATTATGTGCTGTCATCATAGCAAAGATAAAATAAATCCGTTATTAGAAATGAGTTATTAAAACTTTTATGTTTATAAATGTTGAAAAAATCTTCCTTTTAAACAGAAATTGGGGAACAAAAAAAGGGGAGCTACTAAATCAGGAGGGCTAATAATTCTGACTTTAACTGTATATGAATAGCAGTATTTTGTACAATAACCAGTGCTTCAGGAATACACTCTTAAAAACAAAGGTCCTGTAAAACAGCAGTTCCCAACAGAGGGGGCCTCAGCAAGCTCTGTGGCGGGTCGCGTCATATTTTAAAAACGTTTTTTTAGCAGTGGACAATTGGGAGAACGATCATGTTGCCTTAGTTCATTTTATCCCCTGGCTTGCCAAAAAATAGACAAATTTGTTATTCGTCCTCAACAAGAAAGACAGAGTCTCACTGATTCGCCTTCAGCAACTAATAGTAATGACCCAGTTGAGGAAGCTCCAGACATTTCGGGTCGCAGTGCTAGCAATACTGGAAACATGAAATCCAGGACATACCAAGATAGTTACCTGAACTATGGTTTATTCCATTTTCTCGAAGCAGAGTCTTTGACCCAGCCACAGTGCATTATCTGCGTCAAAGTTCTTTCTAACAAATGCATAAGGCTTTCTAAATTACTAAGAGATTTGCAGACAAATCAACCCCAATTACCCAAGTTGTACCCAATACAAACGGCCTACTGATGTTTTTGTTTTCATATTTTACATTAGGCCATTATTTGTGCATAAACATATCTGGATATAGTAATAAACATGCCGTTTGATTGAAAACAACCTTATTTTTGTCATATCTACTGCAAACTTACAGTTGAAGTCAGAATTATTAGCCCCCCTTTTGAATTTGCTTTTCTTCTTTAAATATTTCCCAATTGACGTTTAATAGAGCAAGGAAATTTTCACAGTATGTCTGATAATATTTTTTCTCCTGGAACAAGTCTTACTTGCTTTATTTCAGCTAGAATAAAAGCAGTTTTTAATTTAAGAACCATTTTAAGGTCATCATTTTTACCACATTTAAGCTATATATTTTTTGTTTGTCTACAGAACAAACCATCTTTATACAATAACTTGCCCAATTACCCTAATCTGCCTAGCTAACTTGATTAACCTAGTTAAGCCTTAAATGTCACTTTAAGCTGTATAGAAGTGTCTTGAAAAATATCTAGTCAAATATTATTCACTGTCATCATGGCAAAGATAAAATAAATCAGTTATTAGAAATAAGTTATCAAAACGATTATATTTAGAAATGTGTTAAACAATCTGCTCTCTGTTAAACAGAAATTGGGGAAAAAATAAACTGGGGGGCTAATTATTCTGACTTCAACTGTATATAAGCGATAATATCAGTAAATGTGGAGGGGGGCCTTACAATATTTTCCGGCAGAAAAGGGGGTCACAGGCAAAAAGAAGGTTGCTGTAAAAGAACCATTGTAATTCCTGTAACAAGTGTTAAGTGCATTTTAATAATCTAAACAGCCTTTTCTACTATAAAGCACCTTTTTGTGCAGTGGAAACATTCCAAGAATGTTAAAAGTTCTTCATGGAACCACTGATGCCAATAAAGAACCTTTATTTTTATGAGTGTATATCTGAGCAACCTGGTGAGCAGTTTATTTTGATGTAGTGGTAACTGTCCTACATTTATTGCCAAGTGCGTGGCACATTAAAGGGATAATTTGCTCACCCTTACACCATTTACTCATAATTTACTTCATCCCTGTGCCATTTCAGACAACTTCAGGGCTTTATTCAGTGTTCTAAAGTCATACGGTTGCTTGTATGTGAACAAAACAAACCTGTCTTTTTTTTTTTTCTTTAAATATTTTCTCTTCATATTTTCACAAAACATGTTTCACATATTCAGAGGGTGATAGAATGATGAATGATAACACTTTCTTATTTCATTGGTAAACTGTCCTGAAAGTGTTGTCGAGATAAAATGCTCTAAAAAGGACAGCCGTTATTATTCCATGTATTTTAGTGTTGTGGGAATTAATGTTCAAGTATTTCACATCGGTGTGTTGTTCAAATGGGATTTTTAAAGAAAACATCTATATACTTTTATTCAAAGATGCAAGAATGTTACATTAATCAATTCATAACTATTATATACACATTTAAAAAAAATTGAAAATATGTTCTTTATGGTAATTATTTTGCAGTATTGTTTTTACTGTATTTTTGATTCAATAAATGCAACCTTGGTGAATATAAGAGATTTTATTTTTTAAATGTCTAACCCCAAATGAACCGTCAACTTATCCAGCATACGTTTTACGCAGCGGATGCCCTTCCAGCCACAACCAAACACTGGGAAACACCCATACACTCTTTCATTCACACACATACACTACGGCCAATTTAGCTTATTCAGTTCACCTACAGCACATGTCTTTGGACTTTGGAGGGGAACAGGAGGAAACCCACGCAGAGACGGGAAGAACAAGCAAACTCCACACAGAAATGCCAACTAACCCAGCTGGGGCTTGAACCAGCGACCTTCTTGCTGTGAGGTGATCGTGCTACCCACTGCGCCACAGTAACGCCCATGTCAAATATAAATATAGTGGCTTGAGAAAGACACCATTCTGATGTTCTACATAAACTTCTTCCATCTTCTGAGACTATTTTTAAAGTGAATCTCCTCCTAAACCTTTCAAGCTACATACTTCAAACTTTTGTCAAACGTTCAAACTGGTCTGACTCATGTTGCTATATCTTTTCTAACTGATCCGACTTTCGGTTTTTCAAAAAAAAAAACCAGAAAATTCCCAAAAGTCCCATTGACTTCACATTGGGTCAAACTTTGTGAGCTCATAACTCTGCGTCAGACTTTCCTTCAGACTAGAGTCTGGCCTCATTCAACTCAGTCTAGCCAGCAGCCAATCACGGATGACCTTTACACTTACATGCCACTGCCTAGCAACCAATTTCAACACCCTAGCAACTGTCCCATAGACTGATTAGCTATTCTAACACATGCTAATAGTTTTAACATCCTACTGACATGCTAATTTTGCTAGAAACATGCTAGTGACAAGCTAGTCATGCTAATTCATGCTAACAACATGCTAATTCATGCTAGAAACAAGCTGATTTATGCAAGCAACATGCCAGAATCATGCTAGTAACATGTTAATTTACGCTGGAATCATGCTAAGAACATGCTAGAATCATGGTAGCTACATGCTTATTCATGTTAGAATTATGCTAACAACATGCCCATACATGTTAGAAACACATTAGTAACATACTAATTCATGCTAGTAACATGCTAATTCATGCTAGAAGCATGCTAACATATGTTAATCATGTTAGAGTCATGATAATAACATGCCCATTCATACTAGAAACATGCTAATTCATGTTAACAACATGCTAGTTTATACTGGAAACTTGCTAGTAACATGCTAATTCCTGCTAGAATCATAGTAATCCGTATTAGAATCATGCTTGTTACATGCTGATTCATGCTAACAACATGTTAATTTATACTGTAAACATGTTAGTAACATGCTAATTCATGCTAGAAACATGTTAATTTATGCTAGAAACATGCTAATTCATGCTAGTTTGTGTTATAAACATGCAAAAATCATGCTAACTCATGGTAGTATCATGCTATTACAAACCTCAGACACAGGGATCAACTTTAAAGCTTTTTACAGGCTTGCTTCACTCTTTACAGTGGTTGCATTTTGACTGCAGGCATTTTAAACATTATTTTAGCCAACTTGATACTTTTTCAAACTAAATAAACTAGTTCCAACAGGCTTTTTCAAGCCACCATAAAGTTTGTCCTCAAACTTTACTATATAGTTTAAAGGGCATAATTTATACTAGGTATTTATTTGGGGGCCCTCAGATTTACTGGGGCCTAAACGCCCACTTGCCTTGCTTATTGGTTAAACCCACCCCTAAAAAAGTGCATTTATTCGAAGGATTACATAAACACGATTTGCTGTATAAGACCAAGCATGTGTATTAAAACACATTTAATTCATTCTAATTTCATGCTGACTCTACTTGTTTTTTAGTACCTCTGAAAGGTGTGACAGGATGTTCAGGGTGTCGAAGTGATTGGTTGGCTGAGACAAATGGCACCATAGGTTTTAAGTTGCACCTTAGTGTGAGATGTTTTAAACTGGCATCTATCCGTTTATTTTTCTCATTTTATTCTTTTCTTTGGCTTTAGTGTTTGTTTTCTGTGACAGTATATCCCTTAACTCAACGGTGCTTGAAACCATGTTTAACTGTGTTTTGTTTTTACCTGCCTGGGTATTATATTTGTTGATTTAAAATAAATGATACTCATGTTGTGTTTATCTAGTAATGTGCACACTTAGATAGTCGAAGTAGTATGCATTACAGGTCGTGATGAACTCTGACCACAACATGAACTGTGTGGGAAGCGCACACACTCGTGTTTTTACACACTAAAGAGAAACCCTTAATATGGGTTAAATAAACACGAACGTAATGCTTTAATAAATTAGTCGTAAAGCTGACAGAGTAGATGGCCTGCTTTTCTGAAGGGGCGTGTTCTTGCTATCTCGACTGAAAGCTCCGCTCGGCTCTGCCTCTGTATCTGGCGAGCCACTAACTATCTACCCAGGCAGAGACGGCTGTGGTAGCTGAAAATAGCGAGCTAGCCTTGCTGTTACCCGTCTTATCTAACCAAAGAGTCGACCAGCAGCTGAAACGCCAGAAATGAACGCAAATTAATGAGAGCGCGGAAGACATTTGTAGGAGGAAACTATGAAAGACTGAAAGACAGGGGACCTTTTATAGGTAATTTTTACCGGCTTCTCGGCCAAGCCGCCAGCTCAAACAGCCTTCGCCTTCTCTACGGAAGTTGTGGTCGGAAAATACGGTAAGTTGTTATTTTTCAATGTCGTATTTTGTGTGTTATCAATTCAAATTGTGAGGTCAGTCGACGATTGTTTATCGGAGCGGTGTGTTTGGTTACCGCACGCGGGGTTGCTGTGCTTGTTACCCGGGCGAGAGCGGCTAACTAGCCCGCCAGCTTTAGCCGCCTCGGCGTTTCGATCGCTTCGGAGTTAAACAGTGAGCATATTCACATATATGAACCTATAGATTAAAAGTTTTATGTTTTGAGATGATATCGACGGTGTTATTGCTTGTTTTTGTGCAAGGGGCTTATGAGAAAACTTCACTGAATCTGAAGTTCTGTTGAACTGTAAATATGGCTGACGTTTCGTTCTAGAATCGAGGACGCGCAACCTAACTATTATCCTGTGTGATACTTTTTCTCGCTGCTGATTGGCTAGAGGAAGGTGTTGGACGGCTGTGATTGGCTGTCGAAGTATGCGGGCTTGGTAAACTTCGCAGCCCTTGGTGGTCGTCTCACTTCAGTGACAAATTCCTCAAAACTCCAGCTCAACTTTTGTGATATTTCTCTGGAAGTGTTTGTGGCTGTTGATGTGAATGTATAACTGCGGCGTGAACTTACATTTTATTTAACATTAGGTTTAGCCTTGGCCCCAAGAGAGTGAACTGCTAGAGGCCTTAAGATAAAAGTCCCGCCCATTGGACAGCAAAAATAAAAACACTGTAACGTTAAGTTGGCGACCGGCCTGAACTTAATCCTTACAATGAATTTGTCTAATCTAATGTCGTATACCAAACTAAAATAAATTAATTAAGCAGTCGGTCCTTTTGCTTGCTTCTATACTGATTTAACTACGAAATATTGTGATTTGTAGTGGCATATAACACATGATAGTTGACAACCAAAACTTTTTTGTTTTTAAGAATGTAATTCAGTTATTACTTTGCTAAATATTTGATAATGCTTATTGTTTACATTTTATGTAGTAATGTTTTTATTGTTATATAACAATGTAATAATTATGATTTTATCCATAATGTTAAGTTCATTTTGGTTTGAACTGAACTTAAACACTAAAAACTGAACTACACTGTTCCAGTTACTGAACCACACTGTTCCAGTTACTATGACCATTTATGTGAAGCTGCTTTGACACAATCTACATTGTAAAAGCGCTATACAAATAAAGCTGAATTGAATTGAATTGAATTCAGCATCAAATTAAACTTCAGGTCATGTTTATCTCTATAGCGCTTTTACAACATAGATTGTATCAAAGCAGCTTCACATAGAATTTCTCAATTGAAACGGTGTCAGTCCAGTTTTCAGAGTTAAAGTTCAGTTCAGTGTGGTTTAATTTTCACTGCTGAAAGTCCAAACGCTGAAGAGCAAATCCATCAATGCGCAGCTCCACAAGTCCCAAACCAAACAAGCCGGTGGCGACAGTGGCGAGGAACAAAACCTCAGTCACCAATTGACCAAAGTGAAGAGGAAAAAAAAACCTAGAGAGAAACCAGGCTCAATTGGGCACGAGCATTTTCTCCTTTGGCCAAAATTCTTGTGCAGAGCTGGAGAACACTGAACTTCCATTGTGGAGAAGCTGTCAGTGTGAGTAGGCCAACCACGGGTGTTCAAGCTGGCCAACAGGATCAATGCGAACACTCATCTGTCACTTTGGTCTTTCAGAAATCAGTCTCGTGCTCTCCACTCCTACATGACCGCCACAGCATCTGCAGTATATGGCCAAACTTCTGAAAGAGGTTTTATTTGTGTACAAACTATATTAAGTGCAAGGGATGTATAATATATTGATTATGCAGATATTCATTATATTTTAAATGATTAGAAACTTAAGATTTCATATAGAGTATCTTAATTTGTCTTAAAATTATTCTAGTTTTAAAATATACCTGACAGAATTTGTTGTCTATAAATTGTTACACTGAATGACATTATAGTTGGTGTCTTCTCTTAATCCTCGTAAACAAAAAGAACAATTAAGTGTGCTGTTGCACCTTTTTTGATGCCTAATCACCTTTTCATCTTTAACTCTTTAACTCATCCAATACTATAATCTATAAATGTTTACATTATTTGCTTTGCACATTATTGTTTTTTATTTATCAAATTGTTTTGATAAATACTGGTTAAATATTTGAATTTCTTATTTAATATGAAAATAAAGCACTGCAACAGTTAATCTAAAATATATGAGCAATTCCATGCAAGTCTTAACCTTGCCATGAAAAAAATCAAGTTTTCATCAAAATAGCCAAGCCGTTGCTGCATTTTTTTGTGTAAGCAAGTATTTGACAATACTTTAACCTCCAAGGGCTTAGTGGCCACATACGTGGACAGCACATTTTAGCTCCTAAGTGCCTATTTAAAATACTTTGAATGTTTTATATTTTGTTACCGACATAGTGTCATCCTGCAACTGTTTTGCAGTATATGAAATTTCCCAAAGACTATTTTTAACTGACCAAAATGGGGAAAAAAATGTTGTTTTTACTCTGATAGCCAAAACATGTTTAAAAAATGTTCTATATGCATTACAAAACAGTCAGGAAAAAGTGTTTAATGTATATTAGGATCACGAATACACATATATGGACATAATTTTTCTCTAAAAGTACATCATATTTAAAGATGATACTTAGGTTTTTATTCTACTTAGGTTCTAATAAGCCCAAATAGCAAAGAGAAATAAAAAAAAATGCATGCAAAAAAACACCTTGGGCCTTAAGAGGTTAAAATTGTGGATCACGATTTTTTTTCTTTTTTTTGCTGAATCAAGATCACAATTTTCTCACGATTCTGTAAATTTAGAATAAAATTTAATATGATTAGCCTATTATTATTGTTAATTTTCAAACATATGGTAAAACAACATGTGTAGGTGTACTGTTACTTAAAATGCTAAATTTTGTACAGTCATTATGGTGGACTTGAACAGACTTTCAAGATGTCCTGTTTGTTAATTCACAGTAAAATTATGACATCAGAATATAACTATTCATAATTATAAAGTTGATTTATTATGCTTGAGAAATTAGCTTGTCATTGACAGCATTATTTGACCATTTGTTTTTACTGGTAAAAGAGACATTTGTCATTATCAGATTCCTTCTTGCATTATATTTAACATTTTATATAGGCTATGGTTGTTATACTGACACAGTAAACATTTATTTTCATGCACAACACTGTGTTTGCTATGAAAGAAAAAACATGTCAAATGCTTGTCGTAATCATAACTCTAAAATGCAATATGATCATTTAAAAGATGTGCGCACACTTTCATTTTTACTTCCAAGTGTGGCTCATGGCTGTCGTCACTGTGATAAAAAACACACACATGTAAATCAAACCTTCTTCACGGCCCTCAAATGATTGCTCTGTTCAACAGACTGAACGTTATTTACAACATTATTAGATGTTATTCACAGCCCATGCAGGTTCTGTTCAGTAAAGTAGGCATCATGCGTGCATACGTTCATTCTCGGCAGTAAACAAACACCTCGCGGTCAGTTCACGTGTGATTTTGCGGCCACAAATACATCATTACATGAAGACAGAAATGACATTTTTGGGTGAATTATACTTTATAAATACAGTATGTGACACTTTAAATTCCATTTGAAGGTGTTTATGTTGCTGTGAAGACTTGTGTGACTGCCTTGCTTCTCTCCTGACCCTGAAAATATGATTGGCTGAATCATAGAAAAGTTGAATTAAGATCGTGTGTAGGGTTGAATCGAGATTGTGATCTTTTTACGATTATTCGTGCTGCCCTAGTTTAAATTACTCAAAAACGTCTCTGTCAATGTTTTCAAACAATTAAATTTGATTTACCAAAGTCACACAAGTGGCAATTTCACATCTGTCACATCCATAACGCAGCTTTTTCCACATAAATCCAAAAATGTCACATAAAATCAAATCAATCATTTTTGTTCTATAGAGCCAACATTATCCTGTTGATTAGCATTGTTTCTTTTGGGTTGTGCAGTTCAATTAACAGAATTTCTACAAAGTATATTGTTAAATGAGAATTCACGTTTTTGGTCACATAAATAACACTTTTTTTTTTTCTCATTTAAAATATACAATGTGCTTGCAGATTGATATTTTTTTCATCTTATAACACTGTGGTTAGTTGTTTAGGAAAATATAAACAGATGTTTCAATATAATGTTAACATGTAGTTTCTATATGAATTTAGGTTTTGAGTTTTTACTGAAAATGTCACATAAGTGTACACAATGTAGCACATTAACAATATAAACAAAAGAATAGACAAGGCATAGGAAGAAACCGAAGACTGTTCACAAAAATCATTTGTTATTTGTGAACATTGACAGCTTTTTGCATTGCTTATAGGAGTTTTTGTCAATAAATTGTTACAGTAAGTGACTTTTTGTGTTTTTAGTATTTGTTTACTATTTAATTTAGTTTATCTATGTAATTTCTCTTTTTTGCTCTCTTACACATTAATTTTTCTTTTAATTTATAGTTAATTTAATCATTTGTAAATTTCAGGATTTTTTATAAAATTGCGCCCTTTTTAGGTCGTCATTTAAAAGTGTTTTCTTACAACATACCTTGTGTTTTTGTGTAAAGCAATGGCATTTGCAGTTTTTACCTTATGCAAACAATAAAAAGTGAAGTGATGGAGATACTAAAGGGTAACATCTGTTTTAAGAACAGTTGCATACATAATTATACAACTTAACAAAGTAGTTAATATAATTACTTGCATTTATTCAAAACACAACAGTTATCATAGTAAATACATTTCAAAACAAACATTCATCAGCATGTCATCATGTGGGTTTCTTCCACCCACTTCCTGGAAAGAAAAGTGTGCACACAGTATTTATAGACACATGAGACAGTCAGCCCATAGGTGATGTGAAAACCTCTCAATGTTGACTGTTTGGCGTGGCAACTTTCAAGACAGTAAATGAAAATGGCACATCACTTTATTGGTTTTTGGTAAAGTACTGGGAAATAGGGCTGGGTGATGTGGCAAAAATATGCTATCATGATACAAGTAACGTTATTTATATAACAATATTTATCATGATATATATATATATATATATATATATATATATATATATATATATATATATATATATATATATATATAGAGAGAGAGAGAGAGAGAGAGAGAGAGATTAAAGCAGTTTATAGATAGATCGATAGATCGATAAGTCATTTTTGCTCAAATGTTAACAGGAAATTAAATTTCGGTATTGATTGGTAGCGGATCCCAGTAACGTCACCACTACCCTGTAATGGTGTGTGAGGGTACTTTTACACCTGTCTTATTTAGTTCGCTTGAATCGCGCTAGAGTTCGTTTTCCCTCTTGGTGCGGTTCGTTTGGACAGGTGTGAATGCAGCAATTGCACTCGAGTGCACACCAAAAGCAGACCAAAAAAGCGTACAGAGACCTGTTTGAAGAAGTGGTCTCGGTACGCTTTCAAACGAACCCTGGAGCAGTTCATTTGTGGTGAGAATATGATCCGAACTAAAACAGACCCAACTGCAAAAAGTACTGCAACTTTTGGACTAATCCAGCTGCTGTAGGCAGATGCGCTCTGCATTATGGGATGTGGAGGAAAGATATATGTTGACAGCGCTTTACCAGCAGAGAGAGGGAAAAACATAATCTGATGGATTGTTGGTAATATTTCCGCAAGATGACCATGTCGCAGTTTTGCTAAATTGATTCACGCCGCCTCCTGAAGTGACGTGCGATGCATTAAACCTTTGTTTTCCAGCCTGGATAGATTGTCTAAAGCAGGGAAACAATCAGTCAGCGCAGTCAAACCTCCATAGTAAAAAGCAACTTTTTGTGTCTGCCGGTTTGTTTACTTGCGGGAGTTCATTGGCATTTTCCCACACGTGAATTCTGGCCAATCGATAAGCAGTTTAGGAACTGTTCAACAACATCTGGCCAATGAGTGATGTGGATTTTGGTTGCATTTTGGTTCTTTTCAACTGGTTCGGACCAAAGCCAGCAGTGAGGTGTGAAAACGACCCAAAGATTGCAGAAAATGCAACAATGCATCATTTATTGCCCTTGCTCCGGACCAAATGAACCGAACTACAGATGTAAAAGCACCCTGATTTTGTATTTGTTTGTATTATAAAAATTTTTATCATAAACAATGTATTTTGTGACCCCACAAAATAAAGGATGGAGCATAACAAAAAACGACATCTGTTGTTTTTTTTGTCCATATGATGTGTATTGTGATATTGCACATCCTTACTGAGTAACTTTATGTTTGTTCATCAACAGGTGACGGTACACTGGGCTGCGTGGTGTGAGCTCCCATGAGAAAACCACGACGGAGAGGAGGCCTGGCTGGGGCCCAAAGTGATGCCTCGGACACAGGTACAGCAGCTGTGGAGGATTCGCAGCCACGCTCCCCCTCCCCCTACCGACTAAAGGTTTCACCCACCAGAGAAACCTTAACATACGCCCAGGCTCAGAAGATCGTGGAAGTGGACCTGGATGGAAGACTGCATCGGATCAGCATTTTTGACCCCCTGGTGGTGATCACTGAAGATGAGATGACTGCTCAGGATATCGCAGAGTGCAATAGCAACAAAGAAAACAGCGAGCAGACATCAGTGAGCACTGTCGTCAGCTCGCCACGCAGATCAGTAGCCAACAGAGGCAAAAAGAAAGATGTCAAGCAGTTATCTTCATCTCAGAATCACTGTTCCAACTCTCACGGGCAGTCTCAGACGCAGTCAAGTGGGAACAGCCACCATGGCACATTACCCAAGCCCACTTTCAAAGAACATGAGTTTTATGAACCAGTGGAGGCTCCTCCGCGGCCTTCAGCGTACTATCGTTATATTGATAAATCCAGTGAAGATCCAGACACAGATGCGGAGTATGATATGGATGAGGAGGACGTGGCCTGGCTTGAACTGGTGAATGAAAAACGAGATTCAGACGGCCAGCCACATATATCACCCGACACCTTCGAACTTCTGATTGACCGTCTAGAAAAGGAGTCGTTCTTAGAGTCCCGAAGCCAAGCATCCTCACAGAGCGTCATCGACGAAGATGCCTTCTGCTGCGTCTGCTTGGACGACGAATGTCTCAACAGTAACGTCATCTTATTTTGCGATATTTGCAATCTAGCTGTACACCAGGAGTGTTATGGAGTTCCTTATATCCCAGAGGGGCAGTGGCTTTGCAGGTGTTGCTTGCAGTCGCCATCTCGCCCTGTAGACTGTGTGCTGTGCCCGAATCGAGGTGGTGCGTTTAAACAGACCAGCGATGGACGATGGGCACATGTTGTTTGCGCTATTTGGATCCCTGAGGTGTGTTTTGCTAATACAGTCTTCCTTGAGCCCATTGAGGGTGTGGATAATATTCCACCTGCTAGGTGGAAGCTAACATGCTACTTGTGCAAGCAAAAAGGTTGTGGTGCATCCATCCAATGCCACAAAGCAAACTGCTACACGGCTTTCCACGTCACCTGCGCGCAAAGAGCGGGACTTTTTATGAAAATAGATCCAGTTCGAGAGACTACTGTGAATGGGACTACGTTTTCGGTGAAAAAGACTGCGTTTTGCGAGGCACATTCGCCGGCTGTGAATGGGTCGGACGATGAAGAGACTGGGGGAAGGGTCTTGGGGTGTAGGGCTAACAGGGGCCGCAGTGCCTACATGCAGACGCCAGAGCTGAAGAAGCAGAAAGGAAGCAATAAAGTGGATTCTAAGCAACCGCAGAAGAAGGGGAAAAAAGAGGAGGTGTCCAAAAAAACCACAACACTGTTGGTCACCGTCCCGGAAATACCTGCTCAAAGGTATGTTGTTGCAAATGCATTTAAATTTGAAATAATGGTGTATTGTTTTATTTCTGCATATACGTAATACAGTGGTCCTTCGTTATTTGCGTGAGTAACGTTCTAAAAATAAGCCACAATTGGCGAAATCCATGAAGTAGTCCACTTTTTTACAATTATTATAGATGTATTAAAGGACCATAAAATCCCCCATCTTAGCAGGGTGTTTTCATCAGTGTTTCCAGATTGGGTGGTTTCCCATCCAATTGGGCGGTTTTGAATTTGATTTAGGAGGTAAAAAATGACATAGGCGGGTAGTGAAAATTTGGGTGGTTTTGCAACGACATGCCCACTAGCCCCGGTCTTCACTTACAAACCTGTTATGATCTCCCAAAGAGATGTTATACCCCCCGTTCTTCACATACAAACGCTTACAACAGGGACACAACATGACTGTCTTCTTGACAGGTTATTATACTCTTCAGATTTTTGGGCGGTGCTTTTTGGTTTTCAGCAAGATTTTGATGGCAACACTGGTTTTCACACCTCTAGTTCAAGTAAAGTCAGGAAAGTGTGAGTCCAGCTTTGTTTAGGTGGGAGTGTCGAGTGGTGAGAGGGAAGGGTTCGCATGAAAAGGGGAGTTTCAGTTTGAGCACATGCCGATTTTCACAGAGGCAAAAACACACAGACGCATGGGAGAAAGACAGTGACCGTTTACATCAGCAATCGAATTATTTGCCAAATTCTTAATTCTTCAAATTCTTACTTTTCTTAAACGGGCATTAACATTTTCACACTTTTCTCTCTTGTTTAAACACTCTTAAAGTTCAAACCTTTGTAGAAAAAGTGTCAAGTATTATTGAATGAAACCAAATATCAAAACCATTTGATCTTTATCAATGAAGTTAATTTATTTCGTAATGGCGCCCTATAGCTGCGTAACTTCCACCTTCCTTTAGCATGTCCACAAGTTCAACTTCTTGTGCGATGCTTAGCATGTTCCACTGCCTTTTGGGTGCTATCGCAGGTGCCTTTGACTGAGCTAGATGCATTTGGTACTGTATAGGAGACACCGAAGATATTAACTAACAATGCTCTACAGCCAGTCAGAACACGGAATACAATGTGCTGTAAAAAAAAGCATGACAATATGCACGAAACTGCGAGGCTGCGAAAAGTGAACCACATTATAGCAAGAGATCACTGTACGTTATGTCAACAGAATCTCTAAGAACACACGAAACACTCTTAATGCTCTTACACACCAGGACGCTTTTCGTTTGCACTTGTTGTCAGCGTTTTACGAGACGTTTTTCCTCATTCAAACCCAAGCAATTTTTCACTGGCTTCAAACAGAAGAGTATGCAAAATCACTCCTTGACGTTAGATGGCGCTACACAACTTTAAGCTTCCGACACCCGCTTGTAACACAGAAGAAGAGGAAGTTCACACGCTTGTTGTTAAAGTTACTGGTAACTCGAACAAGCATAGATGGTTCAAGTAGCAGCTCCAGCTCTAGCGATGAAGAAATGATTATTGTTCACCAGTGCAATAAACAGCTCCACGTTCATATCGCATCTAGGCATTTTCTTTAATGTGTGCTTCCATTGACAGTTTTACGCTTGAGCACCTCCAAGTGCTGTTAACTGTTAACTTCATCAGCTCCGTGCACGTGAACAAAAGTGCCGACCTGATTGGTGTAGAAGGTTTTAACGCGGCACGTCAAATAAAAAAATTTAAAAAAGAAGCATGAGACGCTGCTGCTTCGTCTCAGTGTTGATGGGGATAATGGAGACATCTGAAAATGGAGGCATGGCTGCAGTCATTTGCTTATCTGATTGGGGCTTTTTCCTCAATAATAAGTAGCCTACACACAGTTCAGTACTGCATCCTCTCCTTGTAAGTTCAGACTTCGCAAGTTTGATATGGAAAACAGAACGCTGCATATATGAGCGTCATCTTCACTGTATGCATATTTATATCAAAACAAAGCCTATAACATTACTGCCTCCTTTAATTTTGCTTAAAAATACAGAACAGACGCTCTGTTCTGCTGAATATCAGTTTCAATAATTAATAATGGCCATTCTAAAAGTATATTGTAAAATAAGTTTATACAATACAGGAAATAAAGACATGCAATCAGTCAGTATACAGAATGTACATGGTTACATTAATTGTAACTTATCTTTGTGCTTAGCCAAAACATGTTCCCTGCGAACAAGTGATAGATTCAAAAGACCGAAGTCAGGGAATATGTTGTTAGATATAGACAAAAAGATTAATTAAATATCTCGTTTAACAAATATATGAGATTAGATCCAGCGGTAGATCCTTGATGAACAGTCCGACAAGCACAGCTCTCATCTGGCTAGATATGCTGCAGCGCACACCAGAGTGTGTGTGTGTTTTTAGTGGTTTGGTGTAGATGGAAAGTTGTTCGTGGGTCTTTTTCATTCTAAAACGCAGTTTTAAAAATAAAACGTACTAGTGTAAACGGAGCCCTAAATGTATAGAAGTGAACCCTACAGATAATAATAAAAATAAAGGTGTGGTTGCTACTGAATTTAAATTAGCTGAATTTGTTGATTTGGAGGAGTTTAGACCGTTCCTCCTCTCCTACAGCTGAAGAAGTCGGAAATTTTATCCAATAACGATCAACAGTGCAATCCTACATACAGCAGATGTAGTTTTACAATATTGAACACACTGTACGTATCCAAAACAAAATCCAAAAAAAAAGACATATTAGGGCTGCACAGTAGTTAATAGTTAATATTTCAGCATCCATATAGCAATGTTTATTCAGGGTTATAGTTGAGCAGGAGCCACAGTTGAAAACACATGAGACTTGTGGAGTCACTGCATAGTTGAATCATAATGGAGTGTTTATAATCTTTGTGTTTTAAAGGCCTTTGACTGTGTGAGCAATTTAAGATAATTTAAGACATTCAGTCACAACAAATTGTAAATAAAATTTTACATTTTATTATTCAAATGTTCTACCTAAATACTGCCCAGAAATCCACTGTTTATTTTACTTTTATTTTTATTCTGTTATATTTATCTATCCTTGTCTTATATTTATTATATTTCATGTATGAATCGCTCCCTTATAAATTCATTCCAGTCAATCCAAGTGAAGGAATTCTTTCTTAATGGAGCTGTTTTAATCATCTGATGAAGTTGAATTTTAATTTTTGTGTAGTTATTTTGTTGTTGCTATTTGTTTACAGGCTGAACAAAATTTCTAAAGATGTAATCATACAGAAGAAGAATCAGTTCATGCAAAGACTTCACAATTACTGGTTGCTTAAGCGTCAATCCCGCAATGGAGTGCCTCTCATTCGACGTTTACATTCGCATCTACAGGGCCAGAGGAGTGCAGAACAGGTCAGTGTTTTTTATGTTTTTTTAAATGCTTGTGTTGCGGCACGATTTCCTATTTAAATGAAATATAATATAGCAATTAATAGTGTTTTATTAAAAACACTTTGCAATAAGATTGTGTAAGTTTATGTAGTTATGAACAAACGATGAACTATACATTTATTACAGTATTCATCTTAGTTGGTTAATGTAAATAAAGTCATTCATTTTTAGTACAAGTTATCTCATTACATTAGTTAATGTTAACAAGTCAGAAACGATTTGTTTTTTAATAATGCATTTGTAAGTCTTGAACTATAATTAATAAATGCTGCACTAGTATTGCTTATGCTAGTAAAAACATTAACTAATAAATCCTTATTCTAAAATATGACCCTTTATTGTTATTGCTATTATACTTTATATTATATTAAATATATTAATGCCTTTTAAATAAAGTCTCTGGAATAATTTTTGAATTTTAGTTATGCATTAAATTGAAAACGTATTTCTATTACTGCTATTGCTGTTTGATTTTTTTCATCATACCAAGAGAAGTTGCAAAATCACCAGTATTTAATCCATTTGTGCCCAAATTTTTCAAAATGGTTTCATGCATGTAGCCTTTTTTATAGAGTCCTATATGAACATGTTTTTCATCTATTTTCTCCAGGTTTTAGATTTTTTTTTAAGAAAATACAGAGACACTTACTACAAATATTGAAATAATTAATTAGAGTTATTAATTAATATCAATATAAATATATAAAAAAATAACTAACCGATTTCAATGACTTAATAATCCCTTTGATTATTATTATTTTTTAATTTTTTAAATGTTTTCGAAATGATGTATAACAGAGCAAGGACATTTTTACAGTATGTCTGATAATATTTTTTCTTCTGAAAAGTCTTATTTGTTTTATTTTAGCTAGAATAAAAAGTTTTTAAAAATTTTAAACACCATTTTAAGGTCAAAATTATTAGCCCTTTTAAGCAATTTTATTTTTATTGATAGTCTTCAGAACAAACCATCGTTATACAAAATGCCTAATTACCCTAACCTGCCTAGTCAACCTAATTAACCTAGTTAAGCCTTTAAATGTCACGTTAAGCTGTATAGAAGTGTCTTGAAAAATATCTTGTAAGATATTATTTATTGTCATCATGAAAAAGATAAATCAGTTATTAGAGATGAGTTATTAAAACTATTATGTTTAGAAATGTGATGAAAAATCTTCTCTCTGTTACACAGAAATTGGGGAGAAAAATAAACAGGGGAGCTAATAATTCTGACTTTAACTTTATATATTTGTAAACAAAAAGTATTTTAAGTAACATAAAGATTGTCTTTTATTTCAAAGTGTTTGCCTCCATTTTGCATCCTGGAATTAGGGGTAGGAATTTTAAAGCCTTGTTTGGCAGAAAGGAAATCAATTCGGTTTTTTCTTTCTTGAGGTCTTTTAATTGGTTGTTTGCTTGCATGTCACTCAGAAATTAAACATGGATAACATGTAGAGAATTAATTATAAAAGGAAAATAGCAACAGTAAAATTTAGATTTTTTTTTTAAATCTAAATTACAAGGGGCTTTTAAAACCTCCATTGCTGACAGTAGCTGGTTTACAAGTGCATCTCATTAGAAATTTTGGGAGGATGATTGTGTTTTTTTTATAAAAGCCCATTTATAAGTGACTCAAACTCAGAACACAACACATGCAGTGATGAGTTTGTGTGTTGAATCATTTTCTGCAAGCTGCTCGTAGATGCTGAAAACGCATCATTATGGGCTCCTCGTGTGTAAAAGAATGCAGTTCTAAACTTCACTCTGATCAACTGCACAGATGCATTCACTCATGTTTGGATCTTATAAATTGTGCGCAGGCGGAGCCAGATGAAAAGCTGAATGCTGTGAGAGAAGAGCTGAAGTACTGGCAGAAGCTTCGTCATGATCTGGAAAGAGCTCGACTGCTTATTGAGCTCATCCGCAAGCGAGAGAAACTAAAGAGAGAGCAGGTAACACTGAAATGCACTATAACAGTCTGTTCTTGCATAATAAAAATGACGAAGTGAGCACTGACAAGAACATGTGTGGATCTGGTTATCTTGTAACTCAAGTTGAACTCAAATTGTGACACATTTGTTTCTTTAAGGGGTGTGGAGCTCATATACACATAGACAGAATCTGTGTTTTTGATTTATTTATTTTTGCTATTTCTGTGATAAATTTAGTACAAATCGGTTTCTGTCAAATTATTTGGAGATTACAACCATTAAAACTTTATTAGAGTAACAAACAATGTTAGATTAACTAGTGTAGGTGCCCCTCAGGGTTATGTATGCGCTCTTATCCTGTTTACTGTATACACAAACGATTTTTTTTTTTTTATATTTACATGAGAATAATTACATTATAAAATACTGTTGACACTGTAATACTAAGCCCGCTGAGGAAAAACGAGGATATAACAAAATAGCGATCTTAGATTTTGAACTTTGTGCAGTGGTGTGATGTAAATCCACTTATGGTGAATCCGTATCATACCACTTTTTGGGCATCCTTTCCAATGGGTACCTAGCACAACAAAAGGGTACTAAAATGCAGAGCAAGACGCGCAGCTGAACGCCATTGGTTTAAAGATAACTGTAAACCACTGTGCACATGCCAGGAGAATGAAAACAAAGGAAGCGGCAATTTTAAGTGAAGTTTAATTATGAACTAATTTCAAGAGGATCACATGCTTATGATTTACCACAGCCGGTCTCGCATTAGCTAATCATGATCCCCCAATCATATGATTTCTAAGTTACTACAAATAACCACAGTCTTCATTCAACATTTATCTTTGTCTTTGTCTTCTCCACTTTTCCTCATCGATTAAGTGGTTCGGCGGCCCAGTGGTTAGCACTGTTAGCCCCACAGCAAGAATTTTGCCGGCCCTGGTCCTCGCCGAGCTGGTGGATGTTTCTTTGCACAGTTTGTATGTTCTCCCTGTGTCCGCGTGGGTTTCCCCCAGGTTCAACAGTTTCCTCCCACCATCCAAAGATATGCATAATACATAACAGACTAAGCAAAAAAGTCACTTTTTGTCCAGGTCACTTCCTTTTCAAAGTAGTTTACCTTAGCCTCTTCAGCCAGGGAGATTTTGAGATCTACCTGAGCTCAAGCTCCCCTCTCGCTCTGCGATTGGGAGGAAGCCCTGTGCTCTAGGATCCTGAGTGTAAACTCTTGAAATACACAGCAGAGACATTACATCGTAATTGTATATACATATAATAACGAGTCGTGGTTGACCCGAGCTCAAACAAATCTTGTCGTCATCTTGATGAACAGCCTCAAAGCCAAGAAGGGGAGCAGAATCTGCCGTATGTCCTGTGGTTGTTGACGAGGCCGTCTAAAAGTGCGAGCGGTTTCACTTTCTCCAGAGAGGTCACATGGATGTCTTTATTTGAAAAAACAAACTTCTTTAGCTGATGATAATAACGTGCGCATGGTTATTGAATTCTGACATCCGATATTTTCAGAAACTGATAAACCTGAGTGTGAAGTGCGAAAAAACAGTGGCATAAATGTTTTTTAAGCCGCTTAAAGCATAAACAAACTGCCATTTTTAATGATCATCATCTTTTGGACTGTTATGAACTCGAAATGACGGAAATACTTTTTAACAAGATGTTAACGTTACATGTGCTGGTAAAGGATAAAGATGAGAGGTTTCGTATCGTTTATAGACCCAAATAAGGCCTAAATGTTTGTTTTAGGGATTTTTGTTTTTGCAATTGGTAACATTTCAGAGTCTGCGAGGCTCTGTATGTTTTTATGCATGTTTTATTTATTTTGTTATTAAGGTTAGTTATTAACATCTATACTCAGTTAGGGCTATTTATTTGTATAAAACATTTGTTTGTTTATGATATGAGAACGATTCGTACAACTTTATCATCACTTGTCTGCTCTCCACCAATCAGCTGGTGTGTGGTGTGCGGTCTGTGGGGTATGGCTGCCATCGCGTCATCCAAGTGGATGCTGCACACTGGTGGTGCTTGAGGAGATTCTCCCCCAAAAAATGTGTAAAGTGCTTTGAGTGTCCATAAAGAGCTATATAAATGTAGGGAATTATAATTATTAAACTATTATTGAACTATTAGAAAGCAACGTGAAGCACTCACATTTTTCACTAAACTACTGAAAGGAAAAAGACACCTTTCAGGCTTGACACAAGTAACATAAGCCTTTTTTTTTACAGTGAATATGACTCAAACCAGGTGATTAAGCATTAATATCTATTGGTAGTTTCATCCAAATCACCATTTTGATGTAAAAGTGAATTAAATTCAAATTGACTTAAATTAAAATTCATGAGGATCAAGTTTGTACTAGTTTAAATACTTGCTCCCAATAACCATTTCATAATTCATAGCTGTGATCAAGCAGAATGAATGATGTTATAACCCAGAATTACTTTTCTGTTTAAAGCCAAAGCTCATTTAGCAGCAGGAAAATGCTGTCGTTGTGTAAATACAGAAACAGCCCACTGTTGTTGCCGTTATACTGCAGGGCGAAACGGCTGTGAGTCTCTGTATGGCTATGACTTGATTTGGCAAATATAGTGTGTAAAATGGGACTTACTCATTTCTGGAGCTTTGACTTGGCTGCTTTTTCAGCCCTGCAAAACCACACAGCGTATACAGTGGATGAAAGTGGAGACCTTTCTCTAAAGTACTTCCTTTCCAACAGACTGGTGGTTTAGAATAATCTATAAGTGATAATGCAACTGAACATGCATTAAGGCCAAGTTTATCCACTTGCACTTAAAATTGTATTATATTTTATGAAAAAGGCATGTTCTTATTCAAAATAACTTTTTATTGGACCGAAATGTATTTTTGTCTGTGACTGAACAACAAGACAGAACATTTTAGGTCATTTTTCCGGAAATTTAAATGATATTGTAATAAAGCAGTTCTGTCAGCTTTTAGAACCACATTAGCAAATTGACGATCTCAGAGCTCACAGTCATGGGCCACAATTTGCATAACTTTAATTTCATGTAATTTTTGTTTTAAAGAGTTGTATTTAACATAGTCTTGTGTTTTTGCTTTTGTAGGTGAAGATTCACCAGGCAGTGACTGAGCATCAGTTAACTCCGGTTCTGGTACTGCTGAGCTCCACTTTAGAGCAGCTTCAGGAGAAAGACACCGCAAAGATATTTGCACAGCCTGTCAACTTGAAAGAGGTCTGTCTTATTATCATTGGTAATTGTTTGGTTTTAAATTAGTATTATAGAATTACCATTAAAATGTGGATTATCACTAGAGTTTGAAATAGCTGTTATCTGTTTTAATGTTTTAAAATATAATTTAGTGAAGTGTTTTCGAGAGGATCACGTGCTTATAATTTACCACGGCTGGTCCCCCATTAGCTAACACGTGATTTACCAATCAGAGCCATGATTTCCTCTACATTCATTCTTCCGTGGCGGGGCGCCACACCAAAATTGGTCCTGCCACGGCTACATTACAGCTTTTCATTCACAACATTCAGTCGTGTTTTTATTAGTAGTGGTTGATAATCGCACCAAAACATATTAGAAGGTAAGGTAATAATAACAGCGCAAACTTTTCTGTAACCGTAGTAGTGCTGTGCGTCATTTGTTTAACCCTTTAAGGTGACGTGCTGACTGACAGACTGACAAGTGCGTGGGGCCAGCAAGCATGATGTATAGCCGTTTCACTTTACTCCAGTAGTTGGAGATAGTGTGTTGGGACTCCTCTCAGAGTTTCTTACATTAGTTATCTTCGTCTTGAAGAATCCCCTCACAGCAAGAATGTCACTGGTTTAAGTTCTGACTAGGCCAGTCGACATTTCTGTGCAGTTTGCATCTTCCCCTCATGCTTGAGTGGGTTTTCCCCAGGTTCCCCGATTTCCTCCTACAGTCCAAAAATATGCTATATAGATCAATTGATTAGACCAAATTTGCACAATAGATGAGCTCCTAGTCAGGCTCCTACTTAAGCCTTTCAGTCAGCACTTTATCTCTCCATAGCAATTCCTATAATCTGTCTTAAGGCTTATTTATACTTTTGCGTCAAGTGTATGCATAGGGTCGGGCACAGCCTTTGCGCTGTCGCATAGACCTTGCCATGGCTGACACTGACCTCTCAAAAAATTTAACCACACATCGATGCGATGCATAGCGCAAGCTCTGTAATTGGTCGTCTTTGGTAGTGCTGATGAGTGTGGGCGGGGTCGAGTGCTGCACGAACCCATTGGAGCGTGTGTTTATAAGTGTGGTTTGTTGTTAGATTGGATATGGTTGCGGCTGTAAGTTAACAAGAATTATTTATAATATTTGCTAAATTTCCCATTTATTGTATTTTATTAACGCCTACCTAAACCCAGCCTTCACAGTAATGTAAAAACAGTAGTTGTACCAAGTATCATTTATGTTATGTATTAAATTACCCAATAAATTGCATTTTAATAACGCCTACCCCAACCCTAAACCCAACCGTCACAGTACTATAAAATATTAATTATTGTTTTACAGTGTCATAAAAAAATGCTGTTATATTAATGTGCACATCGCACTTCCGGCCGGCCGCGTATCCGATCTAGACTTTACCATAAGTGTGGAGTCCTGTGAACTTGTACATTTAAGGTAAAGTTCAGAAAAAAACAAAACACCAGCAGAGAAACTCGACACAGAGGAACATAACCGCCTGCTGCCAGCTAGTGTTTCAGAAGGGTTATTGCAGAGCAACACAAACAGCACGCAGAAGTTTAAATGCACGACTACATGCAAAGCATTCGCTGTGGGTCATGGCAATCGATCAATTCAGAAGTATGAACCAGCCTTTAGGTCCTAAATAAACCAGGGGAGTTCTCAAGACCTATTTAAGCTCAAACTCCCCCCTCACCATTCAAACGCTTCTTGAAAGTACTTTAATGTCAGAGATATGGTTTCAAGGCCTGGAAAGTACTTAAAACAAACATAGGTCCTTGATTTTGACATGAAACTAGTTGTTGGTATTATTTCAACAATCGTCATGCTGCTGTCAAAAACAAGAACTGTACAAGAACTAATAGGGCACATGTTTTAAATATTACAGAAACTGAATTTGAATATTAATAGTTTTAAATTTAACAGTTTAAAAAGGTCTACATTTTTATAAAATGATGCATTCAGAAATCATCACTCTGACATTTGTAATGTAAATATTAAGTGTAAGTGACATGTTGAGTACAGTTGGCATATTCATGATTCTACATATTCTGGTTTAAATTACAAATGTGTTTGATTTGAAATGAATGTTGCTTTAAATACTCCTTGAATCTACTTTTTATGAATTGAGTGGGAACCCGGTTTTAAGAAATCAGTGCTAATTTGATTTTCAGTTGCATTATTTTAATATAGAAGTTGAAAGCTTAAGATTTTTGTGCAGTGATGCCTTGAGTAGAAACTGGGATATATTTTCTGCTAATAGTATTTGCATTACTGTCTTTTCCTAAAAGGCCATCCATTCAGTTGTCAGTTCACCTTTTAGTGCCTAATGCTGTTTTGTAAACAGTGGTTTAAGAGAGTGACAACTGCTGTCAACAACTAAACTGGGTCATTCTGATAATGACAACTGTGGTTAAGTTTTTTTAAAGTTGTGTACGGAACTGAACTGAAGAACTACTTATTAGTGACGTATTGTAATTCACATCAGAGCTGTGTGTCGTTCTTTTTTTTATGTACGCAATCACAAGCAACTGCATAGAGGAAAATGGTAAGAGGTGTGAGTTGCCATTCGTGTTGCCAGATCTTACCAGAAAAGAAAACCGAAGACGATCATATATCTAAATGGCTGAATACTTTGTCAGCAGCCTATTCTAATAAACTTGATCATTTTTGAGTCAAACTTAAGTAAATAAAAAAAACAAGATGCTTAAAATCAGTGGACATGGCAACCTTTTAAGAGTGCACTCTGGTATCGCACACATTTCAGAACATAACAAAGCTTTAGTAAGAGAAAATTGATCAAATGAAATGCCAGACCTGCCAAATGCTTCAAAGTTCCCATAGTTTATGTCATTGCAATTTTTGTGTTTTGCTCCAGAATTTAAACTGATAGTTCACCCAAAAATATTAAATCTGTCAGCATTTGCTCATCCTCCACCTATCAAATCAAAACATGTTTTTCCTCTGAAGAAGATATTTAGAAGAATGTTAGAAGCCGGTAGCCTTGGACTACCATAGAATTTTGATTACCTGCTATCATAGTGAATAGCTACAAGTTTTGAACATTTTTTAAAATACCTTCTTTTGTGTTTAACAAAGAAAAAACTCAAAGGTTTGAAACAAACTAAGGGTGAGTAAATGGTTTGTAAATTTTCATTTTTGGGTGAACTATCCCTTTTAAATTTGAGAAACATCCTTGGACATCATGGATTTATGCAATACATTTTAAAAAATAACACTTTTTTTCATGTATAATGAAATGCAAATATCTTATAGTTTTTTTCTATGGTATCCATTCATGCTAGCCAAATCTTCATGCTTTAAACTGTGAAACTGTGCTCTTGACTTCTCAGGTCCCGGATTACCTGGAGTTTATCACGCACCCCATGGACTTCTCCACAATGCAGTCCAAATTGGAGGCTCACAAGTATCGCTCCGTCACTGACCTGGAGGCTGATTTTAACCTCATGATCTCCAACTGCCTGCTTTACAATGCTAAAGACACTGTGTTTTACCAAGCTGCAATACGTCTGAGGGACCTAGGGGGCGCTATCCTGAGGCACGCTCAGAGACAAGCCCAAAACACAGGCTTCGACCTGGACACGGGCATGCACCTGGCAGAATCGCCAAACAAAAATGACTACTACCGCTGCACTTTTGAAGACGGTAAGTGGTTTCATATAAAACAAATACAAAGATGAACAAATTACTTGTATTTGGATGGAATTTTGGTATTGGGCCACAAGCAACACCTTAGTAGCTAAAATGCAATGCTGGAGCACATTTTCATCTATTTTTAAGGGTGTAAATTTGTGGAATTGAGATGTTAATTTTTTTTTTTTACATTTTTAAAATCTGCTTTAAGTAAGCGATAAAGTACATTCAGATGGTTGTTATTACAGAATAAAGTCTAAAATAAAGGACGTTATGCGAAAACAATTCAATTCAGCTTTATTTGTATAGCACTTTTACAATGTAGATTGTGTCAAAGCAGCTTCACATAAATGGTCATAGTAACTGGAACAGTGTAGTTCAGTTTTTAGTGTTTAAGTTCAGTTTAGCTCAGTTCAGTGTGGTTTAAATCATTACTGAGAGTTCAAACACTGAAGAGCAAATTTATCGATGCGTAGCTCTACCAATCCTGAACCATGCGAGCCAGTGGCGACAGCGGAGAGGGAAAAAAACTTCACCTGATAGGAGTGAAGAAAAAAAAACTTGGGAGAACCAGACTCAGTTGGGCACGACCATTTTAATTTCTCTGCTGGCCAAAAGTCTTGTACAGAGCTTCAGTCACCGCGGTGGAGGCTGGAAGATGGCCTCAGCGAAGACTCGTCTGTCCCATCAGCGCAGCAGCAGCTCAGGATATGGCCTGGTCCCGCATATGGAAACCTTGGGATCATCTCGTCGCTGGTCTTGGAGTCAGTGACTCTGCATAATCTAAGAAAAACAACTGCCTGGGTTTACTTTATCCTGCTTAATATATGCCTACTTACCAATAAAACGTAAAAATCAGGCCTAAAAATTGTTCTGATCAATAATAGTTCTTCAATAATTGTTTGATTAAAGTCAAAGCTGACCGAAACAAAAACAGCTGATGGAGTAAACACTAACCTACATATTATTCAATCGAAGATGCCACCAAACAGTCAAAAACAAGACAGACAAGCATGTAAATATGGATGTGAATGTATTCTCTGGTGGTCAATGTTGGGCTTGTCTTAATAGTTTCAACAGTTGTTATCTGGGAAAAGCATATCTTGGAATGTCACGACTGACCAATCAGAATCAAGTATTCCAGATAAAACATGTAATTATTGCTATCTATTTTCTTATGGTCATTAGCATACAGGACCCTAACTGTTTAAGGTTTTCAGTTTACCCCGAGATCCTGAAAATCACAACATAATGCTTGTTTACACGCACTATTTACACACAGCTCATTCTGATTCTTATCATGCTGATCACTGCAAGCCAAATAGGAAGCAGTATATCTTCTGTTACTGATGGTTTGGTTCTGTTGTTTATAGTTGACACGCTGCTAGACCCTGATAATCGATTGCACATGACGACGGAAAACCAGTTGAGGGAGCTGCTAGAAAAATTAGACGTGGTGACGTCCATGCGCTCGAGCGGCGCACGAACACGACGGGTCCGCCTGCTGCGACGAGAAATCAACAAAGTCCGCTTTAAGCAGAACTTAAAAAACTCACACATGCTCAATGGAGACCTCAAAGAAGATGATGACGAGGATGATGAAGACAAAGAGATGGATGCTGATCATAACCTGTCATCATCGTCGTCAGATAAAGGTGAGATGTGCCTTCCCTTCAACTTTCAAAATTTCATTTATTTATAACTTTTTTGAGAATTAAATGATTTTTTTCGTATACTGGAACCAAATAGTGATTTAATAAATCTCTGAATGCTGTTTAAAGGCCCATATGATTTCTTCCATAACTGTTTGCATTCCCAAACATAACCAACATTGTGGGCTCTATTTTGAAGGTCTGGGTGCTAAGTCTAAAGCATGTTGTTCAGTAGCATTAAGGGAGTGTCCAAATCCACTTTTGCTATTTTAAGAATGGAAAAATACGCTGCGGCACATCTAACAGGATTGTGCTTATTCTCTTAATGAGTTATGGATGTGTTTTGAGAATAAAGACTGATTTATACTTCTGCGTCAGGTGACCGGCGTAACCAACAGCGCATACAACGTGTGTGGCTGTGCATTTATACTTCTGCGCGCTGTCTCTGTTGGTCTGCATTAACACTTCCGAAACAATAGTTGGCAGTGAGGTGTAAATGTTCCTCTGTGTCGAGTTTCTTTGCTACTTTTTTGCTTTTCCTGAACACTTCCGGGGTGTACAAGTGGCTCAAACTCGCTCATTTTGAGGCAGGAACCGGCGGACGTGCAACAACTTTAACTATGAGGTAAACACAAAACTAACCTTTCCATCAGGAGCTCCTTCACGGGACTCCACACTTGTAAACAATCGCTCGCGCGGCGTCGCGCCATTCGTGCGGCTCTCGGTCCTGCCCAGACTCGTCAGCGCTACCAAGCCGACCAATCACAGAGCTTACGGTACGCGTCGTTGCGACGTGTAGTTACATTTTTTGAGAGGTGCACGTCAGTGACGGCGATGGCCACGGCGAAGGGCTATGCGTCAGCGCCGTAGCATACGCCGGTGTTTGACGCAGAAGTATAAATCAGCCTTAACGTGCATTAAACCAATCAGAGTCTCATCTCCCATTCCCTTTAAGAGTCAGTTGCATCGCACCATAGCGCATTTGGTATTTACATGGTGGATTTTGTAAGTGGAAAAACTGAAGGCTTCACTAACAGTTAAACAGACATCTGCAGCGTGAGGATAAGAACAAACTCCTCCATTCAGTCTTTTTTCTTCCTCTTTACTTTACTCCTTTGAAAACTCCTTTTCGAGGAGTAAGGAAACGGTGTTGTACACAGTTGGTCAATGGCAATCTATTTCAATTTCTAAAAATAGCAACGCACCAACAATGCGCATTAACACACCTCCTTTATAGACTGGCACACCCATGAGTCCACAAAGTGGTGCAAAAGGATTTGCTATTTAAACATTGTGGTGCAAAACATGAAAATTAGGGTTGTGCTGGTCTGAAAATAGCAACAAATTGCGCTAAACATGTATTGCGCCGGGTGTATGACAGGGCCCTGTGTTTTCGCATGCTCCGTTGTATTTAATGTTGCACATACAAAAGAAAACATGTTTAAGCTTTCACCCAAATAGTGGCCATTTATGCTGCGTCCCAGTTTGCAGATTTAAACTAAGTTCTAAAAGTATGTATTGTATTATTATTATTTTATTATATTATTTTTAAGTATATAAAAGTATCAAAAACGTACATACTTAAAAAAAAAATAACTATACCATAGACTTTTTGAGTGTGTAAGACAAGAGTATGCAAGATTTGGGACTTACTACCTCTTCATTAATGGACTGTGCTTGGTTGTGTGCCCTATCAATCATCATGTCACATCATCCACATTTCCTTCATATTTAATTTCCTACCATATTGGAGGTGCAGCAGAAGGTTAATCTGCCCTTCTTGGGTCTTTCATGCATAGAGATCTTCTCAGGTGCTTTCAAATGTTATTGACCGAACACATCTTTATAAAAGTTCACAATGTTGTCATAATATACTATAAATATAGCGTGGAACATAGGAAATGAATATATTCCAGAATCCAGCAGGTCAGATTTTAATTAAGAATCATTAAAAATCCTCTCCACTTAACAATTAGTCTTCCACATTTACTACTTTGTAGTTTAACACTTGATGTAGTTCTAAATTAATTAATATCCAACGCACAGAGTATTGTGGGCAATATTAACCGTTAGTGCATGCATCTGCACGTCAAATTCTTCCCAGAAATATTAGATCATCTGGGTAAATTTGCAGTACTCTTTCCAACATTATATCATTTGGGACACACTAATTGCATTTTCGAGTTCTATTCTGGACATTTAGTATGTGAACTGGGATGCAGCATCATAGTGCGCTATAGTTTTTAGTTGAAATATCAAACCATTCTTGTCCAAGTTAAAGACAACAGACTGCACTCTGGTGTCATTTGTTAAGCATTTTCTCACAAATTCAGTCACAGTCCAGAAGAAAAAAAGGTTGTTACTTAGACTCGTCATGACCAAAACATTCTTGAACAGTGATTGAAACCAGTAGCTCCAATGCAACGACTCTCTCACTCACTGTAGGGTGGGATTTGACTGATGAACTGCAAACTGATGCTTTTGTCAAGTCGAAATCTAAATTTGAGTGAAATTGTAATTCTTATCAGCGATTGTGTTTTCAATTAAATCATTTATTAATTAATTAATTAATTTATTTTTTATTTGGTAAAAGCTAAAGGACTGATGTTTTATGTGGAGCTGCAAAAAATATTTTCTATTATATGTTTATCATTAGGTTTATGTTTAGGTTTATAAGATTAGGTCTATTTTATGGCGTTGTGTGACTATAAAGAAGAAAATATATATTATTAGTAGTAAAATATAGGATTGGTAGGGTTATAACAAGTTTCAAGGGTATAACAAGGTCAAGTTTTTGGGTTATGTTCGGCAATATGCCCCAATGAACCAAATTCATATATTTAATTCAATTACATCTCATTTATTAATCAAACTTGTTATAATGTTTTCAGTGTTTTGATCAATATTGAGCAGTTCTCAATAACATTTGTGATGTTAAATAAACGGTGACATGTTTGCTTTCCTGCACCAATTAATAGATGACCATGAAAGACTGCGCATACTTTATTTTACAGTTTAATTTTCATGTGTGAGGCAGTGTATAGTAAAACACAAACTATGCATGTAGTTTTGCAGACTCCTACAAAAAGCTTTTTTTTTAAAGGAACATGTTTTCTGAACACTTATACTGTCTGTTGGTGCTCTTGATTTGCCGGATTCAATCTGCTAAATTAATACTTTTGGCCCAAACATGCATTCACAATGGTTTAAACCATTATAGGGGTGGTCAAATGTATATTTACATTATTATTTAATTTATTAATATTACTTAAAAAAAAAAAAAAAACATCAGAGCAAATTATTTCTTAGCTATTGAAGGGCAGACTACCCATACATCTTGTTTTGTTGTTCTTCAGGGAGAATCAAGCATTAATTAGGGAGGTCAGACCCCTCCAAACCTCCCTGTAATTTGCACCCTGGTTATAACTATAACTGGGTATCGGCTGGGTTTTAAAAAGTCTTAATGTCTTACATTTCAAAAACAATATTTTAGGCCTTAAAGTCTTAAATTCCCTAAAATATGGTCTTGTAGATCCTAATTTTCCTTTGTTTATGTAAAGCTACACAATCGATTCAACCTATAGCCAATCTCCAAACAACACATCTCAATAAAAATGGAGCAAAACTATATTCATAACTAATTTTATAACAGTCATTTGTGCATACATAGTTTTAAAGAGTTTTTTTTTTTTATTATGTAGAAAAAAAAGTATGTATACAACTAAAGTCTGCTTGTATTGAAATATGTCCAATATTTCATTTTTCATGGTCTTAAAGTCTTAAATTTGTGTCTGCGACAATAGCCTAGTAGTTAAATGTGCTGACATAGCACCATGGTGCACACTGCTACCTGAGTTTGATTACCGTCTTGAGGTGTTATGCTTATCCTTCCCTGCTCTCTGTTCCCAATGCTTTCCTGTCTGTTCTCCACTGTCCTATCCCAATAAAAGGTGAAAAACAAAAAAGTCTTAGATTTGACTTGGTGAAACCTGTAGAAACCCTGTATAGGAAATATAAATAAGTAAAAACGTTAACTAACAACTATTTGTTACCCATACATAAAATAAAATGGAAATAATAATAATAATAATAATAATAATAATATTTCTTGTGCATTCTTTAATCATTTTTAGTTTTTTTTTTTATTTAATAAATTGTAATTCGACAGTTTTAAATAATCGAATTTCCTTTAATCTTTCGTGATCACCTTCCATTTTACACAATATATAACAATTTATCTGCTGTTGTTTTATTTTGATTGGTTTTATTATTTATAATAATATTTCTTGTGTCTTAAATGAATAGTTCACTCAGAAATTAAAATATACACATTTGTACTCAAAAATGCAGATATTAAAAAAAAAGTTTAAAGTATATTGGTAAATAATACTCATAAATGTAATTATAATGCCACAGTCCAACTCTTAAAATTACAGTGCTAATATTAATGTCTTAATTTGTTCAATTTAAAACACTTAACCGTCTAGCATTTTATTTGCACTGGTGTTTGCAGTGCGATTTTATTTTATTTTAAAAAAAAAAGTGTCCTTGGCGGTTGCAAATGAGTGTTTTTCTTCTGTTGAACACAAAAGAAGAGGTGCGTCCCAAATCGCACACTAATGCACTATTCTACGCCATCTTGTAGTATAAATAGTGTAAGTAGTGCATTCACACTAAAAACACTCGGATGATGCTCTTATTCAAGCGTTAAAATAAAGTGTTGAATGTTGGACACTTCACAAACTCAACGGCCGCAGCTTTGCTCACATAGCAGAAGGGGCGGAGCTATTGGGCACTGATGTTGGATTATTTTAGATTGTGAAAGCAAAATTCTCCTATGAGAGTGATTATAGGGCCTCCTGATGATAAATGTTATACTCATGGCAGGTATGATTTGGCAGTTTGGACATTTATTTCACTAATTTGGCAACCATCAAACATCCTCAGGGAAACTGTTCAAATTTTTGCTTAGTTAAAAAAAACAGTGTTGCATTTGGGACGACACTACGATATTGTGAAGAAAGCTGAAAACACAATATACCGCCATAGCTGGAAAAACAAATTCTATGGAGGTCAATGGCTACACGTGTTCAACATTTTTCAAAATATCTTCTTTTGTGTTGAACAGAAGAAACTCATACAGGTTTGGAACAAGTGAAGGGTGAATAAATGATTGATAGATGATGAAAACCATCCCCTTCATTTTCTCTCTCAAATTTTTACACATTAAAAAAAGATTTCAGATTCCGGATATTTCTCCTAACTATTCCTCTTTTCCACCCAGATGATTGTAAATCCACCCCTCCACCCATGCTGGAGCCCACAGGCCTAGCTTTGTCCCCTCCGCCAGGAGACACTCCACAGGAACCACCAACCCTCCGACCAATGACATCCGACCCCAGAACCTCCTCGTGCCCACCAAAACGCCTCAAACTCAACAGCGAGAGGCAAGAGCTCGACTCAGACCCCACACCTATGAACAGCTGCACCAAACTAGAGGACGCACCACCTGAAATTAAACTATTCAATGGTCTTTCGTCCACTGAATCACCGTCCCGGCCCAATACTGGAGGAGTCGGGAGAAGAACATCCGTCCTCTTTAAAAAAGCAAAAAATGGAGCCAAACTCCAGCGTGAAAGAGACAATCAGATGCAGAATGGAAACCGGGAGGACGGAGATGCTGCACGCACACACAACTGCACCGCCACCGTCAAGACTGAAACTACAGCCCAGCCAAAACCCTCCACACCTCCGCCCATTTCAGTCCCAGCCAAACAGCAGACGAGGAGCCACAGCTGCAGTCCAGAGCGCGAGAGGACGCCTCCTCGACTCACTCTAGAGCCTGGTAATAAACACTGCGGCTTTATTACATGCTGCTTCACAATGCCACCCAAACAAAGGGGAAATATAACTGCGTTTACTTTTACATTCATTCATTAAAAAAGTCATTTTTCAAAGTCCCGTGAAATTAAAATAAAACATTTTAGATGTTCTGCTCCAAAACAATAGAGCTGTGAACCTACACTAGTCTCACAGTTCGGTTCGGTTACGATTATCATGCCATCGATTCGGTTCAATTCGATATTTCGGTGCATCACGGTGCATTGACGATGCTTTTATACTTTTTTCACAGCAGCAGCTCTTGTATTAAAATGTATGAATATATTTATATTTATATAGGTTATTATTTGTAATACAATTGTGTCATTTAATACAAACAGTCAGATATATAAACTGTAACTTTGAAAAAAACGAGCATTAAGCAAATAATATAAACAAATATAAATATCCAGCTCAATATCTGATCCTTGTCTAGTTCTCTTACACCCCTTTGATTGGGATTGATTGGGTTGCGATTGGCTGTTGCGCGCTGCGCTCTTCAGATGAATGATAAGCGGCAGGTAGCAGCGGCGATCTCACAGCTGATGTATGATAGACATGGTGGAGAAAACTCTGCAGCTCGTTTCTGCATCCAAAAGTAACGCTGTAAAACAGCCGAGAGGAGAAGAAAAGCCACGCCAGCAGGTCAAATGGGCCACTGTGTTTGTGTGAGAAAGAGAGAGAGACAGAGCGAGCGAGCGAGAGAGAGAGAGAGAGAGAAAGAAAGAAAGAAATGGAGTAGGCTACTTTCATTCTCAAACTCACACAGTGAAATTGTGCACAGTTCATGAGTATTAAGTAGTTAGAGCGTTGTAAATACTCGCGACAGAGCGCATATGAGGTAAATGATGTCAGTAATAACCGGTTATGATTATTACTAAACCGATACCGAATTGTCCGCGTCTGCATCGCAGTGCATCGAAGAAACGATTAATTTTGACACCCCTACAAAACAATGACAAAATTAACTTTTAGCAGGTATAAAACTGACATAACATATAAAGCTTACAGTTTGTCACTTCTGCCTAAATGGATCAATGATTTCTTTTATCATGTCACCTCATACTTTAGTTTATCATCAAATCTTCACCAATCAATGCTCTCTAGTATCTGACATGCCCCGCCCCCTTTAAGACTCTTCCCATTTGGTTTTCCATTTGATGCACTTGACCTCAGCCACTCTCTCTGGCAGAGCTATATGATATACCTTATATTATACAGGGTTCAACGCTAAGGATTTTTTCTACTGGTCCGATCTGGCCAGTGGTTCAGATTTTTACTTGCCCTGCAAAAATTTTCTCTGGCCTTACAGAGAAAAAATCAAATTTAATAGCCATTTTTAGCCACATATTTTAAATAATGTCTATAATTGTTTAAATATTAATAATTATTTAATTAATGTATTTCTATAATTCTGTGTTACCAAAACAAAAAGAGCAGGATAGAAAGTGTAAAGGTATTTTATTGCAGTTCGAAATTATTTAACAAAAGGTGATTTCAAGGTGGGCATCTTTCACACTGGCCCCGGGCCATTTGGGCAGTCCTTATTGTTGAGCCCTGTTATATCATTATTGTTGTTTTTTACATTATTATTTTTATTATTACAAAATGAAAGTATTAAAACAAGAATGAATGAAGTATATGGTAAATAATAAACAGAATCGTAATTCTAATAATGCTACAGAAGTCCAACTCTCAAGATTACAGTGCTAATTATTAACAGTTATTTTAATTTGATCAGTTTGAAACATTTTACAAAGTGCTTTACATAAACAAGATTAAAAGAAACAAGAAAATAAAAATGATTAAAATAATTAAAATTGATTAAAAACTGAATAAAATGTGTTAAAACAGGTTATAAAAGAATGGAAAAGACACTATTTGCATTGTAATTTGCATTGTGAAAATATTTTTTTTGAATTTAATTTAGTTTAACAGTAATTTTCATGACCAGAACATTTTCTTGAACACCATTTTCTTTCTCTCTTTTTATTTTTTGTCTTTTAGCGCTCACCAATGGTTTCAGAAAGCACAAAGATGGCGGCTCTGACTCAGAATGCAGCTCATCTCCGACTCTGAGAGAACTGTGAGAGGACAAAACAAATCGAAACTTGTCTGCATCATATAGTACATTTTGCACACCGTTAACAAATATTATTTATGTTGGTTTCAGTATCTCACCGCCTAAAAAGAGCAGAGGAAAACCTGCTTTGTCCAAAGTACCATTTTTAGAGACTGTTAATGGAGACTCTGACTACACTGGGACTGGTAAGAAATTAATCCCATTGAAATGTCAGTGTATATATATATATATATATATATATATATATATATATATATATATATATATATATATATATATATATATATGGGTGGGTGTGTTTGTGTATATACTTATATTTACAGTATTTGTTCTGAGCAGATGTGCTGTCGAATGGAGATACGCCTGAACCTGAACCTCTGGATTTGGTGTGGGCCAAAAGCAGAGGATATCCGTCCTACCCTGCTCTGGTGAGAGAGGGCGCTCTACGCCTATATTACTATCAAACTACACTGCAGTGCATTATTTGGAGCCATGCAAATGTTAGTATGTTAAAAATGAGCATTAAGAGATCATTAACCTGACTCTTATTTAAAATTCAGTTCTTTTTAATTAGTCTTCATGTTAATAGGATGAGTGTGACATCAGACAATTATCTTGTTTGCTCAATTAACATTATTTGTCTCATAATCATTTTCTTTGAAAACATATTCCTCATCTCAGTGTTTTTTGTTTACTGAACACATTTGACCAAGTTGGTATTCCAACAGTTGTATAGTTAACAGTGTGTTCGCATATTCCAATAAATAATCAAAATAATAAATTAATCTAAGTAAATAAATCCAATTCATTTTGTAGTTTTATGTTGATTGCTGTTGATTTCTCATGTTTTTAATTTCATTTAAATAGATTAAAGCTACATTTTGAGTTAATATTGTTAGATTATGTCCTGCACTTCTACAGAAAAAATAATTTAGTTGTTTTCTTGAATAGTGTTTTGTTATTGTTTTCATTAGTTGTTATTTTTAGTCATTATTTTTTTATCAAATTTCACTTTTTTACAGAATGTATCACATTTTATTTGCAGTTGTTTATTCTGTTTGACTGTTGTTGCATTTGAATTGTTTGCATTTTATTTAAATATTTTTTATTTGACATAAAGGATTTCATTCATTATTAGCATAATTGGGATGATTAATCTCAAGAACTCCTTGTTTTTTCATATTTTATGATTTTATTTAATTGAATTTAAAGGGCACCTATAATGAAAATCTACTTTTTAAAGCTGTTTGGGCAGAACTGTCTTTATGTATAGTGTGTCCACAGTCAAATAAAGTGACAGAAACCCAAAAAAAACCTCTTTAAAAAATTTCCTGACTTTAAAATTGGATTCAAATCAGTACATGACGTAGGAGTGTGGTTTTCCCACTGATTGTCATTGTTTCTATAATAACATGTACTGCATACACATGTCAACAAAACATTTTTTGCAAATAAACTGAGATTAAAATATTTGTTACAACCCTGTGATTATTTTAAAAATAAGTTTTATAAGTTTAAAATGTTTTTAAAACAAAGCATTATTGTAATAAAGATAGTAAAATTTCTATGGAATTCTTGACCGCTATAAACACCACGGCCACATGGTGTCAGTAAACATTAAGATGTGTGTGACTCATCATTTCAGAAAGGCTTGAATAGACTCCCGCAAATACATCAAATAAACTTACATGGTATTTTTGACTAATGAGATGTATTTTAACTTCATCCGTGTCTGTCTCTGTCACTGACTGCTGTTTATCTGACGTAACGCAGGACAAACAGACTTTCACATGGAAATAGTGGGCGGGAAGAAGTAACTCATTTGCTACACTACTCCGACAACAAAATGGGCAGATTCTAGAGGTTATAATAAATGATCTAAAGGGTGTTTTGAGCTGAAACTTTACAGACACACTCTGGAGACACCAAGGGCTTATCTTACATCTTGTAAAAGGGGTAAAAAAGGTGCCCTTTAAATTCATCTTTTTTTTTTTTTTTTTGATTAGTAATTTCACTCACAAATGCCAGTTGCATCCCTGGTTTACTCCAAGTAAAAAGACCTTTTTAAATGTTTTATTAAGGTACACTTTATAGCACTTCTGTGACACATTTTCATTTTGTTCTCATCTATTTCAACACAGACATGTCTAATAAAATAACTTCACAGTTGCATTTAGCACAGCTTCAAAGCAAAGCACTGACATTTAAAGCTGAAGCGGAAGGTTAAAATGGCTCTTCATTCTGTAGATCATAGATCCAGACATGCCTCAAGATGGTCTTTTGCATAACGGCGTCCCGATCCCTGTTCCTCCACTCGACGTGCTTCGCCTCGGGGAACAGAGACAAGAAGAAGCCGGAGAAAGACTTTTCCTGGTTCTCTTCTTCGACAACAAACGCACCTGGTGAGCCCAGCCTTTGGAGATTTTCTTGTTTTCCTTCAGATTACCCACCAGACTTTGCATTCTCAAATGACCAGAATCCGCTGGCTTTAAGGATTTTGAAAGGAACTGTGAGTGAATTCTCATTTCTTTTTTTTTTTGCTGTATCCGCAGGCAGTGGCTCTCGAAAGATAAAGTGATTCCTCTCGGCGTCGACGACACCACTGATAAACTGCGTATTATGGAGGGCAAGAAGACCAGTATCAGGAAGTCTGTGCAGGTGGCCTACGATCGAGCTATGAAGCACTTGAGTCGAGTTCGAGGAGATCATGGTTTCGTTGGCTCCAACTACATGTAGAGCAGAAACATCAACCACATCTGACTGTTTAAAACAGTAGTGGCCAACCCTGATCCTGGAGATCTACCCTCCTGCATATATCTCAGTTGCAATCTAGATCAAACACACCTGCCGGTAATTATCAAGTGCTGTTCAGGTCGTAATTAATTAGTGCAGGTGTGTTTGATCAGGGTTGCAGCTGAACTCCACAGGAAGGTCAATCTCCAGGAACAGGGCTGATCACCCTTGGTTTAGAGGAACAATCCAGTTTTTAAAATAAAAATAGGCCCATTTTACAAGTTCTCTAGAGTTAAACAGGTGAGTTTTATCATTTTTGAATCCATTCAGCCAATTTCTGGGTCTGGCGGAAACACTTTTAGCTTAGCATAGATCAGGCGGTCACTAATCTCATTCCTGGAGGTCCGGTGCCCTGCAGGATTTAGCTCCAACTTGCCTCAACACACCTGCCTGGATGTTTCGAGTATACCTAGTAAGACCTTGATTAGCTTGTTCAGGTGTATTTGATAAGTGTTGGAGCTAAAATCTGCAGGACACCGGACCTCCAGGAACAAGTTTTGTGATCGCTAGCATAGATCATTAAATCATAATAGACCATTAGCATCTCGCTGAAAAATGACCTGAAGGAATGGCTGAAAAGAGTCTCTAGCTAGGTAACTTCCTATGTTGGGTTATATTGACTGAAGTTGGCTGAATTTTCAGGTGCTGTGTTATATCATTGTGCCGCTTCAGACATGGTACGGCAGTAAAGTTTCTTGATTATTACACTGGAATGAGAATATAGATCCTAGGTCTCAAACTCAATTCCCGGAGGGCCGCAGCTCTGCACAGTTTTGCTCCAACTTTAATCAAACACAGCTGATCCAAACAATTGAGGTGTTCAAAAGAGTCATGAACACTTCATTCATAGATCAGCTTTGTGTGATTAGGGTCTGACCTAAACTGTGCAGAGCTGCGGCCCTCCAGGAATCCAGTTTGAGTATGGTAGAGCTTCTAGCCATATCGATCCGATGTTCTTCGTACGCACTTTAACTACAGAGGTGTCACATTTAAATAATAAAATTATTGAAACTGGTTATTTTTGAGCAACATGCTAACGGTCTAATCTAATTCAATGATCTATGCTAAGCCAAGCTAAAAGTGCTGGATTCAAAAATGATATAACTCAACTGTTTTACTCTAGGGGAGTTGCGAAATGAGCCTATTTTCAAAAGGAAGTGTAGTGTTCCTTTAAATAATAGGCCTCAAACTCGATTCCTGGAGGGCCGCAGCTCTACCCAATCAAACACAGCTGATCCAACCAATCAAGGTGTTCAAGACTACTCGAGACTATAAGGTGTGAGTTGGAGGTGTTTGGAGCTAAACTGTGCAGAGCTGCAGCCCTCCAGACATTGAGTTTGAGACCACTGCTTTAAATGGAACCTGAACACTGAGAATAGTTTAATTTAACCCTTTGCTGCAAATCACATTCAGTCTAGTTTTACTTTTACCAGATTTTGGAGGTCATATGAGAGTGCTATGGTTTGTTTTTAGGAGGCGTCACTTTATGGTCATTTAAATCACCCAGACTCCGAGTTTTAGCCTTTTGGGTACATTCAGAGCAATTAATACTTTTAAATGATTGATTGATTGAATGAATTTAAGCGTTTGAATGAATCACTGCCATTTTCTTAAGATAGCTTTTTACTTTTTAAAGTTTTACAAACCACTTATTGTATATTGTAAAGAGCACCAGTGTATATAAGTATGTTTGTTTTTTTATCATATAGTCTCTAATTTAATTTTTCTTTTCTCTTGTGAAATAAATTGCCTGGGGGAATGATGAAATGAAGGTTGTATATATAAATATATACATGTGTAAAAAGATTTTCAGATGAACTGACTTCCTACATAGTGTATCCTGCTTGTCTTTGATATCCAGATAGTGTGAGTGGTTCATATATATGTACATGACCGGTATACAATCATGTATGTATGTGTATATGCAACAACTCGCGTGTCTATGGTTAAATATATATTCTCAATTTTTTGATACAAAAAAGTAATTTATTTATGGAGCATAAAGAAATAAAGGAACTAAATTATATTGGTTCAAGGCGAAAATCAGATGTCTTATTTAAGATGATAAACTATTATTGCTTAGGCTTTTAAGAGCCAGCTATGTGCTTTCGGATTCTGATTAGTTCATTTTAAGATTTAAAGGAGGGAAGAGGACGATGATCTTGGACACTTGCTGTTAGACAGTACAAATCCCTTTTCACATCAAGCACAGAACCTTGTATTTATTGTAGAAAGTTGTGGAGCTTTTGTTCACCATTTATAAGAAGAAATTTTAAGCTTGTACAAACTGCAGATTTTACCTACCTACCAAATAACCTGTCTCAAACAGTATTTTCTCATGTGGGGAAATAAATGTTCTATTGAAACTCTACGACTGTGTTTGATTTGAACATTGTTTTGGTAACACTTTACAATAAGGTTCATTAGTTAATGCATTAATTAACATGAACTAATCCTGATTAACACTTGTACAGCATTTATTAATCATAATTGAACATTTACTAATGCATTATTAACATCCAAGTCTGTGCTTGTTAACATTAGTTAATGCACTGTGAGTTAACATGAACTAACAATGAACAACTGTATTTTCATTAACTAAAATTTACTAACATGAATAAATACTGTAGTAAATGTATTGTTCATTGTTTGTTTGTTCATGTTAGTAAATGTATTAATTAACATTAACCGATTAACCTTATTTTAAAGTGTTGCCATTGTTTTTAACACCACTGTGGCTGGTCAGTTTCACGAGACATAATTTAGTTGTTGTTAAAATATATTTGATATGCTAAATTGTACTTTTGCATGCTAAAAGTACTTGAGTGAGAGACATTTTACTTGATTTGGGTCATAAAAAAATCTGTGACCACCAAAATAATGATAAAAGTAGCCTAAACCAGCTGGTATACAGTAGTCAACCTAAAACTTACATTACAACAGCCAGGCATAGAGTTATAACATTACAGTTCCCATGGTTTCTATTTTAAACTATAGTAAACTAAAGTTTGAAACTATAGTTTAAAATAGTCTATAAGTGGGCCTCGCTGTTCCCACCCACCATAACCCTTGCAGCGGGGTCCCACTACCGGCCTCCCGTGTTTGCCTGAGGGTTTTCACGGCTCGTTTTGCCGCCTCGCCCCAGGGAGTGCACGAGCTTACCGGGCGCCAGTCCGTGCCAGTGTTCACTGGAATGTTGCTCGTTGGCACATTTCGAGCAACAAACCCGTAATATTCTTGGCGATATTGCGTTTATCTACGCAAACTGCAAGGAATACAGCACAGACGGGCCGAGTGAAGCTTCACAAAGCGGACTTTGTGAGATTGGCGTGGCTCCACTTGTACCGTCAGCTATGGAACTCACCTTGGTCAAGTACAAACAGCATCAACGAGCGAACTGACAACACAGAGAGAACTGACAAGCTTTATAGGAATGCAGATCCAACGTTTACAGATTGTCATGGTGAGCAATGATGACAGCTGGGGAATCTACGTCATTGAAACGTCAAATGATTATACCCACTACGTTCCTACTTCAAAGGAAAGGTGATTCTGAGCTCTTTGCAGCAAGTTGCGGTCGGCCATATTTGTTGACAAAAAGCTAATTATTTTGATGTGTGTTAGACCTTCTAACAGAGTTTAAGTCACGAGCTACAGACTATTTAATTTTAATTACATAGCTGTAAAATATCTATAAAATGAACCGCTAAGTAAAAGAAAGTTTTAATTAGTAGTTTATCAGTTTAAGAAATAAAATGCAGTATTATTTATTAAGAGTTGTAAATGCATGTTAGTAGTAATACACTTGATTATACTGTAAAAAAACACTTTTTGAAACATTTTAATGGGACACAATATTGTTGAAGTTTCTTATATTTGACCACAAAATAATAAAGTAAAATTAAGCAACTTTAAAGAATATCTAAATGTAAATTTTGTTTCTTTGACGATAAGATAATGTGCCGTAATTTAGGAAATTGCTGTCTGAAAAACGATTTTATATGACTAAATAAGAGAACGTTGAGATCATTAATTAGTTTATTATACACTCAATCCGACAATTAGATGACGTAATTTGTGTTTTCTTTGTGTATGTGGACGTGTGACAAATAGCTTTAAATATTTTTTTTTATGTAATTTGGGCACCAAAACACACAGTATGCGCTTCACAAAGCTTAAAATGACCGTTACGATACAATAATGAAACAATGACTCGTATAAGAAACTAAACAGTTCACAGTCTATTATAATGAATGGCAATCGGTCGCCATATTTGTAAAAACTGAAAATGAATATAAGTTATAAAGTATATAACAAACTTTGAAAACCATTTCAGACTAATGAAGTGTTGCAAATTGACACGTTTCCTACCTTGTTAAATCATTGCTATTGTAAGAAATGAAATCTTTAACACGATTATTGTCTTCACATTGATGAATATAATTAATTATTAACAACAACATATAATCAAGATTGAGCAAAAATGTTATTTGAGAAGTGTGCATCAAACTGTAGACCTTCACATTAATCAGTACCCAAGAAGTAGCTTTCAGTTTCAAAAAAGTTGGTGACCCCTGAGTTACCAACCCCCAAAATAAGAAAAAGTAGAAGAAGACTGATAAAAAAAACTGATAATTTCAGTTTTTCTCAGTTGCTTTGGCACATCTTCTAAATAATCTTAATAAAAGCTGTTTGCTAGAACTTCAGCACTTCATTGCACATCTGCAAAATGTAGTTACAGCCCCAAAACATTACAATTATGCTTCAAAACTTTGTTATCGTGTCAGTAATTTGGCCAAGGCCACCAAAATATAGTGTATTCGTCCAAGTTTGAGCCACACTGCTCAACATGATTAGCTATTTTTTCACCTTGACACTCAACCAAGAAATTAAGACTTGCATAAAAAAAACCTGATATTTGTTAAGAAGAGTGAATGAATAGTACATAAAAAATTATATTTTGTATTTATACAGTACATTTATTTGTGAACAAAAGTATTACATGCAAAGTGCATTCTTGCTTGTCCAATTCTGTATTGTATGTTTCTGATGTTACCACAAATACACACACAAAAAAACTACAAAATATCATCTATAAAAATATTCTTGGTGGACATCGTTTGTCTATATATATATAGTTGAAGACAAAATTATTAGCCCCTCTGTTTATTTTTCCCCATTATCTGTTTAATAGAGAGCAGATTTGTTCAACACATTTCTAAACATAATAGTTTTACTAACTCATTTCTAATGACTCGTTTATTTTATCTTTGCCATGATGACAGTTAATAATATTTAGATATTTTTCAAGACACTTCTATACAGCTTTAAAAAAAAAATTGCTTTTATTCTAGCCGAAATAAAACAAATAAGACTCTCTCCAGAAGAAAAAAATATATTTTCAGACATAGTGTGAAAATTTCTTTGCTCTGTTAAACATCATTTGGGAAATATATTTTTTTAAAAAAGAAAAGAAAAGAAAATTTAAAGGGGGGCTAATAATTCTGACTTCAACTGTATGTATATGTATATATATATGTGTATATATATATATATATATATATATATATATATTTGACATGGTGTAATCCTTTTCAAGGTATACTGCGGTATGAAAAAGTAAAGGTCTCAAAACCGCCCAAATTTTCTGCTATACTGTTTCTACAGTATGTGTATGTTGTTGTTTTTTTCACTTTTTGTTTTACGTTCTTTTTTAGGACAATTAGAGGTCATACCAATTTAGCAGACATTACATTGTCAATATCAGATATTTTATGGTGTAAACGTACGCATGCTAATGTAAATGATTATTGAATAGTTTTGAGTATGATGGCTTACACGATGAAAAATGATTGAGAAGATGTGAAGAGTTGGACAGTTTAAAGGAGAATCGACTGTGGGAAGCCATATGTAATGTTTTTTTTCATAAATACAGACATTTGTACTTGCCAAAGCACTTGGTTGTGATCAGTTATTTTGTCTAGGAAATCTCCTGAAATCTGCGATGTACTGTAATTTGACAGCACTGCATAGCACAAAGAAAAAACAAACAAAAGTAGAAATGTAACGTAAACATAGGACCTTTGAGATGCACCTTCATTTGAAAAAGTCAAGATTGACCTGGGAGAAATTTCCTAATTGTCGACAAATTTAGAAAAAAAAGTCTAATGGAAATGCATATTGACTAAATATTATGAAAACTTGTTCAGCCATTTTACCTGACTTATGCCATGAACAAACAAATGTTGTGAGGGTGACATTCAAACCATCAAAAACCATAAGAAACGCTTTCCATCTGTCAATCATAATATGCGCGCGAAATTGTAGGGATTCGGTTGGCTGATGTATTTGGAGGAGGGCGGGGTAGAGTTGCAATAAGCGTCTGGTGAAAGTAAAAGTGACGCTGCGTGTTTGTGAGTCGATGTAGTTAGTCGCTGTGTGTGCCTTGTGAGTGCCCACACAATATTTTATTAACAAACATCGACCTGTGATGAGGTAATCAAAATTACACTGTCTCGTCACATTTTTGTTGGTGTCTTGCTCACGTTTTGCTGAAATTTCTTATGTTTACTTTCGAGTAGGGGCAGCAGAGCAGTAGGGGGCAGCAGAGAGTCAGTGTTTATGACCGAAGAACACATGCAGAAACATCCCACAACTGTGTAAGTTATTGTCACACAAATTTATCAAGGTGTGTTTTATTGTTAAAAAGACAGACAATATTTAGAGCTGAAGAATTTCAGTTTGTAAGGCCTAAGAGCAGTTATTTATGCAATCATGTACTTATGTGTGCTGTAATGTACTGTCTTACAAAAACAAGCACACACACAACTTGTCAAATGTTTGGGGTCAGTTTTTTTTTTATGTTTTTTTTTTTTTTAAAGAAAATTATTCTGTTTATCAAGGCAGCATTTATTAAATGTAATAAATTAAATATTTATTAAACATTTTAAAAAACTGTTTATTTTTATGTAGTTTCAAATGAACTGATCACTCCAGTCATTATTCCTGTTATTACTATAACTATTAATTATATTAATAATAATAGTTACTATTAGAGTGATTTCTGAAGGATCACGTGACTCTGAAGACTGGATTAATAATGCTGAAAATTCATTTTTTTTAAATCATTGAAATAAATGATTAAATGAAATGATAAACTACTTTTGAACATTTATTTTATAGCGCAATAACATTTCACAATCTGTACTGTGTTTTTAATTAAATAAATGCAGGCTTGGTGAGCAGGAGAAGCTCATTTTAAAACATTTAAAAATCCTACTGACCCCAAACTTTGGACCGGTAGTGTACATTTACAATTAGCAAACAATGACTATTCATTTAAAAAAATAAGTTCATCAATTAAAACAATACTTAAGGAAACTTTAACCGATTTGCCTTGATTTTCATATGTATCTTTTAAAAGTTAAAAACCAGCAATCAATCAACTTTATTAGTAGTATAGTGCACAATGTCTTAAACTAATTACAGTTCTTGCTGGTCCTAAAAATACCTGGAAGATGATGAAATCTAGGCAAAAGAGAAACTGTTATTGCTTATCTAGTTCTGTGTAATATGCTAAGTGGTTTCAGTTTTAAAATTGTTAAACATTCATCGAAAGTTCTTGATAAATCCACTTTCATTGCTGTCTTAGGGAAATTTAAACGGTGTTATTCATTTGGTTTTGTGATTGGCATTGCCAACACCTGCAGGATATGGACATTTTCAGATAAAATGTGAGGGTAGGACATCAGACAGACTTTAAATGAATGATTCACTTACTGCTTGTGGAGGAGGATGCTCTGATAGTACATACGATGATGAATTACTAATGTTCAAAATCGTGTAACACGATTATCAAAGGTAAAACAAAAAAGAAATCCTAATACTTGGGCTAGAATAAAAGCTGCATGGACATGAACCATCTGGAGAAAACAAATATATATTATACAGATGAATATGAACATTAATAAATGAACAAAACGAAATAAGTATGAAAGACAACCAGGAAGCCCTGAAACACAAAATAACCATTTTTATTGAATGCATATGAGATATCATCACACTATGAGGCTTACATTCTTTCACTTTTTACTAAACTATGGTTGCACATGGGTGACCCACCGTACATTGACCTGGTATATTGTTCTGGGCAGAAATTATGAGCGTATTGCAACAGAGATCAGATGTGATAAATCTCTCTCCTCAGGGCTGCAGGTCCCAGGGTTGCTGTGGGAGAAGGGTGAGGTGGTTGTGTCGTAGAGTTCTCAGTTCTGTCAGTCTTCCCAGGAGCCTGGCAAATCGGCGCGGGTCCTGTGCCCCTGTCCTCTGACTGCAGGAGCAGCAAACTCGAGAGAGGAGCTCCAGAACAAACTCCTGTAAGTTCTCCACACATCCCACAGCTCGCAGAGTCGGCCTGTCTGCTTCACAACAGAGAACAATCAGCGGTCAAGCAAAGTTATGTTAGCAAACTAAGACTAAAACTATTGGACTAAAAGTAATTTTGTCAAATGTAATAAAAAGTTCACAATAAGTGAAAAACTAAAGCCCAGTTTACACTTATTTGTTTTAGCTTTAAAACGGCATATTAGAATGAAAACGATCCGCGATCACATCAGCGTTTCTGAACAGCTCTCCGTCTATACTACACCACTGAAAATGCACATCATATGACCATACACACTCTGGCATGCTCTGCATTGATGAGAGACAGGGGCGGACTGAGACAAAAATTCAGCCCTGGCACTGTTGCCACACCAGCCCACATTACCACACCGACACAACCCCACCCACGGACACGCACAATAACTATTTATTTTGGTGTAAAGATGGTGAAATATTATAACATTCTTGCCCGATTTTGATTATGTCCGGGTAGCCTTGGATTGGGTCGGCCCATCTTGAAACCAGGCGGCAGTTGCCGATTGGGCCAGATGCTTAACATTTATTATTATTATTATTTTTATCATCATCATAATATCACATCTAGCAAGAGATAAAAGCTGTCTGCACTTAAAAACAAAAACAAATAAAAAAAAAAAAAACTGACCGGCCCACATTTAAAAATTGGTCCGGCCCCTCTGGCATTTGCCAGAATTGCCAGATGGCCAGTCCGCCCTTGATGAGAGATGTGCACGTCAGACTGTTCATCAAGGATCTCCCGCTGGATCTGGAAAAACTAAGACGGCCTGTCTACTTTACAACAGTGAAAAGAAAGCAGTTATTTTTACAAAATGAAAGCTAAGACAAACTGTTGGTCTTAATAATTTGATTACAGCTTTTTTTGTTTGCTTTGACCTGATTTAAATAAACTAGGTTCCATTTCATTTTCATTATCACTATCACAGCAGAGCAGTAGACAGATCTTGCAAATGTGCCTTTCTCATTGGGTTGACATATTTTCCCCACCATTTTTTAAAACAGTTAACACTGATATCATTCAAGCAATCCAAACTCCATTGTTTTAGCTATGGTAACCAAACAGACCAAACCATCTATTCCTAACCATAAGAAACTACCAAGATCAGTATGAATTCACTGAAGCACCGCTTTGACACTCCTTCACACACATCTTCAATCAGCAATCAGTCTGCAAACATTAAAAATGGTGGAAGGTCTGTGTTGTTATGTGCCAGCATGGATATTTCTTATTCTGGATCCAATTCTTTGCAAAAAGGCAAATTTGACAGCCCAAATAGAAAGACAACAAATGGCACTGGCAATAAGCTACAATGGCAAGCAATGGTACACTGATTCAAACTGATAAATAAATATAAAATAATTAGCAAAAACAAATAATCATTTTCAGAATCAATAAGCATTCATTCTATGTTGAAAAATCTGACCTGTGACTTTCAGAGAAGTATTTGTAAATGACCTTTGACAGCCAAACGCATCAGCCAAAGACTTTATTATTTTAAAATGATATTTTCTACAGTAAAATGTGTGTATATAAATAAACTAGGCATTTTTAACTACATATACAGAAAATTTAACTTGAACTAGAATTGAACTTTATAATTTTACTTTTATTTGTTGTCTTTGTCTGGTTTTGTCTTTAGTGTTTGTGTTTTGCTAAACTGAAAGCACTGAAACAAAACTAATTACATAAAAACTAAATAGAAATGTGGTGGGTAGCGTGTGAAGGTTGCTGGTTTGAGCCTCGGCTGGGTCAGTTCGCATTTCTGTGTGGAGTTTGCATGTTCTCCCCGTGTCTCACCGCCCCAAGTTGGCGGTTCATTCCACTGTGGTGACCCCTGATTAATAAAGGGACTAAGCCGGAGGAAAATGAGTAAATGAAAAAAGTATAATAATAAGAATAAACAGAGCTAAGTATTTATTTAGTTGTTCAACATCGATGCTGAAACGATATATTGCGCAGCCCTTGTCTACTGTATATGCTTTCTTAGAGAACCCAGGAGGTTTTATCACAAGTTGTTTACACGTTGCAATAAAATGTGCTAAATTTAATTAGAACATCAAGAAAACAAATGTTAGTTTTTAATACAAAGTAGCATGACAACAGCATAAACGTAATGACACCAGAAGCCTTGCAATTCAGGAAACAGGTCAAATATAAGGTGTGTAATCAAAATTTTTATGATGTAATTTACTGTTCAACCTTCAAACAAATAGTCTGAAAAAGTGTTGTCGTGAAGATTGACATGGAAATGAGTCACAGATGTGTTAATCATAATCTACAAACCTGAACACAAAACTGCAGTCGCTGTTAGAAGTGCATACTCAGCCTCGGTCACTGCAATCGTCACCATGCTATGAAGGAAATTTACCACAGATCTCAAGAGCTCATCATTCAACCCTGAACAAAGATATAAAGCACAAGCAAAGACAACAAAACATTAAGTCAGTGTATCAGTTCACTTTTGCATACAACTGAATTTTCACTCGCTATGCAGGGCTCAACAATAAGGAATGCCTGATGGCCCTAGGCCAGGGTGAGAGATGCTCGGGACAGTGGACAGAATCATTACTGGCCCAATCAGGACAGTGCTGCCTTTAAACAAAATTGTAATAGATGGCAATATAACCGCGACATCAAATTATGCGGCTAAAAGAAAACGTCTGCTTCTAAAGTTAACATAAAACAAAAACGTAAAAACATTTACATGGGTACAACACAACGAAAAAAATGAAGTGAAGTTTTGCTTAGTTTGCCGTCACTTTTAAGTCAGACACTTTTTGTTTAGCTATAAAATACCAGCACATTTTCCATACTCTATTGACCTTATTCTCCGCGGACGAGCGGGCGCTGCCATTTAAACCTTTTTTGGCACGAGACTTCCGGTCTCATTCACTTCCATTTATTTTTAGACATTAAAAACTGCTCGTTTCGCGGTTTGATGTTGCAAACTGATATTTCCTTGTTATATTATTCTACTCGGTCTGTATAGTCATGCAAACATTTGTTTGTAGAGCAAGTAGTTTGACCGTTTTTTGCCGTTTATTATTCCTTGTCATTTCTCCTATAGGCGACTGAAACGGAAGTTCTAAGACAATCGCGAAAACAGGCGAACTTCCGCATTTTAGAATAAGGTCAATATTTTACTGCTGAATATTTTAACATTTTTCAAATATTTAAATTTTAGATTTACAGACATTATTTTGTGACATATTATTTCATATATGTGGCTAAGAAATAGCAATTAATAACTTTTTTTGCTGGGGCCAGTGAAAATTTTGGCAGGGCAAGTAAAAATCTGAACCACTGGTACAGTCGAGCCAGTAGGAAAAATCCTTAGCGTTGAACACTGCTATGCTGTTAGTCAGCGCCCGTTCTTTTTTTTCCTGGTCATTGCAACTTTGCCGTGTAAATGCAGACGATCGTGCTTCGAGTCACTTTTAAAAGATTATGTAAGCAGGTCAATCAAAAAAATCGGATAGCCACAATATCGGAATTGACCATTAAGATCTGCAGTGTAAATGCAGCCATAGATAAACCATCAGGCAAATTGCACGAAATCACTCGAAAAAAAGATTCGTTCATCTCAATAAACAAGACTCAAAAGTCCAAGTCAGTAAAATAATCTGAACTTCACTACAAAAGAGAGACACAAACAAATTATGGCAAAAGGCAAATAACCTCATTTGCTTTTCATTGGATGGAAAGCAAATGAAAATCATGAAATGAATGATAAAATGATTTTCATTCTTACTGGCAGAGCTGTGATAAAACGAAACGCTATTAGCAGTTTTCTTTAAGGACAGGAGCTACTCTATGTCCCACCCTCTCTTCAATTTTCAGTTGAGATTGTTACACATTGAATAAAAAAAATGCACATTTCAAAGCACTTCACGAGACCTTTCAATAACAGCACACAGAATTTATATCTTTGGAATCACTTTCAGAACATGTTTCCTGCTAATAAACAAACAGAATAAGAATTCATCCAATTGTAAAGAGCTTGAGGATTTAACAATGTAAAACAAATGACAAAACAGCAGCACATGCTTAGAATAAAGAGAATAATATCACTATAGATCACCTGAGTGTGTCAGTATCCTGTGGCTGCTCCCATTCTTGGACTCTAAAGTTTTCCCCCAATCAGGGTTTGAGTTATTCAGATTTGCTGGGTATAAAGCTGGAGATAGAAAACATGACAGAGACTACATTTACATGGACATCAGTGATCGAATTATTTGCCTTAATCTGAATAAGACAGTAATATGATTAAGGTGTTTACATGAGTTTCTTTCTGAATGTTCCTTTCATGATCCCGTTTTACATGTTACAGTGCAAAGATCGGTTAACGTCATTGCGTCACCACAATATTCACATTTCCTCCGAAGTTCATGTGAATTTGGATGTTTCATTTTTAATTTGTCGACTTTAACTGCAGTTTGGCACTTTCAATTTCATTCAGGAACATTTCATTCATGCCTCTATGACAAACTAAGGTATTGGATGCGAGTGAACTGCAGGAGGAGTGTTGTTTTAATGGAATTTGATCACGCACGCCAATTGGAAAGAAAAAACCTCGGCATTTTGTGCGTGTGTGTCTGTGGACTTTTTCTGACTCTGTAGGTGCAGAGAAGTGTCAAACAGCCATGCGTGTATGGACTATCATGTCGCAAAATACAGCGGAAAGTCCTACATGCTGTTAATAGCTTGATTGCAGTGTTTACATGTCTGTAATAATGTGACTAAAATCTGCATACTCCACATGTCTTATTTCGATTTCTGTTTAGTTCAATTAAGACTTCTGTCGGATTGAGGTCATCAAAAATAGCTGTTTACATGGTAGAATCTTAATCAGAGTATTGTCTTAATCTTTTTATTATTAACATACTCAGTGGGTCAAAAATGAAGTAAAATTGAATTGTTAAAGTGTCAACAGCCCTACTATTAATATATCTAATCAGTTGTGACATCTCAGATAACTAATCCAAGACTCTATGTCAGTAGAAAGTACTGTCAATTAGGGCTGTGTGATCAATTGAAATCGTATCGTAATCCCGATTTGAACATGTGCAATTTTCCCACAATATGCTATTTGAATCAAACATAACGCAGCGCGCCTAAACAGAGCGCGAGAACAGGAGACTCATGACAAATGGCAAATGAGGAGCTTAATGACAAATAGGCTAAATAAACAGGGATGATGAGTTCAGCACAGGAGGACTTGGTGCCTAAAAAATTCTACATTTGTGATGTGGAATTACTTTAGATAGAGGAAGGCTGATGTATCACAGAATCCGGTAATCTATAAGTCAGTCACACATTGCATCTGAAAGTGGGAGGCACATCGCTTCCTTCAGCATTCAACACGCTTTACACTCACCTTCCTTTGTCGTTGCTCAGTGACCATCAATAGGATGACAAACTATCATAACATTGCTGCAGTTCTGTTACAAGTTTTATTTATGGAGAAAATTTAAAAAGCACTGGATATTAGGGTGTTCTGTGTTTGTCTGAGATAATTAATCTACCAAAATGTGTATATTCCATACAAAGTATGAAGCTGATCGCTCAGTTCTTGTTAGGTGACTCGCGGTGTGCTTGCAGAATTCTGAAAGTAGAGATGTTTTCAATTGGGTACGTCTGGAATACGCGCGCACATCACACCCAATATCCGCGCAAGCCGCACATCTCCATTGGAAGTGACGAGCTTGTGGGCGCAAAAGACGCAATATATAAAAGGCCTATTTCATGGCAGCGTCACAAAGAGTTTTATAATCTATGCATGGCAAAAAATCTGGAAACATACAAAAGTACACGCAACTACTTCTGACGTGGTCAAACAGAACATCAGAGACTTACTTGTGTTTGACGGTACACACACACAGTAGTCTATTTATTAGTGCTGCCATAAGTCTGCTCTAGAGACAATTTATTACTCTTTTACTAGGTGATTTTATTTTTATTTTTAGCCTTATGTCTGTTTTAGAGACATGTTACAGGTCTTTGATAAAGATCTAATAGTTTTCCTTTGGAATATGTTTCAGATTCACTCTGTGTGTGTGTCAAAATCATGATTAAAATCAAAATCACAATATTGTTCAAGAAAATTGTGGTAGGTTTCTTTTGTCATATCACACAGCCCTATTGTCTATACAAGTACTGCAGACACTATTATTGTAAAGGGTTAATTCACCCGAAAATGAAAATTCTGTCATCGTTTACTCACCCTAATGTCATTCAAAACCCATAAGACTTGTTCATTGTCTGAACAAAAATTAAGTCTTTTTAATCAAATCTGAGAGATTTCTGTCCTTCCAGGGAAAGTCTATTTACCCAGGATTCTGATGCTCAAAGCTTTGATAAAGAGATTAAGAAATAAATCCATATGAACATAGCAGTATAATCCATCTTCTATAGAGACACAGTCGCTTAATATGATGAAGATATTTAATTTAAGATTTTAATCATAGTTTTGGGTGAGCAGAACTTCAGTGCAGGGACAGAAATGTCTCACATTTGATTAAAATGTCTTCATTTGCCTTCTAAGATGAACGAAAGTCTTATGGGCTTGGAACGACATGGGGGGATGATTAAATGATGACAGAATTTTAATTTTGGAGTGAACAAACCCATTAATGATTTATCACTGAAATATTCAGAAAAGTTTAGGATGATAATTAGGTGGTATTAAACCAGACCATGAGTGGATTTAGCACCTGTTGTTTACTTTTGGAATCTGCACTTGGAAATGGTGACAGCAGATTTAATTTATTGTATGTGATAATGTGCATCATTACCAGTGCTAACACTAGTAGGGTTCTCAGAGAACTGTTGAGCTAGGAGTAAGAACATGACTTCAACCGAAGCGCTGGACAGAAGTGTGTTCTGGTCAGAACTATCCAATAGATCAAACCCTAAAAAAATAAAAATAAAAACAGATGAACACATGTTAGTTTCATTCAGACTTATAGTGTGATCTGAGAGAAGAATCTAAGTAAAAACTGACCAGGTACGCTCCTCAAAAACTGCAAAAGCTTCTCGGTCTGAGGTGGAGTCAGATGGGTATTTGTTAAACTTGACCATAGAGGTACCTAAGAAAAGAAAAAGATCAACTCAAACCACTTTTATTGTCACATCAGCAGCAGCACGTGTACTATGATGAGTGAAAGCCTAGGTGCTGGCTCCAGAGAGTGCAAAATACAACATACTCCCAAAAAAACAAGACAGTATACAAATAGCATTTTTCACAGAACTAAGTAGAAGACAATAAATAGGTGTACACATACTGATGCGTGACCGGATGCTGAAAAGGAATGTCTTTTAAAATACCGGGATTCTACACAAAGTTATTCACCATTTTTGTTGTTGTTGACACAAAAGAGAATATAGAAGTCAGTAGTTGTTTCCATCCAAAGATGTGTATTAGACTTGTGCACAAAAGTGGAATACTGCATAAAACATTTGCGAAAAAAGCACAGTTATTATCCAATGAATCAAAGAAATATAAACCGATAAACTGACCAAATATTTATATTCATTCATATCATTTCAGCTCAGTCCCTTCATTAGTCAGGGGTCACTACAGCGGACTTATCCAGCTTATGTTTTATGCATCAGATGCCCTTCCAGTCGCAACCCATCACTGGAAAACACCCATACACTCTTACATATAAAATATGTGGATGGAAACATGGCTAATGGCTAGTGGTTTTCAACATTCTTCAAAATATATATTTTTGTGCTCAACAGAAAAAGGAAACTCAAACAAGATTGGTGAGTCAGTTTTCACTATTAGGTGAAACATCCCTTAAGAGAAGTGGGGATGAATTCTGCATTTTGTAATGGAATATAAGAAAAGAAAAACATTTGCATACCCGACAGTGAGTGTTGTCTTGAATTATGTATCTACGAAAAGCCTCAACAATTCTATTCAGAATGCATCTCTGCTCTCTGGAGAAACCAGATGATACCTACAAACAGCGTTATTCAAGAGATGAGACTGAATATTTATCAGCTTTGAAATATCACTCAACTCAAATATAATGTTTGGGAAAGCTAAATAATGCGAGAGGGTTTTACCCGTGTGTTGATTCTGCTGGTGGACGAGACGCTTCTGCTTTCAGAGTAGTCGTCTTCAGCTCTTGCTGATGATCCATTGTGTCCTCTGTGTTTGGAGCCCTTCCTCAGTCTCTTTGATTGGCATTGCACTTCTGTAAGCAGACCTGACAAAAACACAGCAGCGATCAGATAATGCTGACAGTGCTTTTCTGTGAAGCAGCATCGGCTTCAATTTTCCCGAATCCATATCTCAAAAAGCATATTTTGTGAGATTTAAAATCAGTGCAGAAGGTTTTACGTCAATCTCACACTCTGCCAGCATCCCGACGGCCCTGCATTTGCGCAGTCTGCAGTCCTGACACTTTCTCCGCATGTACATGTCCATCTCACAGCTTCCACCACTCTTGCAGTGGTACACAGCTTTTTTAGTTACGCTGCGTCTGAAAAAACCTAAACCAAGAAGAAAACATGAAACTTCCGTTCACAGATGTGGTGATGGTATGAGTTTTAAATGGCTCTGAAAAACTTTCCTATGGTCATCAAGGCTGTATTGATTTGAGGAAAATTATTTAGCATTTAACATTATGGGCCCTATCATACACCCGGCGCAGTGTGGCGCAAGGTGTGGCGCAGTAGTCTTTTGGTAGTTTCAGCTTGGCGCAAGAGTCGTTTTGAGGTGTTGCGCCACGCTGTTTAAATAGCAAATGCATTAGCGCTCATTTGTGCGCCCATAGGCGTTCTGGTCTAAAAAGGAAGGCGTTCTGAGGCGGACCGCTGGCGCGTTGCTATTTTGAGAAACTATAATAGATTTTTCATTAGACCAAAACTAACCCGGTCTAAACTCCGGCGCAGAGTTGCGCCTCGCTTACGCACTGCTTAATAAGCACAAGAGAGCAATAGGCAAATATCTTTACATATGAAAAAAATTAAATATTAAGGTTATATATAGGATATAATAAGAATAGATATAGAATATAAATATAAAGGATTAAAATATTACAAAACATATTATTTTCTAGCCTACATAAATATGAAAAATCACTGCTTTTATGTCTTCTTCATCTCGGGAGGCTTTTTCAGTTCATTCTTAACAATTAGCTTTTTTATAATGTTATTATTATTAGCAGTATTATTTATTATATCCTTATTTATATTTGTTTTATTAAAAACAAGCTTAGATTTGCCCACCTGTCAGGTTTTAGACCATATGGGGCACAGCATGTGTTTTAGGATATAACTCAGGTTTTTAAGCTCATTTTGTTATTATTGTTCATTTATTCGTTTGCTGGAAATTGGAACTGAATTTAGAAATAGTTTTGAAACGAATATTTGCGCTTAACAAACAAAATTATTTATTTATAGGCCAATTGATTTCTGTGCGTAAAGGTTTCCCTATCCAAGAGCGAATGTGAAAGTGATGCATTATCTCTCATTCTCACGCAGTAGATGCTCTGTTTAACAGTTTTCTGTTAAAAAAAAACTGTTAACTGTTTGCTAGTGAAATGCTCAATTTTTCCACTTAGACTTACTTTGCGTCCTGTAAATAGCGAATGCGCTCTTGGCGCGACACAGCTGGCTCTTAAAGGGAATGAGAGATGAGACTCTAATTGGTTTATTCTCAAAACACACCTATAACTCATTAAGAAAATAAACCCAACCCTTTTAGACCATGCACCATGGCGCAAAGCAGCTTTTCCCGTCCTTAAATTAGCAAAAACGCATTCTGACACGCCCTGAAAGCGTTTGCGCCCTGCGTTTTGCGCTCTGTGCATGGACTGTCAAAATAGAGCCCTATATCTCTTGCTGTTTAATACATTTTAATAATGTAATTTATCCCTGAAATTAAAGATTACTTTTTCTTAATCCGTTCCCTCATTACTTCAGTCTTTATTTTAGCAATCCTTCTGAAATCATTCTAATATGTGACCCTGGACCACAAAACCAGTCAATTGGTCAACAGTTGGGTGTAACGAGTTCCACAGTAACCCTGTAGTCTATTACATTTTTGAGCAACGCAGTAATGTAACGAATTACATTGTGTAATTTGATTACAGTTACTAAAGTCAGTGTAATTGCGTTACTTATGTTACAGATATAGTTTTAGGAAGAAAAAATGATTCTTTTAAATCACATTTTCTGCTGCAATATCAGTTAATAAGCATGCGCCTTATAAAGAACGCAAGCTGAAATAGTTGCTGTAGAGAGTGGTTGCTTCAGGTAGAAATACAGACATTACTTTGACTTCACTGAGCGCCTAAACAAAAGTACTGCTGTGAAATTCAGTCTAATGAACTTTCCACTGCAGCAACTTGTTCAAGCACTTGAACAGAAAGCATTTTACGACAATACTTGTCAAGCGCATGTCGAACACGCTCGCATTTCACAGGCGCTCCTAGTTGAAAACGGCGAGTAACGTGACAAGAACTGACCGATCAGCTTCATACTTTGTAAGGAATAAACACATTTCGGTAGACTAATTACCTCAGACAAACACCCAAACACTGCAGTGCTTTTGCATACTATGGATGTCAGTGGTTACAGGTATCCAGTTTTCTTCATCAAACAAAAACAGGTTTAGAACTAGTGAATGATGGGGCAATTAAGTTTTGGATGAACTCTTTGGGTGCTTTCCCACTTGGTTCAGTTGCTTGGTCTGTACCCAAGTTTGATTGTCCCCCCTTGCCACCTTCTCGGTTGGTTTGTGTTCACGCTGTCTTTTTTCCTTCTGAACCCGGGTGCGGACCAGAAGTGTTTGTGTGAAAGCACTCTTTAAGTGTTTTAAATATGATCAACCCATTGTGATGTTTTTAGTGAATATTAAATCACTGAAAGAGCTGCAGTTTATTTTGTATTTTTATAGGTATACTTTATATGATTTAAAAATAATTTTTAAAGTAAAGTACTTAGTAATCTGATTACTTTTTACATGAAGTAATTAGTAAATTGATTCATTAAAAAGTAATTAATCAGATTACAATTTTTTAGTAGTAATATGTAATTTGTTCAAATCGATTACTGTTTAAAAGTAACTTACCCAACCCTGATTGTTGAATCAAGTGTCATTTTGGGAAATGGAGATTTATTACATGACAGCTGGCAAAAAAAATATCTGAGCAACAAGTTTTGAGGTCCGGAATCACATCTTTTTAATATTAATGTTAAAAACTGTTGCTGCTTTATCATTTTAGTGCAGTTTAAAATAATCTTTCTGTTGCATTTTTAACTTTTGCATGAACTTTCATTGCAAAAAGAAAAGTATCCTGTCATTCCTTAAGTTTTCTTTTTTTTCTTTTTTTCTGTTGCATTTTACAATTTTGGATTAACTGTCATCGCTAAAAGATTATTTATCTGTAATTTCGTAATAGATAAATAATTATTTTCAAAAGAAAATAAAAACTTGACAGACCCTGGACTTGTGACCACAGCACTTTTTTAAATTAATATCGAATTTGTTGTTATTGTATTTATTTATTTTGTATTTTGGTCATTAATAAATCACAGATCTGGTTTTTTATTTATTTATATTTATATGTACATATTTATGTACATCTGCGATCAACTGAACCCCTGTGAACAAAACCAATACCTCCTCTTTTCCCAAACTCACCACACGACAACCCTAAATATTATAAATTCTGAGTATGTCTCACATAGGTGAGTGGGCTTGACAAACCACCTATAGAAAACACACTCTTTCATCTATCTGACACTGTAACTAACACTTTCACCAGTTTTGCACCAGACACAACCACTTTATAAAAAAACAAAAAAACATTGTGAATTTATAAAGTGTTCTTCTCACAGGTGAGTGGGCTTTACGAACCCCCTGTAGAAACACTTTTTTTTCTTTCAAAAACAAACTCCCTCCTAACTCTAGCACTGAATTTACTACATTTATGTATTCATTCTGTGGCTATTAAAAAGAAATAAGCTCTTTGATATGTACCACAAGGCGACACAGTGAGTTAGCACTGTCGCCTCACAGCAAGGTCGGTTTCCGCCACAGTCCAAAGACATGCGCTATAGGTGAATTGAATAAATTGGCCACAGTGTGTGTGTGTGTGTGTGTGTGTGTGAATGAGTTTGTATGGGTTTTTCCCAGTACTAGGTTGCAGCTGGAAGGGCATCCGCTGCATAAACATATGCTGGATAAGTTATCGATTTATTCCGTTGTAGCGACACCTGATGAATAAAGGGACTAAGCTGAAGGACAATGAATGAATGAATCTATCCAACCTCCTGCTTATGTAAAAGGGAAATCCATGCTGGTCTTCCTAAATACTATGTTTTACTTCTTCTCAAGAAGTGCATCATGCATTCATGTTGTCCTAAAACTCAGCACTAGTGTTTTGTTAGCGTCCAACCTTTGCATCCCTCACAGGTGAGGGCATTGTAGTGATATCCTGAGGCTTTATCTCCACACACCACACACAGCTCATCCTGGCCCTTCACTCGAGCTCCATGGCCCATTCTGGGTCTTTTCAGCACTGGAAGACCAACAATGCTGGCTCTGGCTGTTGAGCTTTGGACCTCCATATCAGGCTCACAGGTGTATTCAGAGCACTGATGGCTGTAGGGGTACGGCGGGTTGCATGCTGGAACATTCTGCGCCCCATACATGGAGAACTGCACGTTGACAGGACTAAATGGTTGTTGGCCATAGAGAGGGCTTTGTAGATCCGGTTCCTGGTAAGAGCAGCTCAGAGGATCCACAAGAACATCTGCCGGTAATAGAAGAACATGAATGAAACCAGTGAAAATGTTTCACAAGGCAACACGTTCACATGATTCTTGAATTACCTAATGACTTTATGAGGCCGTTGGGATGTAATAAAAAAAGCCCAAGAGCAAGACCTTTTGAATCTTTTCTGTCTCTGGAAACAGGATGCAGCTGAAGAGGTTACAGTTTTGTTTATGGTTGTTATTTGCTTTGTAGCTTATGGGGTTTTTATAACCATACAGAACGGAGCCTTCCTGATGTTTTTTATTCTGTCAGAGGGAAGGTTACGAAGATGGATTTTAGATTTCGATTTCCCCTTTGAGGGAACATGTGTCACAACTGGCTGCAGTTTTGAAGCACATCTGCAAAAGACTTTTTCAAATTCCGATCTTGACAGACATGGAGGAACTAATAGTGACCAGAGCAAGAGAAATGTTTTGCATGAGAAAAACTTAATGTTGACACTTTTATTTAAAAAAAGGCTCATTTTAAAACTCCCATAGAATTAAACAGCTGAGTTTTACCATAGATCATTGGATCAGACAAAGACTCAATATGAAGAGTTTAGATTCAAAAACCTCTAAGTGCTGTCTAAAATTTCCATCGAAAATTACAATTTTTCTCAGCCTTCTTTGTTTATGTTGAGATATTTCACTTTGAAAACCAGGAAAATTACATATTCTTTGCCAAAAAAGTGATATTACTGAACAATCCAAACAGGAGCCCATAAAATGCTCATTTTAGAGGAAAATTTCAGATGACATTTAGAGGTTTTTGCATCTGGACCAAGTGGCAACCTTCTGCTCTCTCTCGGGAGGCCAATACGGAAGTAACTAAAACTGGAATTTATCGAAAATCTGCTAGTCCTGGCTCCATAATAGAGCAAATTTCAATTGAGCCCACTGTTAGAATGGCCAACTTCACAGCAGGAAAAAAAGGTGTTTACAGACTGGTACAAAGAACGATTTTGGTTCAAAAAGCTAATATCACCCTTCATGACAACTGTGAGGGAGGTGAATTTTTTTTTTAAACTCATCCGTTTCCTTTATATTAGGTTATATTAAGTTTGCATAATTAAGGGCGTGGCCACTTGATTGACAGCTAGGTCTCGCTGTCGCCGTCACTTCACCTCAGCTGACTGCGGCAGATTAGCCACTGATTTCGGCATATTCATCATATTTTTGTGTTGTTTTATGTGGCTTTACACAGTCAGTTGCCTTTTGGGATTATTTCCTACAATTATCAGATGATATGGGATGCTGTGTGCACAACTGTGCTCGTAAACCATTCACGTGGCCTCCATTTCCCTGGTGAGTAAAGTTAAATACTTATATACCATCTCTATAAATGTATTTGTTTTATTTAAAATCATTTATCATTTATAATGTTCTTTAGAGCTGTAATGCACTGCAGAATCTGACAGATTGATTAGCTGTGGGCTCTAGAACAGTCATCTGAAGCGTTTATCACACAGTGTTATGCTGGATTTCATAATTAGCTTTGCATTTACTAACACAGACTATATCTGAAGTGTTTGGAAGTAATTTGCGTTTTCCTTCTGTAGGAAAACATCATAAGAACAATGTTTACTGGCTCAATGTATTACAGCAGTGTTTTTAAAAGTCTAAACATTTTATTGATATAGTGTACAAGCACATGTGGTCAGAACACAAACGAGTCTCAGGTGATGAAGTATTAAGCGTTTTCCCAAAGTAAAGTCAGTCTAAGCCAGGTCCAAGCAAAATGCCAGCAGGTGTCTGTAGCTCCGCTCACTCTCCGCCTCTTTGCTCTTGTTTGGTATCCCGCCGTGATTGCGATGACACGCGAACAAAATGGTGACGAATGACCGTGCCTACTTGTGGCTTCTTTTGCGCTCTTTAGAAACCTATGGGTGACATCACGGATACTACGTCCATATATTTTACAGTCTATAATCTGAACTCTTACTATAGTATACATAAGACATTTCACTTATAGTTTTGAATAGAGAAAAGTGTAACGGTCAATATGGCGAATGAAGCCCCGCCTACTAGCACAGGAACCAATCATCGTTCGCAATAGACTGATGTTAATCTGGGGGAAAAGCTCAGACCAGACGTGTGCTTTTACGGCAGTTTGGTGGTCAACAAACACACTGGAATCTCAACGAATACTTGCTTCACAGACAAGAAATATATCCACATAAAGCTTAAACCTGTACTTTTAAATGAACTGACTACACTTGAAAACAAAAGTTTGTTGGTTTTGTAATCTGTATAAAATGAAACCGAGTTACAGTCCGTCCTGTCAAACGCACATGACATGACAGCAACTACTCAAACGCTAACAAATATGTAAAAAAAAAAAAAAAAAAGAGTCGCTGTCATTTTTGGATGGGTCCAATGGTGGGTAATAACCCTTTTTACAAGACTTTTATGACTTGCTTAACGTTCATCAGCATCTTAAATCCTTGAATGTTTTTAATATTTAGATAAAAAAAAAAAACGTATATACCACTTTATTAGGTACACCTTACTAGTACTGGTTGCTGACCCCCTTTTGCCTTCAAAACTGCCTTAATCCTTCGTGGCATAGATTCAACAAGATACTGGAAATATTTCTCAGAGATTTTGATCCATATGGACATGATACATCACGTAGTTGCTGCAGATTTGTCTGCATTAAGCAAATCTCACAGTCCACCACATCCCAAAGGTGCTCTATTGGAAAGAGATCTGGTGACTGTGGAGGCCATTTGAGTACAGTGAGCTCATTGTCTTGTTCAATAAACCAGTCTGAGATGATTCACGCATTATGACATGGCACGTTATCCTGCTGGAAGTAGCCATCAGAAGATGGGTACATTGTGGACATAAAGGGATGGACATGGTCAGCAACAATACTCAGGTGGGCTGTGGTATTGACACAGTGCTTAATTAGTTCTAATGGGCCCAAAGTGTGCCAAGAAAATATTCCCCACACCATCACATCACCACCATTAGCCTGAACCGTTGATACAAGGCAGAATGGGTTCATGCTTTCATGTAAAATTCTGACTCTACCCTCCCAATGGCGCAGCAGATATCGAGACTCATCAGACCAGGCAACATTTTTCCAATCTTCTATTGTCCAATTTTGTTTAGCCTGTGTGAATTGTTGCCTCGGTTTCCTGTTCTTGGCTGACAGGAGTGGCACCAGATGTGGTCTTCTGCTGCTGCAGTCCATCTGCCTCAAGGTTGGACGTGTTGTGTGTTCAAAGATGCTCTTCTGCATGTCTCAGTTGTAAAGAGTGATTATTTGAGTTATGTTTGCCTTTCTATCAGCTAAACAAGTCTGACTGTTCTTTTCTGACCTCTGACCTCTGGCCTCAACAAGGCATTTGCGCCCACAGAACTGCTGCTCACTGGATATTTTCTCTTTTCCGACCATTCTCTGTAAACCCTAGAGATGGTTGTGCGTGAAAATCCTAGTAGATCAGCAGTTTCTGAAATACTCATTCCAGCCTGTCTGGCACCAACAACCATGCCATGTTCAAAGTCACATAATCACCTTTCTTTCCCATTCTGATGCTCGGTTTGAACTGCAGCAGATTGTCTCGACCATGTCTACATGCCTAAATGCATTGAGTTGCTGCCAGGTGATTGGCTGATTAGAATTATTTGCGTTAACAAACAGTTGGACAAGTGTACCTAATAATGTGGCCGGTGAGTATATTCATATATTTATATATGTATTATATAATCTTTGCATCAAATTACAAAAAAACTATTTTTTTTCTAATGCTACGTGTATGGAGCAGGACGGTAAATTTTACGTTGTTCTCTCTTCTGGCTGCTGTCATCAGTCTCGCACTTTTTTTTTTTCTGAAATTCTTAATAACACCATCATGGAGTTTTTCTTTTATTATTTCAGCAAATGGGATTGTAAAAAATGATTTGTTGTACTCTCCAAATCACTGTTCTCTGTAATCATTTTTACCCAACCATGACGACTTCCACTACTGAGAAACTAGGAAATGTGAAAAGGGCCCTTATAGACATTTTCATCACCCCCATAGTGAGAAAATCTCTGGTTCAACTACAACCCCGATCAAACAAAACTGATCCAGTTAAATAGAACCTGAGAAGCACTTGATAATTACAGACAGGTGTGTTTGATCAGGGTGCAACTGAAATTTCCAGGAATCAGATTGGTAGTCTAATATAATTTAATGATTGATTTAGAATTGGTCAAACTAAACTGCTTAACTCCAGAGGAGTGTTCCTTTAAGTAAAAGCAATTTCATCAAGCCAATTCCAACAAACCCGTCTCTGTTTTTCTATGTCATCCATAAATATCCTTCTGCAATGCGGTGGTCTCTTTACTGGCCTTCAATCCTGTCTTTCTCGCAGATGTTTTATGTCCTGTTTCAGCTTGAGCATAACTTTCCGGTGCTAGCATCTATTTGTAAACCACTGGACTTCTTCATAAACATTCATGCTGGTGAGAAGCTTTGCTAAATTACTATCATTGACTGACCTTCCAGACACCACAGTGAATTAAATGACAAAACCAAACTGACAAAGCATTATTCAAATAGTAATTGTTTCTCAAGCTGACGCTTTGATATAATATTTGGATGTTCAGATGTAATGAACTGGTGTATGAAATAGACAAAACACTGAAAAATGCGTAATCCGTCTTATGATCATATTCCAACACGTCGTCAAAGCAAAAGTTAATTCAGGTAGCTTCTTTTTAATAATTGTCAAAAGTGCTGTGCCTCCATTATAATTTAATAGTCCTTTTTTTAAGAGTATGCCTAAAATCTACAACAAAAATCAGTCCAAGGCACTCATGTGCAAAATTTAAACAGCCTTTATATATAAAATATCTAAAACTAATGAGCAAATATGTACAGATAAATACGCTTAGACATGGCTTGTACATACACCCATACAAACACATATATACATGTGCACATACAAATATTCACATATATAAACATGTACACAAAAGAATGCATATACAAACACATACATATTCAACAATATATTAAGATAATCTCTAAGCTATCTATAGAAAAACGGTTTTACAAAAAAGAAGAATCTAATTCGCCATTTAAACCTGGAAATCAGGTTGCTTTTAATGTATATGTCCTGTTTTAATCATTTGATCCTGTCTCCTCCTCTTGTTGAATTATAATTATGTTCAATACCAACTATTTTAAATGAACTGGGATTGCTGTGACCTTGATTTTTATAATGTAGAGCCATAGGGTATTGTGAATTACAGGTACGCATCACATTTTTTATGCTCTGCTAATCTCAATTTTAATGTTCTCTTAGTCATTTCTATATAAAAGCATCCGCACGGACGTTCTAGTCGATATACAACAAATGTAGTTTTGCAATTAATAAATGAATTGATCTTAAAACCTCGACCTGATGATGGATCTCTAAATATGTTCGTCTTAAGTATGTTATCACAATGATTGCAATTACCACATCTGTAGTTTCCTGCTGTTTGACTTAATCAGTATTAATCTTCTTAGTGGAGAGATGGCTTCTCACAAGTTTATCTTGAATGGCTTTTCCTGAGTCATCAGAGAATTTATTTATTCATTTAGTTCAATTAATATATACTTTTTATTTTTTATTTGACTGCAAAAGTGCTATTTAAATTACCTGTATTGTCCAGGTCACATAAATGTTTTTAATTGCAGTTGAAGTGCCATAAAGATTTACTATTTATATCTTTGTATTTATTCATTTTTAATCAGTTATTTTCTATTAACTCAGGGTGTCTCTGGGGTCTTAAAAAGTCTTAAATTTCTTTCATTTATTCATTCATTTTCCTTTGGCTTAGTCCCTTTCTTCATCAGGCGTCACCACAGAGCAATGAACTGCCAACTTATCCAGCATATGTTTTATGCAGCGGATGCCCTTCCAGCTGCAACCCAGTACTGGGAAACATCCACACACACTCATACACTATGGCCAATTTTAGTTTATTCAGTTCACCTATAGAGCACGTCTTTGGACCGTGGAAACTCACACAGACGTGGGCAGAACATGCAAACTCCACACAGAAATGCCAACTGACACAGCCGGGGCTCGAACCAGCGACCTTCTTGCTGTAAGACAGCAGTGCTAACCACTGAGCCACCATGTCGTGCTTATTAAAGCTTGTCATTTTTTAAAGAAAAGTAATGCTGAAAAAATGTATAAGTATGTATCATGAGTTTGCCTGTTTTTACGCATTATTTAAAATATGTGGCTAGGAAATAGCTAAATAAAAAAATAAAAAAATTCAAAATGAAGGGGCAGTGTGGTGAGTACCGATGAAGGGGCACAGTGAGTACCGATGTCGCCTCACAGCAAGAAGGTCGCTGTTTCGAGCTTATGCTGGGTCAGTTGGCATTACTGTGTGGAGTTTGTGCTATAGGGGAATCAGATTAACTAAATTGGCCGTAGTGTATGTGAGTGTATGGGTGTTTCCCAGTGATGAGTTGCAGCTGCGTAACATATATGCTGGATAAATTGGCAGTTCATTCCTCTGTGGTGACCAGTCATCAGTCATTTCTTATTTCATTATTCTTAATATAGGTTTTTTTCTTTCCTCTTTTAATTTATTTTTTTCACTTTTAATTATTTCAGTCCTTCAACTGAAGCTAGTCAATAATTAAATATTTCACTTTCTTTCTTTCTTTCTTTCTTTCTTTCCTTCTTTCTTTCTTTCTTTTGTTAAAAAATGGTTCCCAGTGACTTTTTTAAGAATAAATGCAGTTATTCTGGTTCTGAATGACACAAGGTTGAGTAAATGATGACAAAATATTAATTTCTGAGTAAACTATCCCAACTATTCCAGTGTTGTAATTTCTTACAGCATCAAAACATTACAAAAGCAGATGTACAGTTGAAGTCAAAATTATCAGCCCCCGGTATTTTTCCCCCAATTTCTGTTTAACGGAGGGAAGATTTTTTTTTCAACACATTTCTGAACATAATAGTTTTAATTATTTCCAATAGCTGATTTCTTATATCTTTGCCATGATGACAGTAAAAATATTTAATTAGATATTTTAAGACACTTCTATACAGCTTAAAGTGACATTTAAAGGCCTAACTAGGTTAATTAGGTTAATGTAGGTAGTCATTGTATAACGATGGTTTGTTTTATAGGCAAGTGAAAATAAATATTGCTTATGAAATCATATCATTTTAACTTAAAATGGTTTTAAAAAATTTGAAACTGCTTTTTTTCTTCCTAAAATAAAACAAATTAGACTTTTTCCAGAAGAAAAAATATTAAAGGAAATACTGTGAAAACTTTCTTGCTCTGTTAAACATCATTGGGGAATAATTAGAAATTTGAATTTGAATTTGAAAAAGGAAAAAAAAATTAGAGGCTAAAAATGTAATCTTACCATAGTACTGTGAATGGTCTGTGATGTCAAAGGCGTCTGAGGCAGAGAGATAGCCGCTGACAGACATGCTCATCTCAGGATCTGTCCCTTCTCTCATCTGATCACTGGATTCTTACTCTTCACAGAGATGGCCCGGATCTAAAAAAGCACACACAAACTTTCACTCAACATAGTTGAAGATCATAATCCACTGCCTGCAAACATTTCAGAGAAAGCTATTTTAGTCATGACTGTCACGAAAAGGTTATGCCAGAACACTGGAGGCTGTGGAGGTCTGCGTCTGTGCTCCTCTGGGGCTCTGAGAGGATCTGAAGAGCATGGACTGTGAGAATAAGAGCAGAGATGAGGCCCGTGTGTCCAAACAGCTGCTCTGGCACACGTTTCACAGAAAAGGCCTCACAAAGAGAAGTCTGTCCCGGTCATTCTCTACAGGTTTGGCCTCTAGTTGACTCTCAGGATTCAACAGCAGCTGTGTGAACGTACCTGAGCTCACATCCTGGTCCAGGAACACAAAAACAGACCTGAAGAACTGTACTGAATCTACTGTACTAGATCCAAAACTTGGAATGTTTTGGCTACGTGACATCCAAAGGAAGCAAATGTCTTGTTTAGAAACTGGAGCAATTAAGTGTCAAGTTGACCGTTTTCACTGTGAAAAATACACTCTCTGGCCACTTTATTAGGTACACCCTACTAGCACCACGTTGGATCCTCTTTTGCCTTTAGAACTGCCTTAATCCTTCGTGGCATAGATTCAACAAGGTACTGGAAATATACCTCAAAAGATTTTGGTGCATGTTGACATGATAGCATCACAAATTTGCTGCAGATTTGTCAGCTACATCCATGATGCCAACCTCCTGTTTCACCCCATCCCAAATGTGCTCTATTGGAATGAGATCCGGTGACTGTGGAGGCCATTTGAGTACAGTGAACTCATTGTCATGTTCAGGAAACCAGACTGACATGATTCACACTTTATGACATGGCACGTTATCCTGCTGGAAGTAGCCATCAGACGATGGGCACACTGTGGACATAAAGGGATAGACATCCCAACAACTGGCACTTATTGGTACTGATGGGTCCAAAGTGTGCCAACAAAATATCCCCCACACCATTATACCACCAGCCTGAAATGTTAATACAAAGCAGGATGGATCCATGCTGGTCCCACTTTATATTAAGTGTAGCATATACCTGTGAACTTACACGATAACTAGATGTGTATGTAGTATGTACTGTAGCTACAGTGTATGTATACACTGGTACATAGTATTTACTTGTGTATTACTGGTGTAACTACACACATGTAACAACACACAATAGTATTTGTAAGTTCAAATATGTAACAGGACATTAATAACACAATCTTTGGTTAACTATCCCTTTAATGTGAATTACTGATGTGATTCTACAATTTACCTTCAAACAACATATAAACATAAGGCATATATATATTTCTATATACACTTACACTTTTGGGGAAAAGTTTGCTGTTTTTAAACAGTTGTACAAAGGCTGGTTTTACATATTACACAGTCATTTGTGAGCATTTTACACTTTATATTGAGTGGACAGTTCCTGAGGATTTACCCTGTAATTACACTGGTATCACAAGGTGAAACCTAATGCAGCATTAGTTCTGCCATTCTTATTGTAATAGTGTTCAGAAGTACATGGTATGCAAACAGGTGTGAAAGTGGAAAAACACCTGCAAGTACATATTGTTATTACAAAATGTTCCTATGTAATTCTTGTACTTTTTTAGTCTTTTACCAATGCCCTGTTTCACATTTGAACATACACATACTATTCAGTGTGTTGTTACATGTGAGTAGTTACACCAGAAATACTTAAGTAAATATGATGTACCAGTCTGTATATACACTGTAGTTGCATACTACCTACACATAGTTACTATGCAAGTTCACAGGTATAAGTCTCACTTATTATAAAGTGGGACCAATAGTCCTATTATTGTTAATAGGTCTGATCATAGAAATCCTATACATATATATGTAGTTGACACCATCCACCCTCTTGGAAAGGTCACCAGTTGACCATTGTGTCGTCAGTGGTTTAACTTTAATCATACAAAGCTCTAATAACAAAACCTAAATTAGATTAAAACACTTTTGCATCAGATATGCGCATTTTCTAAGGGCTGTACCAAACTTGCATGTTGCGCTGCTTACTCTAATGGTAATATGTTGTCGTAAATACTCACCCTGACAACATGATGAGGAAGAAAATACATATGCAAAGCCATTTTTTGTTTTGGTGCACAGAACTGTTCTTGTAGCTTCATATGATTACAATTGAACCACCGAAAACACATTGGCAGTTTTAACAATGATTTTGTTTGGTTTTTTCCTGGACTTTGCACTTCTCTGGAGCAATCAGAGAGCTCTTGGATTTCATCTAAAATATCTTCATGTGTGTTATGAAAATGAACAGAATCTCTAGATGAATCTCAGATATTGGAACAACATAAGGATGAACAGAACTGTCATTTTTGGGTAAACTAACCCTTCAATGCTTTGAGCACTCAGTCAAAGTACATCAGCTGCATGACTCATGAGTTCTCAGAAACCTCCAGTGCTCAATTCTTCAAAACATTGATGCCAAAAATCAAACCTGTATCATTGATCAATTCTCTGAAGGATAGTTCCTCCAGTTCTCATTAACTTTAACTTACAGTAACTCTCTGTGTGACAGTGTGGGTCGCTCTCTGTTTCCCAGAGGACTGACAGAGGGACATGCAGCTCATCTCTGGAGCTGAAGGGAGTGTTTATACACGCTATGTTTGCCACGGCTCTGTTTGTCATGCAGTTAATCTTTGACATTGAAAAGATTGAGGACTGCAGGAATCTAACCTTCCCACCCAATATACTTTAGACCCCATGGAGGGGGTGGCCTTTCCTGAAAACTCAAATTAAGACATGGCTGCTACACGTGCCCTCTCGTGTCCCGCTCGTTGTGTTGACAGAGAACATCCTCCATGGCGTTATTGTGGTAGCATCTGAAAAAGGCTGACCTCAGTTTTGCTGTGTCGAAATATAGATATCATTAGTGCCTCTGAGACCCAAGGGAGGGATTTTTTGCTATCGCTCCCATGCCATCCATCACAATATCTGTGGGTTCTTTCCTTAAAAGAAAAAAACTTTGCACGATTAACAAAACAACCTTCTTTGAACTTCTGGGACAGTTTGGTTCCAGATGAGGTTAGAGAGAGCAACGCTCCAATGAGTTTGAACACTCATTCATTTTTCACAAGAACATAAATAGCCACAATGTAAATAAACATGGCTTTAGTGTATGATAACCATTGCTCACTTTAACAAAATTAAAATAAAGGTGTTTTCACAGCTATGCCATAGAAGAACCATTTATTCTTAGTGTGAAAAACAGTTTATACAGCTTTTTTTTTTTTTTTTTTTAACAATAAAAGAGAGCTATTAGCTATGGTTAAAAAGATAGCTTGCATAAAAGTGAACATTTCCACAACGTTTCCTCACACTTAAAGTGGTTTCTTTCTTCTGTTAAGAACAAAACAAGATATTCTGACGTATGTTGGGAAAAAGAGCCACTGGTATTTATAGTAGGAACAAAATTTACTGTGGAAGTCACTGGTGGTTTCTTCAGTATATCTTCTTTTGTGTTTAGCAGAAGAAAGAAACTCAAACAGAGTGGAAGATGTGTCAGTTATGACAGAATTTTCATTTTTTGGATGAACTGTTCCTTTAAAGAATAACTGACGATGGGTCTTCGGGTTATTAAGAGGTTAATGCACGTCATGCTCATAAATGTCGAACTTCAGACAAAAAAAAAAGTCTAACTTTTCTAAATTGCTAACTTTTCAATTATGGGGCAATATTTTATGTCACTGTAATTTATTTGTTTTTATACTTATTTGTTTGTACATTATACGTTTTATAATTAGGTGATTAGATGTATCTGGTGTCTTTTACATCTGATTGTTTACTTAAAAAATATAAATTACCTAATTCAGGCAGAAGTTTAGAAATTGTTAATAAACACAAACTGTTTAAATTACACATTTAAAATGTTGAGTTTCAATATTGTGACAAATAAATCACATTATTCACCACAATCATGAGTGTAGGAGCCATATCATACAAGGTGCAGGATGCGATTTGTTGCTAGTACAACAGCAATTTTCACATTTTGCGCCACGTTGTTTGAATAGCAAATTCATTTGCTACACTTTGTAGACTTGTGTTCCAGTCTAAAATAAAGGTGTGTTAAAGCGCATTGTTGGCATGTTGCTATTTTGAGGAACTGCAATAGACTACACTGTTTACCAACTGAAAGCTGATCTAAAGTCTAGCGTAAACGCTTACAAAATACTTAATACACACAAGATGTACAGAAATACACAAAGATCATTACATAGAAAAAGTCAAAGGATTAAAATATTACACAAAATATTAGTTTCTACATAAATAGGAAAAACCACTACCTCGTGCCTTCTTGTTGGGGGGGCTTTTTCAGTTTATCCATGACAATTAGCATTTGTATAATGTTATTATTAGTATTTATTATATGCATATTTATATTTGTTTTAATAAAAACAAGTTTAGATTTGTCCACATGTTGGGTTTTGGAGATGTATGCATTACGATATGGGGCATAAGAATAGGACATGTGTTTGGATATAACTCAGTTTTTTGAACACACTTCATTATAATTGTTCATTTATTCGTTTGCTGGAAATTAGAACTGAATTTAGAAATAGTTTTAAAACAAATCTTTGCGCTTAACAAACAAAATTAAGTATGTAGACTGATGGATGTCTTCAGTGGAGTGTGTACAACACTGTTTCCTTATCCACGAAAGAAAAGGAGTAAAGAGGCAGAATGGAGGAGACTCGTTCTTTATCATCGCGCTGCAGATGGTCTGTTTAACTGTTTTCTTGATAGTGAAGCATTTATTTTTTTCACTTACAAAGTCTGCCATGTAAATAGCAAATGTAAGGGACGTGACACAACTGACTCTTAAAGGGAATGAGAGATGAGACTCTAACTGGATCAATGCACGTTATGCTCAAAACACACCCAAAACTCATGAAGAGAATAAGCACAACCCTGTTAAACCATGTGCTGGGCGCAAAGTATATTTTTCCGTCCTTAAAATAGTATAAGTAGATTCAGACACGCCCCTAATGCTTTTGCGCCATGCGCTTTAGACTTTGCACTTAGATTGTTAAAACAGAGCCCTGATAGTTTAATAAATTTCTTTAATTGTGCTTTTTTGCACAGTTGTCTTTAATTTTAAGGCACACCCAAAAACCACGTGAGCATCACCTTAAAATCCCACATAATTCACAAGAACATGCAAAAGACAAAAGTGAGGTTTTTGTTATTAAGTGATTGCATTTTTGTACAAATGAAAATATCTCATAAATGACAATGAGCTTTTCTGTTTTATGTTCAAGAGTTTAGGTCAGGGGTTCCAAAACTTTTCAGCCCGCGACCCCCAAAACCACAATGCCAGTGACTCGCAACCCCCATTATCCTCTGAGGTGGTTATAAATACAGAAACCTTGCATGCAATGGCGCACACTCACCAATAGACCCAAGTCTTTCTCCGTTTAATTTTTTTATGTATGTCAGTGCTGTAAATGGGCCAGAAAGTTTAACCTGGTGTTATAAACTCAATCTGCTGTATCTGACGCTATTGGTGCATCTTTAATATAAGGTAATTACCCCAGGGGTTGCAATCCAATAGAACTAGTAACTATAAGCTACTACAACTATATTAACTATAAATGACTATTTTTTCTCTTCAGTTAGGTTATGGATAAAATATGGTAATTCTTATGGTTTAATAAAAACCAATACATTTTTGGAAATCACCAGGTTACCCCCCATCATTGTCTCGTGACCCCTCAGGGGGTCCCGACCCCCACTTTGAGAACCACTGTTTTATGTGAACATTTTGAAAGAGACAATCTAATGGGAGTACAGCTTGCATTGGAAGATCACCGCCATCATGTTAAAAATAAAGAGCACCACACTGTAAAAAAGGCTGGGTTCAACACAATCCATTTGTGTTGAGACAACATGAAGGAATTAACTTGTTAGTTTTTACAATTTTTAAGTGGATTGAACATAAAACAAGTAAGTTGTCTTAAAAAACTTTTAAAAACTCAAGAATAATGCTGTTTCAGCTCATTTTAAATATGTAATTTAAACATTTTTTGAGTATATATCCACTATTTCCTCATTTATTTATCTGTCATATTATTTGATGTTAGCTAGTTGCTTGTAGCCAGGCTGTGTTTACAGACTTAAGCATGAATCACTGACGAACAGTGCTAGACTAAAGTCCAGAGGTGCTGCTAGTGTTTTGAATGTAGGTGATTATCAACAGCGGTTCATCGGGACAGACTGACGTAAGGCTGATAATGGAAATGTAAGGTATTCGAGGTGTAGATAACGCAATTGAAGCAGTCTGCTCTATTAAAAACAAAGTGTGCATTGATCAAACGGCAACTTGTCATTGATTTCTGCTTGTGCTGTTGACTGGTGTAGCAGCTCGCAGACAGAATAAACATGGAAGTGAATGTCTAAATGGCCGCTCAACAAATGCCAACATTTCAAACATTCTTAAGTTGTCTGTTGGATTTGGGATGTTGGGAAACAGAACTGTCCCGATCACACTGACCCAACAAAGCCAAGAGCTGCAGATAGTAAGGTCTGCTGTGTGAGACTACTTTAAGAATATGTATTAACAGGCAGAACATTTGTTTAGCTATAGGAAGCTCTAAACTATATCAACTCAAGCATCTTCAAAACTTACAGTGATGTTTTACACACAGTGTTGCTTTAGCATAATACAAAATATACTGTAGTTTAAAAGTAGGATTTTAATTTATATTTGATTTATTTATGTAAAAGTGATTTTAAAGAAGGCTACAAATGATTTACATTTAAAATAAAACATAGATATTTATTTAGTTTCTATCGTGCTGAGAAACTTGAATCTGTTTCCATAAAAATATTTGATAATAATGACAAATATTTCTTTATAACAATTTAAACATATTAAAATGATATCTGAAGGATTGTGTGACATAACACTGGAGAAATAATGCTAACAATTCAGCTTTAAATCAGAGGAACAATTTCTTACAATATAATAATACAATAAACAGTGTTTTTATATAGTTAATAGTTAAAATATAATAGTTGACAATAGTTTACTGTATTGATAGTAGTTTAGAATTAATGCATGGTGAGCAAAAAAGGTTTTTCAAAGACAGACAGACAGACAGATAAATAATAAATAATAAATAGATAGATAGATAGATAGATAGATAGATAGATAGATAGATAGATAGATAGATAGATAGATAGATAGATAGATAGATAGATAGATAGATAGATAGATAGATAGATAGATAAACTTAGAGAACTCTTCTAAATATAGCAATTTAATATTTAGTTCTATTATGGAGATAAGAAACCAGCGTTAAGAAGTGCATTCTGGGATGTTTATTTAAACAAAATATGCGTCTGTTCAAAAAGACAGCTGTACTTACTGACTTTCTTACACAATTCGATCTTTTTATTGATTAAAAAAAATATAATTCTAATTCTTGAAATACAAATTCCCATACATTGAGCATTTTATGAATCACTTAATTTTTCTAATTTCTGAAATACATATGCAAAAATGAATCCATGTACACGTAATCAGTCAAGTTTGGGCTCAATTTTTTTTTGGTGGCATTTATTAAATGTAAAAAAATGTTAAATAAAATGTTAAATAACTGCTCTCTTATTGAATGTAGTTTCAAATGAAATGATTACTTCAGTCATAATTGTTTTAATTACTATTACATTAATAAAAATAATAATAATGAATATTAGAGTGATTTCTGAAGGATCATGTGCCTGATGACTGAAGTAATGAAGCTTCTTCTTCAAAATTCACTGGAATCCATTATTAAATAATTGATAAACAACTTTTGAACAGTTACTTTATAGTGTAATAACATTTCACAATTTGTGCTGTATTTTTGATTAAATAAAGGCAGCCTTGGTGAACAGGAGAAGCTTATCTTAAAACATTAAAAAATCCTACTGACCCCAAACTTCTGACCGGTAGTGTACATTGAGCATTTGACGAATCATTAAACTATTTCTTGAAATGCATATGCAAAAATCAATCCACATACATTGAGCATTTGATGAATCATTAGCACTGTCAGTCAGTGGAGAAAGCAGATTTCATGTACTCACCATGCAGCGCTGATGTTGTGTGTGCTGGATCTCTCTTGCGTTTGTGATGTTGACAGCAGTTCAGCCTGGACATCCAGCACTTGCCAAACACACATGCGTAAAACAAACAGCGCGTCCCTCCAACGCAAACCATTAATTCAAACACATACCAATATCTGTGCAACTTTAAACACAGGAAAGTCGATAATACACACACAAAAACGAAACGTTGAACATTATCCTGCCACCATAATGAGAAAACTCAACTGTACTGTTGGCGTAAACGTTAAACTCAATCAAACAAAGATCCCATAAAGGGAGTGAGGAGCAGTTTAAGGGAAATAATGACGGATCATGCACGATGTGAATGAGTGGCCTCATTAGAACATTCCCAGCAGCCCCTGTGTTTATAAACAGCTCTAGTTCATCTAACTGATGGATGAACATTCGCTATCTCTCTCCGCTCTTCCTGCCGCTCCTCCGGCCAGCGTTTCACAACCGTCCGACACACTCCCACGTGTCACTACACAATTCAGCTGGACGCACGCAAATTCAGACCCCTTTATCTGAGTCCCAGACCCCCAGCCGCTCTTGTGCTCCATGGGTGGCCCTTCAGAGGGGACAATCTGCGGCCTGGTGCTCTTAACTCACAGGATGCTAATGACAGCCACTGTTGTAATGAGGGAAAAACAACATTGACGTGTTTTTCCATGGGCTGCTGATATGAACCGTGGGGTAGAACAAGGAGCCAAGGTTATTTCTGAAATTATAAATGTGTTGGATTATGGTGGGTTGACTATATAGGCAGTATTTTAAGGGAGTGTTGGCACCAAGATTGTTCTGAAGGATTAATACTACAATTACAAAGCGTACTTTTGGTCAAATTCTGCATCTGAAAGCTCATGCTTGTCTTTTTTTTAGTCCAAATATCTATAAGTTCTTGAATCAAGAAGCATTTTCTAGACAAGCAAAAAAAAAAATGCACTCACCGGCCACTTTATTAGGTACAACTGTCCAACTGCTCGTTAACACAAATTTCTAATTAGCCAATCACATCTCAGAAACTCAATGCATTTAGGCATGTAGACATGGTCAAGACGATCTGCTGCAGTTCAAACTGAGCATCAGAATGGAGAAGAAAGATGATTCAAGTGACTTTGAACATGGCATGGTTGTTGCTGCTGGACGGGCTGGTCTGAGTATTTCAGTAAACTGCTGATCTACTGGGATTTTCACACACAACCATCTCTAGGGTTTACAGAGAATGTTGAGAAAAAGAAAATTTCCAGTGAGCGGCAGTTCTGTGGACGCAAATGGCTTGTTAATGTCAGAGATCAGAGGAGAATAGTCAGACTGGTTGCAGCTGATAGAAAGGCAACAGTAACTCAATCACTCTTTACAACTGAGACATGCAGAAGAGCATCTCTGACCATGTCCATCCCCTTATGACCACACTGTGCCCATCTTCTGATGGTTACTTCCAGCAGGATAACGCGCCATGTCATAAAGCGTGAATCCTCTCAGACTGGTTTCTTGAACATGATAATGAGTTCACTGTACCTAAATGGCCTCCACACCCACTAGATCTCCAACCAATGAGGCACATTAGGGATGTGGTGGAACGGGAGGTTGGCATCATGGATGTAGCTGACAAATCTGCAGCAACTGCGTGATACTATCATGTCAATATTGACCAAAATCTCTGAGGAATATTTCCAGTACCTTGATAAATCTATGCCACGAAAGATTAAGGCAGATCTAAAGGCTACTAGTAGGTACTACTACTTTATTAGGTACTAGTAAGGTGTACCTAATAAAGTGGCCGGTGAGTGTATAGTCTTGTTTTAAGAAATAATATGCAAGCAAAATAATCAACGGGGAAAGCAAAATAAACTTGTTTTTCCCTTTTAAATTAGGTTATTTTGCTTGCCTCATTGGCAGATATTTTGCTTGTTTTAAGAAAACAAATGACTAATTTTTGGCATATTATTTCTTAAAACAAGACATTCTTTTTTTGCTTGTCTAGAAAATGCTTCTTGATTTAATAATTTTTAGTTTTTAATTTACATTTTTTTTAACTCGAACCAGTGACCTTACTGTGAGGCGACAGTGCTAACCACTGAGCCACCGTGCCACCACATGAAGTTCAGACCACCACTATAATAATAAAGATGTAGGGAAACAAGATCACTGGGATCACTTTAACAACACTTTTTTTTCAGCTAATTAACGATAAAAACACAGACAGCCAGTCAGAATGCATTTAAATATAAAGCACTTGTGCAATTTAAAGCTACAGACAGAATTGTCCACTACACTGGATACAATCGCTTAATTGATTTTATTGGACTAATAAATAAAAGAAAGATAAAGAGTCCCTGGTCAGATGTGCTAGTGGTACATCTGCTGGTTACAATGGGGTAATGCAGAATGAAAAGCAAGTTAAAAATAAACTGATTTTAATTGTTCGTCACTGAGGACGCAAATATATTTATCTTTATATGCACTGTGCTTGGTGTGAACAGGCCAGAAAAAAGTGAACAACCTTGATGACCTACTACTAACATGTGCATTCGATGAACACTTAACTGTCCCATGAGGCCACAGTAGAGGATTTCTGAATGGCAGTACAGTGACATGACTGATAATAATATCATAATAATATAAACAACATGGTGAACGTAGAATATCAATAACACTTATTTTTATATGGTTACAAAATACCCTGTGCACACCAATGTGATTTTGGATGCAGCCATAAACAGCGATACACGTTGCTAATAAAGCAGTCCCATAATGCATTGTGAGTTTAGTGAAATTGAGAAATTTGACACATTTGTTTGCAGTTTATATGTACAGTATAGTGAGGAACAGCATGAGGAACCAAATTTATCACTAAATTGTTTCTAAATGGAGATCAATGTTCTTATTGTCTATAACTAATCAAAAACTTTTAGTTAACTAAAATACAAGTAAAATCAAAAAGTATTAGATAGGGGGGAAAAAAGATGACAAAAAATAATGAGAAATGTTGCGATTCTTCTTGTTTCAAACTTTTGGATTATTGTTTAAGTGATATTTTATAAATAAATTAACACACTCAGTCCAGCATTAGTAATAACACTATTATCCAATCAGTAGACAGGAGACTCCCTATAAATAATCAAACACATCAATACCTCCACAATCGACTGATTTTCCAGCATCCCCCTGCCATTTCAACTACACTATCCTCTACAGCTAGAGAGGAACAGGAGCATTTTCACAACACGCTAAAATGAATTATCTTAGTCAGTTCAACATCTGTGTGAACGTGTAAAATAACACTATTTTTGCTGCTTGCTCAAACTACTTTATTAAAATAAGCTGAACAACAATTCTTGAGAATTTTTTGGGACAACTTAATTATTTTAAGTTCAGTCCACTAGCGTTATGTAAACTTAATCGATTTGTGTTGGGACAACATGAACAGATTGTGTGGACCCTTTGCAATTTTTTAACAGAGTGGAAGAAATACTTTTGGAGCATGTTCTGCTGAAGAAGCCACTGATGCTCTCTATAGCAAATAACAGATTTGTGAATAAGCATTACGGAGCTCATTGCAAAAAAAAAAAAAAAATGCTTTTCTTAATAGTTTACATCTTGTTTTTAGTCCAAACACCAATCAATTCTTTAATCAATAAGCATGTTTTAGACAATTAAAAAATATTGTTTTGTTTTCATTCATTTTCCTTCGGCTTAGTACCTTTATTCATCAGAGGTCGTCACAGCAGAATGAAAAGCCAACTACTCCAGCATGTATTATATATTGCAGGTGCCCTTTCAGCTGCAACCCAGTACTGGGAAACACCCATACACTTTCCATAAATATATACATACACACACACTCATACACTACAGCCAATTTACAGTTGAACTAAGAATTATTAGCCCCCCTTTATTTTTAGTTTTTTTTCCCCCCAAATGATGTTTAACAGAGCAAGGAAATTTTCACAGTATGTCTGATAATATTGATTCTTCTGAAGAAACTCTTGTTTTATTTCGGCTAGAATAAAAGCAGTTTTTAATTTTTTAAAAAGTCAAAATTATTAGCCCCTTTAAGCTATTTATTTGTTTCGATAGTCTACAGAACAAACCATCATTATACAATAACTTGCCTAATTACCCTAACCTGCCTAGTTTACCTAATTAAGCCTTTAAATGTCACTTTGAGCTGTATAGAAGTGTGTTGAAAAGTATCTAGTCTAATAGTTTTTACTGTTATCATGGCAAAGATAAAATAAATCAGTTATTATAAATGAGTTACTAAAACTATTGTTTAGAAATGTGTTGAACAAATCTTCTCTCCATTAAACCGAAATCAGGGGGGCTAATAATTCTGACTTCAACTGTAGTTCATCCAATTTGGCTATATTGCACATCTTTGTACTGTGAGGGAAACCAGAGCACCCAAAGGAAACCCACATGAACATGGAGTGAACATACAAACTTCACATAGTAATGAAAACTGGTACATCCGGGTTTTCGAATCAGTGACCTTCTTATTGTGAGACAACAGTGCTAACCACTGAGCCACCGTGCCTTTAAAACCAGCTAAATTATCTGCAAATATAGTAAAACTATTTTCAGATTGAAAACAAGCTTATTTTACCTACACCACTCAATATGGAAAAATGTATGTCATTCTTTACATTAATTCTGAAAACAAAATAATTTATTAACAAAATATAAATTAAGGAGGGCCACAGCAGAACGGTGGTTAGAACCGTCACCTCACAGCAAAAAGGTCGCTGGTTCGAGTCCCGGCTGGGCCATTTGGCATTTCTGTGTGGAGCTTGCATGTTCTCCTAACATTCATGTGGGTTTCCTCCAGGTTTCTTCACTTTCTTCCACAGTCCAAAGATATGCGCTATAAGTGAATTAAATACACTAAATTGGCCGTAGTGTATGTGTGCGTGTGAGAATGCGAGTGTGTATTGGTGGAAGGCTGAAAGAGCATCCGCTGTGTAAAACATATGCTGGAATAGTTGGCGTTTCATTCTGCTGTGGCAACCCCTGATTGATAAAGGAATTAAGCCAAAGGAGAATGAATGAATAAGAATTTCGATATATGTACTAGAAAGACCAGTCTTTTTTTTTTTTTGTTAGTTTGTTTGCTGTGCTGACCTTCAGTCTCCACATCTCTTCAGATGTGGCTACCACTCCTGCAATTTAACGGCCATTTTTTACAAACCAATTAATTCCTGCTAGATGAAATTGTTCCCTTCTCACTTGTAAGACAACAGAAGAAAACTGATGATTTACCTGGGGGAAACATATAAAGAGAACAGAAACAAACACTATCTTCATCACACAAACAACAGATAAAGAAATACTTCAAGCCTGTTTGGCCCCAGAAAACAAAGATCTTTAGTGTGTGTTGTGATACAGAAAAGAAAACAGGCACAAAGTCAAATAAGACTTCAAAATAAGAACTTCAATAAAAGAAGTTACAAACTGACGGTCAGGTGCAGTGCATAATCAAGGCCACCATATAAAGATTAAAAACATCTTAACAAAACCAACTGATACTTAATAGATTACAGTACACAGACTGAAGAAGCCCGTTTTCACAAGTCTTCCTCAGTCAAGTCTGCTGTATGCAGCACTTAATTCACTGTACATCAAATTTACAAGATTGCATGCGTTGAAAAAATAAAAATAAAAGCTTTTGTGAGTTCTGAAGTACAGTACAAGTGTGTAAATGATCCCTTTGGTAACAATTAAAGGGATAGTTCACGCAAAGTTTTAAACTTCCATTCATTTACTCTCCCTCATGTAGTTTTAAACCTTTATGAGTTTTTTTATTCTGTTGAACACAAAAGAAGATATTTTGAAGAATGCTGGTTGAACTTCAATAGTAGAGAAAAAAAATCAAAGTCCATGAGTGCCAGCATTCTTCAAAACATCTTCTTTTGTGTTTAAAGCTAGAAACCGTCAAATAGGTTTTGAACAAGTGAACGATGAATAAAAGTTTGTTTATTTGTGTTTGGGTGAACTATCCCTTTAAGAACAGCAACTACTATGAGACAAAAATAATAATTAGAATCACTGATGCTGCTCGCTATAATAAAACCTATTGATATAAAATGTAAATAAAACTCAAGTTTTTTGTGCATTTTTGTGAAATGTGATGCTCAAAAACCATCCATCAGCTTTTAATGCAGTCACAGCAGGAATGAGTAGTTCAGTTTTGCAGAAGCGCAGCCCTTTCTTCATCTGTATCTGCAGAAACCTGTGGAGATTTCCTGTACATCATAAACTGCACAGATATCTGAAGAACAGCGCTAAGGCAAAAAACAGCTGAAATGAGTACACGTGATTCAGATAATCTGGCTTTTTGTCAATATATGGGAACTTCAGTGAAGCAGGAGGTCAAACATACAGTGACTGAAATGTTTATGGAATATTGCTCAGAACATTAGTCATGTGACCTTTGACTGCATCTTCTCAAAACAAACCGTGTTGGTGCTAAATTGCATGAACTGACTAACTGATTAAGTTAAAGCAGGATTTGAGGACAAGGTTTATTGTGGTCAAATAAAAATAAAAAACTGAAATAACACTATTCTCTAGACACTCTAAAGTATGGATCTGAATTAAAAGTTAATATTTATTTAGTTTTTTAAGGTCTGGTAACACTTCTTCTGCATTTCCATAGAGAATTGTTTTCCAAAAATGTTAACAATGTTAAATGTTAAACTAACTATAACTGTGATCAGAAAAACATTGGTATTCTGTTGTCTAGGGTTGGGCGATTAATCAAAAGGTAAGCGAAATTGACAATCAGAACCTGTAATTTAAAAAAAATTCTCATTTGTAAAATGTGAGCATAATAATGTCAGGGCAAAACTATGAGGGCAAAAAAAAGTTAATTAATCATAATAGAGTGAAAATTAATCAAGATTTTGATTTTAAGGCAAATCGCCCAGCCCTACCATTGTCTAAAAATTAATATAAAAATGTCTAACTCTTTTGTCATTTAATGCAAAAAAAGAAATTGTAGATTAATTTAATCAGTAGATTAAAGAATAAAATGAAATTAATTAATATAAATCAAAACTTTTCAAGCGTTCTCTTAATTTATTAATATCTGCTTCATAAAGCTTGTTTCCAAGAAAAAAAAACAATGGTTTATCTTGGTGTACTGAACAAAAACAAAAAAACAATGTAATAAAATCTATAAACATATACATTTATATACATATAATTGTTTTCCCATGGCAGTTTCATTCTAAGATTTTCAGAATGAATTTAAATATTATTATTTTTCTGTGCTGATATTATATATAATATAATTCTCATGGCTGTATAAATCCAGATGGATGAAATATCTGCAATGTGGCTTTAAAGGATACGACCAGGTCTAGTGAGAGAGTTCCGAGGCTGCCGATGAGCCAGGGCAGGTGGTGAACCATGTAACTGGCCTCTCCCTGTCCTGGATCTGGGTTCTTCAGCAGAACACTCACGCCGTATGTGGTGTTTCCCAGAATCACCAGAGCAAACAGGAAATACGACAAGCCCTCTGTTGACTTCCTCTGAAACTGCAGGCAACAAGACATATTTCAAATACACCAAGAAGCAAAATCAGTCAATGAGCGCTGCATGCTAATGTAAAACAACTGCAGCTGTATTAAAAGCATTCATCAATAACAGATGCGAGTCCCCAAAGCAATTAGGAACGTTGCACTCAGGAATAAATCATTTAAATAAATATGACACTTTAGTTTGCATTGACAAATTAAAGCCTGGAGCGGCACAGTGGCTCAGTGGTTAGCACTGTCGCATCTTAGCAAAAGGTCGCTGTTTTGAGTCCCGGCGGGGCCAGTTGCAAATTTTTGTGTGGAGTTTGTATGTTCTCCCAGTGATGGTGTGGGTTTCCCCCACAGTCCAAAGACAAGCACTATAGGGGAATTGAATAAATTAACTAAATTGGCCGTAGTGTATGAATGTGAATGTGTATGGGTGTTTCCCAATACTGGGTTGCAGCAGAAAGGGCATACGTTGTGTAATACATATGCCGAAATAGTTGGTGGTTCATTACGATGTGGCGAGAAAAAATGAATGAATGAAAATTAGCATTATGTTATTTTAAAGACATTTTATTTCATGTGAATTCTTACCTAAATATTTCTTCAAGATGGTCTACATTTCACCAGTTTTTGCAATTTCTATTATTCTCAGGTTTTTCAAGTAATGTTTAACTGTACAAGTAAAATGACTGTCAATGTATGCAAGTCAGCATCAAGGCAGTACCATAAATAGTGGATTTGTAGTTGTGCAAGGCACCTTTTTAACTGTTAAAATTACAAATTCATTTTACAATTATTTTTGTGCTTTGCAGTGATTTATGTGCACTTCTACAGCTAGCAATGGCAGGCAATTTAATAGTCCCAAATACATAGTTTCTTCTTTTTAGAAAATAAAATGCAGTATAATCTGTTTTACAATGCTGATGTGAACAAAATTATCGAAATAGGTGGAAGACCAAATGTGGCACTTTTTTAAAGCAAAACATAAAACCTACTTGTTTAGAATAGCTTTTGTTATACATTAGTGCATAGTCACTTTTTGTTTGAATTTTATTATTGATTTAAGTCTTAAAATAGATCATATTATTTAATCTACCAACAGTGATTACGTTTTCATCAGGGGTACCCAAACTTTATCATACAAAAGGCCAAAACCAAATATCATCATGAGTCGTGGGTCTAAGGTAAATATATCAAACTATATCACATATAAAGTTGCCATGGTTAATTTCCACATTTATTTTACAATATTTATAAAATAAATCAAAAACTTTACTTTAAATCATATTTACTAATGCAGTATAACTTTTAAAATGATAACGTACTGCAATTAAGTTATAACAGTGAACAGTGGAGTTTAATGCTGAACACACAAGTCAAGCAGAATCTGCCTTTGCTTTGATTTGCTCACTAAAGTCTCTGCATTGTCCTCTATCCATCAGGTGACCGTATGAACATTTACAACTAAATTTGATTAGTTTACAACATTTAATTAAAACATTTAATTCCAGTTAGCTTTTATCAATAAAACAAACAAAAAGTTACCTTAGATTTGAAATGACAATCTCTAAAGCTTCTCCATCATTCTACCATTCTTCTCAGATGGGATGGCAGGCCAAATCAAAGGTTAACATGTGCCAACTTTGGCCAGTGGGCCCTAGTTTGGGCATCTCTGGTTTACATAGACATCAGTGATCGAATGATTTACCTTAATCTGAATAAGACAATAATACATGGGCTTCGCTAGGCCTATTTTAAGGGGGCTATAGCCCACCTATATTTTTACTCAACCCCCTAAAATGTTTGCGATTAGCTCATAAACTGCACACTAAATTATCGCCTCAGTCCTCTTTAAATTTGATATTTATATTTGACAAAACAAAATACTACTGAAAATATCATTATTTGGTGTAAAATAAAACCCTAAATATATTCTGATTGTTTTTAGATCAACATCTATAAACACGTATATATGCAGCAATACTTACATTGGTGTAAATCTGTGGCAGTCTGGAGCATAAATACAGTACTGAAGAAATAGAGCCGATAACAAAGCCTATAATCTCTCTTGTTTTGAATGGCTGAAAAACATCAAGTGGCAAACCAAAATAACATTAAAACCACATAAATAAGTACACTGCAGCTCGAGTGAATGCTGAAAGTCCCTCCATTACCTGCACTGCACCGTTGTCCTCCTCCAGGGCCAGTAGTGCTCGACCTCTGAATCCTGAGGGCATTTGATCCTCAAGAGACCAATGAGGGATACTGAGAAGTGAAGATGTCATTCCTAAAAGACACAGCACGCTGAGTGCATTTAGCAGTGCACGGTCTGTGGAGGAGAAAAACATTTCCATGAATTAGCAAGGCAGCAGCACATTCTTATAAGAGACTGTGAATGTAGAGCTGAGAGCTTTCCATCTCTTCTCTTCATTACTGCATGAGGCACAAATCTGCTTTCCTAATCTAAATCATGCCGTTATATCCTCACAGACTGCTTGGAGGAATTAAAATGAATCTGAAATACGCATTTACGATTTTGAAAGATTATTGACAATCAGAATTTTCAAAGGAAATTATAAATGATGCTTTGGCTGAAATATATACATACTGTATACAAAATAATATTAATAAACTTTATATTTATATAGCGCCTTAAAAAGTAGCATCTCAAGGCACTTTACAGACATAAAATGTGCAACAGTTAAAGATACAAACAAGGATGAATACAAAGAAAAGAATGCATATAAAATAATTAAAAACACAAAATAATAATAGTTGTAATAAATCTAAAATCAAATTAAATCAATTAAAAAACCTAAAACTGATCAAACTTGACAGAAGCATATAACAACTCATAAAAACTTCAAATAAAATTAACACGTTTATATCATGACTTTTTCTTTCTCTAAAAGCAGGGTTCCCACTCTAAGCAACATGTCAAATTCACTGGCTTTTATTGACTGAATAACTGAATATCAGGGACCGGTAGAGAATATGAAAACAGGCAACTGTTGTGTGAATCACTGGCCAAAATTTAGAGGAGCTTGCCATTTTTTATTGCTGCAGATTTCCTGCAGATTTTAGCTATAGCCGTGATAAATACTCCAGCTCCTGCCACACCATCTGCATTATTTTTTTATTAAACAACATCATATTTGCATATAGAAAGTGCGCATCTGTTGTATAATACTTTGATAGACATTGCACAGTGAATATTTGCGTATTGTTTTGTAGCAAAACAACTTAAGAAAGTTACATTATGAGGAAAGTCATTGCCGAAATCAATCATTTTAGGCTGCAAAAAAATGTGTGCACAATTTCCAGAAGGGACTGATTGGGCACTGAGCAGAAAAAAAAGTTATAGAATGGTAAATGTATGTGACTGGGATAATATAAAAATTTGCAGTGAATAACAGCCATAACAATAAGCAGAACATGTGAAACAACAAGATAAGCCAAAGACAATCAGATATTAGAAATTAGTTTTTAACACTATTATGTTTTTAAAAAGTATTGAAGAATCTTCTCTCCATTAAATAGCACTTGGGAAATATTTTTAGAAGGTTCAAAATTTCACAGGAGAGCTAATAATTTTGACTTTAACTGTAGGTTAAGCATGAAAAAGGTTTTAATCTTCAATGTTGATCAATGAATTTTAATCTTGAACAGTTGAGCTAGTCCCAAGTTCTGCAGCGAGTAGCGCCTCTGAAGCAGCGCCAACAAATCCACAATGCAGTTCGGCAATGCCTGACGTCACCCATTCAAAGTGAATAGGAAGTGTTGACGCTGACAACCTGTGTGAATGGGGCGCAAGCAAAATGTCGTATTCTCTGACTTTTATTGACTGAATTTCAGAGGCCGATAATGAATTCAATTCAATTTAATTCAGCTTTATTTGTAAAGCGCTTTTACAATGTAGATTGTGTCAAAGCAGCTTCACATAAATGGTCATAGTTACTGAATCAGGGTAGTTCAGTTTTTAGTGTTTAAAGGGCCATGAAACCCCCTCGTTTCAGCAGGGTGTTTTTTTTACACCTCTACTTTGGAAAAAGTCAGAAAAGTGGGCGTGTCCAGCTCTGTTTAGGGGGAGTGTCGGAGGAAGAAAAGTGGGATGGTGTGGGAGTGTCTATTTGGGCACGCGCGAGTTTCAGAGTCAAAATACACACAAACACACAGTAGAAAGTGATGGTGTTTAACCTACATGGACATGTGTAGTCAAATTATTTGCCAAATTATTAAATGGTGAACTTTAACTGCAGTTTGGCTCTTTCATTCAGGGAATTCATTCATGCCCCTCGCGACAAACAAGATATTTGATTCGAGGAACTGCTCTAAGCGTGTATTTTTCATGCAATGTTTGATACCGCACGGTGAATGAGAGAAAAAAAACCTCCGCATTTCCCGGAAACTTAGATGCACACAAAGGGTAGCGTCAGAAAGTTGCGTGTGTTATTCCGGTCACAAAATGCGGTAAAAACCCTACACGAGGTTAAAGTTTGGTTGTGGTGCTAACATGTTTACACTCGGTGAAATAGTTTGTTCGATACGAACAAACTGAATAAACAAAGAGCACTGGTCGTTCACTTACCAAATCTGTAGAGACAGGACAATCACCAGCAACTAGAGCCGCGTCTTTATGAAGTGAATACTACAAGCGAATCCGGATCTCAGCGTTTGCAGATGAGAACAGCTCTCAGGTAAACAATGTTCCTCCTTAGACACGTAAGTTATTGTTGTCGAGCGTCGCGTACACTGTAATCCACACGTGACACTGAGCTCTCACAGAGAGAAAATGAAAACGAAACTTAACTGTAGCAAACTATAAAAGCAACACTTCACGCTTGTTTTGCCAACACAACGTGGTGTGTCTGTCGTCTAAGCACTGTGACAGTAATGAATATTAATGAAGTTGCACAATAGAGCGCGCTGATTGGTTTGAACCAAGCCTTACTCATGCATTAATGCATCACACTGTAAGACGTAATAAGACACACTCTGGCACAGACGTCCAGTCTGCGCGCTGGAATACAACGCTATTATGTCATGACCGTGACTCATCTTCAAAAATTTGTTTCAAACCGGAAGTACGAATTTGCTTGAAATAACGCAAAAACAACAAATTTACACTTTTTATTGAAATATAGGTGTCCTAATAGTGTTTTTAGCAGTGTGGGACACATATACGACTGTCAACAGCTCAAAAAATGTGTTTTGGTGTTTCGTGAACCTTTAAGTTCAGTTCAGTTTAGCTCAGTTCAGTGTGGTTTGAAATCATTACTGAGAGTCCAAACACTGAAGAGCAAATTCATCGATGTGTAGCTTTTCAGTTCCTGAACCATGCAAGCCAGTGGCGACAATGGAGAGGGACAAAAAACTTCACCAATAGGCGAGTGAAGAAAAAAAACCTTGAGAGAACCAGACTCAGTTCGGCACGACTGTTATAATTTCTCCGCTGGCCAAAAGTCTTGTGCAGAGCTGTAGTCTCAGCAGTGAATATGAAAACAAACAGCTGTTGTGTTGATCAATCGATTCTGTAACTGCTAAACCTAATTAAAAATCAAGCAAATGGCACAACATTTTGTAGAGCTTGCCATTTTTTTAATTGCTGCATTTACCACAGATTTTGGCTATAGTCAGGATAAATTCTCTAGTTCATGCCACACCATTTGCATTGTTTTATATCATACTCGCACATCAAAAGTGCTCATCCGGTGTGTGATACCATAGATGGCACATGGTACAGTGTAAATTTGTGTATTGTTTTTAAATAGCAAAACAACTGAAGAAAGTTAGTAAATATTGTTGCAAATTTTGTGAAAAGTCATGTCTTAGTCACATTAGTCATTTTAGGCAAAAATACAGAAGGGACTGGTTGAGCATTAAGCAATAAAAAGGTATAGTCTGGTTGCTATTTGATTGCCAGCTAACAAGAGGGAAAATATTATAAAGACAGTGAATAACAGCAATAACAATGGACAAAACATTTGAAACAACATAGTAACATGGTATAAAAAATTATTTTCATCAGTTGCAAGAAAAATCAAAAATTCCTGATGTCAATGTCTGAAAAAGACCTTTTAAAATTCCATGACCTGTGGGAACCCTGTAAAATGTATTGGAGTGAAACAACAGTTTCTACATATAAAACAAATCTTGTCCGGCAAATTTAGAACAAGAATCATTTGTTGACAGATTCAAAACATATTTAAGGAGATCAATTTAATACTTCTTCAATTCACTAGTTTTTTCAGCAAGGTATTTTTAATCATTTAAAATCTGAGTTTTATTTTATCAGATTCAAAATGTCTTTTGTTCAATTTTTTCATGAATATATCTGTTATGCTGAATGATGATGAAACATTCACCCATAGTTTTACATAGTTATAGCCCACTTAGAACACATTTAGCCTAAATTACAGGTCACAAGTGACGTATAATTTCCAACTCACCTGAAGATCTTTTATTCTTTAGTTTATAGTACATGTACATGGCCAGCATTAACAGGTCTGCCACGACGTAGTAGACAGCTGTATATTTCTGTAGTAAAAAATAAGGGATTGAAGAATATCAAATAATAATAATAAACTATTAAATATATATGAGCAATTCCATGAAAATGTCAACCTTGCCATGAAAAGAAAAATGTTTTCACCAAAATAGCGAAACCGTTTCTACATTTTTTGCGCAGGCAAGTGTTTTACAGTACTTTAAAAATACTTAAAAATGTCTCTGTCAATGTTTTCAAACTATTATATTTGATTTACCAAAGTCAAACAAATGGCAATTTCACATCCGTCACATCCATAACGAAAAAGTGTCACATCCATAACAAAGATTTTCCCTCAAAATGGCAAAAATTTCAAAATAAAATCAAATCAATCAGTTTTGTTCTATAAAGAGCCAACTCTTATCCTTTTGTTGAGAATTATTTATTTTGGGTTGTGCAGTTTAATTCACAGAATTTTTTACGAAATATGTTGTATACTGTAAACTCGCAGACTTTTTTTGTCACATCCATAACACTTGTTTATTTTCCTCATTTAAAATATAAAAATGTTCACAGATTGAATTTTTTTGATCCCATAACTCTGTTGTTAGTTGTTTTGGAAAATATAAACAGATGATTCAATATAATGTTAACGTATACTTTCTCTGCAAATTTATGTTTTGAATTTCTACTGCAAATGTCACATCCATAACGCTGGAATCAGCCATATATATATATATATATATATATATATATATATATATATATATATAAATCCAGTCTTAGTTTAAACTACATCAATACTAAGACCATTCAATTAAAACAATGAAATAGTCTACATTCGATTCATTTAGCAGACTATATCCAATGTGACAAAAATGATGAATGTGTTTTTTGATCCTGTACCTGTAGAGGAAGTTGATCAGCCAAAAATGACCCTATAAGATTGCACGAATCACCCGCCAGCCAGAATAAGAGGAACCAGATAGACAGAGCGCTGTCCATGTTTCCTGTCTTGCAGGAACTGTAGTATTGCCTACAGTAACAGTCAGAAAGATCCCATTACTTACATGTGCAAAACATGTCACTTCATATAAACGCTACCATTCATATTTTTAGTAGTTGGGTCAATTTATCTGTAAGGTTTAAAACTAAATTAGTGTCTTATGCATTTAGTTATTCAAAAATATATAGAAATATATCTTAAATATTATTGTAATAGCAGTTTTAAAAAAACAGTTATGAAAGAATCTGGTCACAGCAATGTAAATATTTGGTAACACTTTTAGTTGTTACACACTACAGTATTTATTCATTCACTTATTCATTTTCCTTCAGCTTAGTTCCTTTATTCATCAGGGGTCGCCACAGCGGAATGAACTGCCAACTTATATACTATATGTTTTAAACTGTGGATGCCCTTCCAGCTGCAACCCAGTACTGGGAAACACCCATACAAGCTCACATTCACACACATACAAACACTGTGGCTTATTTAGCATTGTCTTAGGACAGTGAGCGAAACCGGAGCACCCTGAGGAAACTCACACAAACACTACAGTAACTACACTTAAATACTGTGCATATATAATTACATGCAACAAACCATGGAAAAGTTTCCAAATATAAATGCTCAAAATTGCTGCTTAATGTTTTGTGAGATTATTGCCAGGATCCATTGATTAGTATAAAAAAAACTGAGAATCAACTTCAAACGCAAATATTCAGTAAATGTTGATATTGTCTTTACCATCACTTTTGTTCAGCTTAAAAAGATAATTTACACAAAAATGAAAATTCTGCAATCATTTACTCATCCTCTGCTTGTTCCAGCCCTGTTTGAGTTTCTTTCATTTGTTGAACACAAAACCAGATATTATGAAGAATGCTAGACAAAACAGCCATTGACTTCCATAAGTATTTTTTATTCCTACTATGATTGTCAATAGGGGCTAAGCTGTGGCCCAGTAGGTAGTGCTGTCGCCTCACAGCAAAAAGGTCGCTGGTTCGAACCTCGGCTGGGTCAGTTCTGTGGAATTTGCATGTTCTCCCTGTGTTCCTGTGGGTGCTCCGGACTCCCCCACAGTCCAAAGACATGCAGTACAGGTGAATTGGGTAGGCTAAACTGTCGGTATTGTTTGAGTGTAAATGTGTGTGTTGATATTTCCCAGAGGTGGGTTGCTGGATAAGTTGGCAGTTCATTCTGCTGTTGCGACCCCGGATTAATAGAGGGACAAAGCCGAAATGAAAAAATGAATGAATGATTGTTATTAGTGTTACCCCCAACATTCTTCAAAATATCTGGTTTTGTGTTTAACAGAAGAAAGAAACTCAAAATAGATTAGTACCATGTGACTTGAGTGTAGGTAAATGAGGGAATTTTTTAACTACCTAATTTTATAACCAAATTATCACTTGAATGGATCCTTGCTGAAAGTGTCAATTTGTAGTTACCTCAAGTTTAAAAATAGCAGTGTAAATGTGCATCTACATTAACATGATGTCATTTCTAATATGTGACCCTGGACCACAAAAGTCCAGTCTTATGCTGTACAGGTATATTAATGGCAAAACATTTTTTTCAAAATGATTGACTTTTTATTTATGGAGAGAAAAAAAAAAGATTAAACCATGAAATATTTATAGTCAATTTCCTACTGTAAATATATAAAATTTTATATTTGATTAATAGTGTACATTGCTAAAAACTTAATTTGGACAAATTTCAATATTTATGTTTCTTTTTTTAACCCACACCAGATGTTCAAATAGTTATATATACATATATTGTCTCATTATAACACACCAAACATCTATTGAAAGCCATTTATATTGAGGTAAAGTTGGCTTTATATGCGCCCATTCGTTCAGGGACAACTGCTGACACAGTCCCTGTATTGTTTACCATATTACTTTAAATATTGGGTCTGAAATCACATGCAAGTATGACTTGAAAACAACATTAGCATTATTTATTTGACTGTTAACAATGTTGAACTTTAACTGTTATTGGCTGCTAATATCATTTCACTATTTGAAATTTACAAACGTATTTTTGTGAAATTATATTATTAAGGAAAGTCAGAATGTGCGAATATAAAACCAACTTTACCGCAATGCCATTTATACATGTTTCAAAGTATCAGTATCAAAGTATTTTACTCATGCCTGGTTTTGTGGTCCAGGGTCACACATGGGAAAATGTTAAAAACACAGAGAAACAGCTTTGGTCTACTCACGGTATTGAGGACACCATGAAGCAGACAATTGACAGGAGTCCGAGAACCACACTGGCAACATCTCTGCCATCCTGAGCACATTCACCCAGTCCATACCAGATCCACGCTATACCATTAGGACACAGAGAGCTGAAGTTTCCACCACCGCCGAGCTCAAAACCATCCGACATCACTGACAAAACAACAAGGATGAAGTATAAGGAATCAAGAAAACACGCCAGGTGGCATAGACGGGTGGCATTCTCCAGAAAACATGTCGGGACAGCAGTAGCAGGTCACTGTTAAACTATTCACGTTAGAAGACAACACAACTGTTTAATAAACACGAATGTATTTAATACGTTACCTGTGGTGTATATTTTCGGCAGTTGAGGTAGGCAGTAGAGGTTTGTCGATCTTACCGCGCCGCGAACACCTAGTGAGGAAAACAACAGTCAAACAACGAGATCACCGATTAGCGCTCTGATTGGATGGTTGAGGCGAGACGTCATCGTGCGGAAGCGAACTTGCTAGTGGTTCAAAGCCTAGATATATAGATAATATGCGTATATATCTTCGCTCTGGATAGCCAGTCCTCCACTACACCTGGTCCCACATTCGTTTAAAAAAGCGTTACCCTGTACTAAAATGGCGGCTGTATTGACGCATAAACAACAACAGCGTTTGCGACATCTACTGGAAAATCCATGGTTCAAAGCTATCCCAGTTTTTAATCGATTCTTTAGAACAGTTCGTAAAAGTGAGTCGGTTTTAAAGAATGATTCAGATCATAACGTAAACATTGCAAATGTCTATACATGTTACTATTAGGGCCACGTATAAACAGAAAACAGCTATTTGTTATGTTTTGTCAATGATCTTTATAGTAATTTTCTGTCACAGACAATTAAATTAGCTGCTTCCCCTGGTTAATCTATATCTATTCTATTTTAATAATAATAATAATATTTTATATATATATATATATATATATATATATATATATATATATATATATATCAAGAGAATACATTAACAGAATAGAGATAAATTAATTTATATGTCTCCATTCTGTTCGCGTCTTTTCTTGATTGAACACTAAAGATGTAGTATATTGATTATTAGACTATTTAGGAATTAAATAGGAATATACTTTTGTTCTCTTGTTGCTTTGATCTTTCTTATTTGCAAGTCAATTTAGATAAAATGATCTGCCGAAAAATGTTTTAGGTTGAATAAACTACAACCAGAATTTACCAACACACGTTTATCTCCTAAATCTAACTTTTATTCTACTGTTATATCAATTTTGTTTAATATATTTATTAATGAAATCATAAACGTTTCTTCCGTTTACTACTCCCATCAGGATTAGCGCAGAAACTCTATAGAAAACACTGGGGTAAAATAAAATGAAATACATTCTTCCATACACAATATATATATATATATATATATATATATATATATATATATATATATATATATATATATATGTGTGTGTGTGTGTGTAAATCTCCAATTTTCACACAATTTGTAATCACTTAAAGGTTCATTTAATTGACTCAGTTTTAATATAGAAATAGAATTATGCAAAAGTATTGTATCGAGATATGCACAATGCTTGATTAGTTTTACAATACTAAAATATCTGTATGAACACTTTTGCCAGCACACATGTGTGTTTAGTGGAACGCAAACGGCAAAAGGTACAGATATCAATAATGAAAATGTATTTATCAGAAAATGCTTACTAAATGTTTATTAAAAATGCCTTGAATGTTTAGTTTACAATACCTATAGTTTTGATTTACCAGTTGTTTTGTATAATAGAACTTTATAATTAATACTTATGAGTTTCTTTCAACATATGCTATTAAATGATGGTTCATGTTTCAACATGGAAATTATTCATAAAATCACTTTGCCTTTCCAGTAATATTTATTTTCATAGACATTGTAATAAAGGAGTTTTCCAACCTTTTTTATGAGAACAATTGTGTACCTTAATTTCAGTTGTACCATAAAAGGTACAGAACAGTATCATAAGAGGGCCTTTCTGTAGGTGTATTAGAAGGTGTTGGGTTAACTGATAAAATAATATTAACAATTAACAATAAAATTAAGGAAATTCATTTTAAAATACTACATTCAATTTACCCAGTAAAATCTTTATCATCAAAGTGCATTGAAATAAAGGACATCTTTCTGTAAAGCAGATAAAGAGAGACTGTGTCATTTGTTTTTGAATGCAAATGTACAGTAAGGATCTGGCCAAAATATATTTTAAAATAACAAAACTTAGTTATTATTTTACTTTAAAAGATATCATCTATTATTATAAAAACAAATCCAACAAAAGTCTGGAATATATTGTTAATCTCTTTGGTATTGGCAAAAATTCACATACAAACAGAAATTTGTAATATCCCACATTAACAATTGTTTGTATCCATAAACAGGGGAATAACAAACTATGATTGATACACGTCTCAGATATTTTGCTTCTCAACAATTTCACAGTAGAAATAAATTAATAATTCCTACAATCAAATTTTAAAGAAGTAAAAAATCTGATATGTATCAATCATTATAATAGTTTTTTAAATATTTATTCTTCAGTTATTTCCTAAAATCATTAGATGTAAAAATGCTGTACATCTTGCTTTGTGGATTTTCTTTGTATTTATTTATTTTTAACCATTATTATATTAGCTTTTTTTATGTTCACCTTTTATATTGTGTTGCTGTATGTATGTTCCTGATGGTTTGTGCAATAAAAACCTTCCTTCCGTTTACTAACTTGAGAAGAGAATTCAGTGAGATTCATTTAGGAATGATTCAGATCCATTTCGTGAATCGGTTCATCAGTTTCATTTGATTAATTCAACATGTTTATCAGTTTCAATCGCTTCACTGTCTTCACTGATTGTGTCCATTTCGAAAAAAATCATTAAAAAAATAAATAATAAAATACGTACGTAAACAAATATATAAATCCTCTTTTAAAAATATAAAACAAAACTATAACACTTTACAATCAACATATATTACATCAATACTTTTAAAATATTTTCCTTGTGCATTTCCTTTGTAGGGTCAACAAGTACAACTATCAAATGTCTCACATTTTCACAAACCGGTGTGAAGTTCATGTTTATATGTTGTCGTAATTTCTGTTAAACAACATATAGTCGATTTACAGCTGAATACAGAGCTTTGATACGCATAAAAATATAAATAAACAATATATAAATAACAATATAAACTTTTTACCTGAGGCAGTGTGGTTCCGTCGCCTCCAGACACCAGCAGCAGCAGTTCTTCATATCAGCTGATCGTCACGCTTCACTTCACTAATGCTCATTCAGCGAAATCATGACGCGCGGTGACGTAGTGATTTCTCAACAGTATCTAGGCTGCCGAAGAAAACATTATGCACAGATATAACAGAGTAATGTCGGATAGCTCGACTGTACGGGGCGCCACATGCGTGACAGACTGACAATAAGAGAACTTCGAGTCTCAGTTGATGCAAGTATTTTCTACGTTAAGCTCCTATCGTCATCATTTCAAGAAGTACAAAAGCCGTTATTGCCCAAGAAACAAAATACCTCCGTGAAGTTGGTGGGTATAATAATCCCTGCTATTAAGTAAGTTAATCTGGACCCAGTTTTTCAAAAGTAATCTAGAAGGATTATGAATCACAGATTGGATCAAACCTTGGAAATGTTTTATTTTATTTTTTTTTTTTTAAGTAACAGGATTATGAATTAAGATCAGACTATCTAATCCAATCTCTAATTTGATTTAGATAGGTTAAAACAAACAAAAAACAGGTTTATCCTTAGACCATCACAAGGGTGAATTCAGTTTTTTAACAAAATAAACCACATAATTTTAAAAAAGGTTTATTTTTTAAGTAAATGATCCTTAAACTTAATGGTTAGTGATGATATATAAACTCCTTCATACTCAAGAGTTCACACTTAGCTGATGATTGATTATAAAGCTTGTTTGGCATGCTGTCCTGGGAGAGAGCCCTGAGCTCATAAGATCCTCGAGCCCAGGGCTCCCTCCAGTTGCAAGGTGAGAGGGGAGTTTGAACTCAGGTAGATAGAGAACTCCCCTGCAGTAGATAATGAACAGATAGTGATTGCTCTTGAGAGATAACTAGCCCTATAACTAGCCTACTTACTAGGGGCATATATGGTGCTGATTTGGATTCGTCAATAACTTAAGTTACCGAGGAACCCGGTGGAAACCCACGTGAGCACGGTGAGAACGTGTAAACTCCACACAGAAACGTCAGCTGGCTTGGTAAGCACTAGAACCAGTGACATTCTTGCTGTGAGGCAACTGTGCTAACCACTGGGCAACCATGTCACCCATAGGAACGGAGGAGTAGGGGTGAAAAGGGGGATTCTTCAAAACGAAGACAGCTGTCATATGAAACTTAGGGTATTTATAGTGGCTTGGGAATCGTCTGATACATTAGTACATTTAAATTCAAATGCAGTACCTACTGAGTAGCAGGCGATTTCGGACAGAGCCCATATATATTTTATGTTTAGAAACTTTGAAAATATTTTGTAACAGTAAACATGTCAGGCTAAATAATCAAAATAAATTGCAGACTTCTGCTGTCTTCATTAGTTTAAAAAAAACACAGATTTCTTCATTTAAAATGGCATCTGTGAAGATCTTTTCTGCTGGAGATACTGCTGTATTTAAAAACAAATCTTACACATATCTTAGGAATAATATAGCAGAAGATTTTCTCAGTTTTACATCCTTGACTTTTCCAAACCGCGGTAAACTTTGAAAACGGTTATCGTCCCATGCCTAACTAGAACTAACTAAAAATGCCAAATGTCTGTCAATTACAGCGTCTCTGCTGCTTACCATTAAAACAAACAATGGCTGTTTGTGGCCAGTGGTATTTTGCCAACCTGTTGTTCTTTGGTAAGCCAGTAGGCTACACTTCTGGTTCCATTTAAGGCTCTGGTAAACAGGATTTGGCCATCCTGAAGATTAGTATTTGGATCACAGCGATCCAACACAATGTTCCTTTAAAAAAACTGTCATAAAATTAAGAGATCAGTTTATCCTGGGTAGCAAAACATGGGATTTCCAAATCTGGACCAATTTGAAGATTTGAAAAACTGGGACCAGGAAATGTGTAAATTTGACCCTGGACCACTAAACCAATCTCATGCATCTTTTTTTGTTAGGATAATACAATATTTAGCTGAGATACTATTTGAAAATCAGAATTTTGAGGGTTTGAATTTTAATTTAAGAATATTTCCTTTAAAGATGTTTAAATTAAGCTTTTAGCAATGCATAGAACTAAACAGGATTGAGTTTTGACGAATATACTGTAGGATATTTACACAAAATCTTTCTTGAACATGATCTTTATTCTTATATTTAATATACTTAATATTCCTTTGATTTTTGCCATAAAATATTACCATGTAATAGAATTGAATTATTTTCATCCTTATATAGCTATTGCCAAACATACCTGTGCAACATGTAAGACTGGTAATTGTGATTCAGGGTCATAAATAAATAAGGGAGCACCTACCAAGACATCACATTTGGAAAAGGAGAAAATGCATGCAGCTGGGAAATTTATACATAAATAAAAAAATAAAACATTCATATCCCAACTAAACCCAGATCTGATAATTTAAAAAAATACCCTCGCTATTTAACAGTTCAGACTTCTGACTTACTTCTATTAACATGTATCTTTATAATGTCCCATATTTTACACATTCAATTATTCAATACTTCAAGGTTAACCAAAACATTGCATTAATTAAAAGTATTCCACTTTTCTAAATGTAACACTGGCACTGTTTTGGTTTGTGTGTGATTGGATTACAATAAACACCCTCATCGGTCCTAAAACGCATACTTATGCACTATTCTATGCCATTTTGTAGTATAAATAGTGCAAGTAGTGCATTCACACTGAATAAGTGCACGTTAAAAACCCGGATGATGCACTTATTCAACCGTTATAAAGAAGTGTGGGATGTTGGACACTTCATACACTCAACCGCCGCTGTTTTGCTCATGTAGTGGAAGGAGTGGAGCTTTCATGCACTGAAGTTGGATTGTTTATTTTGTATGGTAAAAGCTAAATTTTTCTACGAGAGTGATTATAGCGCCTCCGGATGGTGAATGCGGTTACACTCATAGCAGGTAGTTTGGTCATTTATTTTCCTAAATTGATAACAGTCAAACGCCATCCGGGAAATGGTTTAAAGTTTCGCTTAGTAAACAAAAAATGCTAAGCTGCGTCCGAAATCAAATACTTCAATACTATATAGTACACTACAAACAGTTTGCAAGCCGGGTAGTATGTCCCAATTCATAGAATTGGAAAAACAGTATGTGAGAGGTACCTGGATGGCCTACTACTTCTGGTAAGATTCTGAAGTGCGCATTGGATACACGCTACACTATCCCATGATGCAGAGAATTCATGAATGGGAGTAAAGCGACGCAACTGAGGCGGGTAGGTCACATGATGATGACAAAATGGCTGATGTAGTACGTCCGAGTTCCACTGCTCACATTAACACCATATAGAACAGGGGTCACCAAACTTGTTCCTGGAGGCCCGGTGTCCAACAGATTTTAGCTCCAACCCTAATCAAACAAACCTGAGCAAGCTAATCAAAGTCAAAACATCCAGGCAAGTGTGTTGAAGCAAGTTGGAGCTAAACCCTGCAGGGACACCGGCCCTTCAGGACCGAGATTGGTGGAACGTACTTTTCTTACGGCCGAGTAGTACATTTAAATTCAAATGCAGAACATATTGAGTAGTGAGGGATTTCAGTCAGTCTTAGTGTTCCATTTGGAACGACACTACATTCATATACTATGCTGTTGAGTGTGTAAGTGCATAAGTACAGTGTATAGTGTGCCATTTGGGGCGCAGCTACCGTTTCTGGCTTTTGTAAAAATGGCACAGACACTCATAAGCATGGTTTGACTGAAAGGGTCCGTGATTAAAACTTTCCACCATATCCAGAGCTCACCGTTTTATTGAAAATAAAGTTAAAACCTTCTCCTGTCGAAGGGATCTTTCAACTGCAGGAATAAGAAAATACACATGCAAAGGAATCAGGTGGACCATATATGATAAACTTTATCATACAACCAAGGGGAGAGAAGAGTTTATCATTTATAAAGTATCATTGACAATAGATTTACAAATATAATAATAATAATAATAATAGCTCGGTTTAAGAAAAACCAAAGAAAAGAAAAGCTTGATATTTACTAAATCAGACCAAAACGAGACTGTTTAAATCTGTACAAGCATCTTTATCCGCACCCAACTGTTCGTCCAGTGTCCACAATGCAGGGTTGAAAAGTCTCAAGCAATATGTACAACCAATCGACAGCGTTTCTGAGCAGAACATCAAGCAAACGAATCATCAGTTCCAGCATTATCCTACTCCAGAATAAGACTGAGCTTGAGAGGAAGACGGTTTATTTCTTTCAGACGTTTCCTCATGATCTTCTTCCTCACTTGATGTGCAGCAGCATCTCTGTGTCCACTTTTAAGCGTTTGCGTTTGGGTTGTATGATGTCATCATCGGAGTCGTCCGAATCCTCCTTTTCGGCCTCGATTTGAGTTTCCTTCTCCATCACCACCGGGAACGTCTGCTCTGGAAAAATCTCCAGCAATCGCTCCTCAAAGTACAGACTCACGGCTTTTCCAGCTTCTGCCACTTCCGAATCGGCCTAGAAGAGGGAGGGAGAGGGTAAAGAGTGTGGAAATGCCAGGAGGTGAAATGCAGGCCCAGAATGGATGAAGAACGGATGAAGAGGAGAAGGAAGAGGAGGAGAGAATCACAGACAGGGTTAAAAACTCCTGCTTTGGATGCTTTCGAGTGCCAGCACTGCTGAACCCATCGGTGTGGTGCACGAAACATCTTACCTGGACATTACTCTGTTTCTCCTCATCATAAACCTGGATTATTCGAGACATCTAAAAAGGGCAACGACAGCACAGAAACAAAAGGAAAAAAAAAATACAAAAAGAAAAGGGGGAAGAAAGATTTTATACCATCTATACAGTGAGGTCGCATCCTCATCTGTACGTAAAAATGTCCAAGGAGCACAATTTGGGGCTTTGCGCATAATTAAATGCCTTCCGGTTTTTAAGACACGACACTACCTGACAAAAGTCTTGTCGTCGATCCCAGTTGTAAGAGCAACAAATAAATTCTAGTTGATCATTTGGAAAAGTGGCAGAAGATAAATTTTCTGATTAATTATCTGTTGAACTGCATCTCAATCACCACAAATACTGCAAAGACCTACTGGAACCTGCATGGACCCAAGATTCTCACACAAATCAGTCAAGTCTGGTGATGGAAAAATCATGGTTGGGGTTACATTCAGTATGGGGGCGTGCGAGAGATCTGCAGAGTGGATGGCAACATCAACAGCCTGAGGTATCAAGACATTTGTGCTGCCCATTACATTACAAACCACAGGAGAGGGCAAATTCTTCAGCAGGATAGCGCTCCTTATACTTCAGCCTTTTACTGAAAGTAAAGAAGGTCAAGGTGCTCCAGGATTGGCCAGCCTAGTCACCAGACATGAACATTATTGAGCATGTCTGGGGTAAGATGAAGGAGGAGGCATTGAAGATGAATCTGAAGAGTCTTGATGAACTCTGGGAGTCCTGCAATAACGCTTTCTTTGCCATTCCAGATGACTTTGTTAATAAATTAATTGAGTCACTGCAGAGATGTATGGGCGCAGTCCTTCATGCTCATGGGAGTCATACACAATATTCATTCTTTTTTCACTGCAGCATGACTTTATATTCTATACTGGACGTTATTTCTGTTAAAGACTTTTGTCTGAGCAAAGCCAGACCTTACTGTCCTAATTAAATAATTAAAAATCAAGGCATGATCATATTTTATTTTGGTAAAATAAGTGTAATCTAAAAGAGTTTTGCCGTTCATATAAGCCACATCTGATACTAAATGATCAGCTAGAAGTCAAGTTATTATTTAGTTGTTTTTAAACTTGGATAAGCAACAAGACTTTGCCAGGTAGTGTAGAAGGGGATTTTCCCATCTCAAAAATAAATAAAATAAAAAAATCCTTACAGTTACGCTGACAGATGCAAACTAAATGGTAAACTGGGTGGGAAGATTACAGAAAAATCTAAAATTGTTATTAAAGTGCTTCTTTGACATGATTGCCACTGTCATTAAGTGAAGACAGAAAAAAATTGTCCACATTCAGCGGTTTTCCTTTTAGACAGAAATAAACATTTTAGTAACCTCATTCAAATATCACACTGACACTGTAATGTGCTACAGCTTTTAATCCTGTCTTCAAGCATTGACTTTAGTTTTTTCTATTGCAACAAACACCCTATTTGTGTATTTCAAATATTCCGTGCTAGTTCACATATTCAAACCTAATAATGGATTCAGGGGTTTTATCTTTGACGGACAATAAAATAAATAAAAAACTTTATGTTCTGCATTTAAATTTGTAGCTGTTCGCAAACTTAAACAAGCAACAACATTGTAAAGCTCACAACGCTCAACAAAATGGTAAAAATACAGTTTTAAACAAGACCTCTAAAAGACGTTAAATCATTGTTGCATATTGAAAGTGTCAGAATAATAATTTGATATTTTCCGGAATGCAGGTATTTCATATTTTGTGAAATATGTTGTAATTAACATTATATTGTTATTTTCATAATGCATTTCACATCAGGAAAACAAAACCAATCCAGACGCTCAAACATTGGGATTGGTGCTGAATGACCAAAGACATACGAGAGCATTTTATATTTAAAAAAGGCATTTTGTAGGGGGGTTTTGCACCGGGTAACTAATGTGAGTGCAAACCACAACCGAGCAAGAAACTGAAGATGTGACGTCACCTTTTTTTAAAAGGACTGTTTCATATGGATTTATTAATCATTCTTACTTTTCAATGAACGCAAACTGTCATAGTTTATTAAAAATACAAGGTTTGACTTCATTCTCACTCAGGGAAAAAAAGTAGTACGGCCAGTGGTAGGTACGCAGAAGAAGTGCAAAAGTAAAGAGAGGAAGTGACGTCGCTTGCACTTCTCACATTTAGAAAAAAAAAATGTGAACGGCTCAATAAAAACCACCTATAGGTGACAAACTTTTTCCTCTCCATATGCACCAGACACCTCCTGTTAAGCACGTCATACTTCTTGAAAAACATTGTGCAATTTTGGGCTTGACAAACCACCTGCAGGACACACTCTGTCCTCTCTATATGCTCGGAGGAAAAAAAAAATCTAATTGTCATAGCATTTGAAGTGCTTTTTTTATCCTCGCTTGTAAGCGCCTTTGGATAAAGCATCTGCTAAATGAGTATATGTAAACAACAATGGAGGACATACAGAAGATGCTTTTCTTACTTTGTGGCATGTGGCTGTTTGTCTCAAAAAGACAAGCTTTGAGTATGGTTCATTGCAGCGCACAACCATTTTATTATTATGGTGTTGTGTTTAGCTGTGCATTTAAAAATGATGTCACTTCCTGTGTTGTCTTTCCCCTGACTGATAGCTAGGACCAGACAGAATCTGTTTTGGCTATTTTGCACAGAATTTAGTAAAAAAAAATCAGCAGATTAATGTGGAATTATTTTTGGGAGGATCATAACTAAAAACTTTTTTACCTTTGTAACTTTCATTAAATGTTTACAGAGCAATTCCAATTAGATCCACTTAAATGGTAAACAAAGCAAGTAACTTATATAATATATTTACTAAAAGACAGAAAAAATTGAATACGGTATGATTCACTATTTTGGTACTTCTGAAAGTAGTAATGGAATTAAATTGCATACTGTACTGAACCATACCACTGTGTGGAAACCAGCCATTACATCACTACCAGTTCCCATTGTGCTGGGTTTAAAGCCGGCTCAAAATGAGGAACTAGTTTTGTTTTCAAATGCTGTTTCTAGAGCTAAAATCATTCAAGTTCCAGCAATGAAAATCCACAATAAAGCAAGAATATCTGTCTATTGTTTGTTTGTGAAAAACGTTTCTCCAGTGCAAAAGCCTTTTTAAGACAATTTTCAGTTTCACAAATTTTCTTAAATCCTATTTTCGGTTCTGAATAATGTTACATTTAAATATGTTGTGGTGTGAAGAGAACTAAAATCCATGCTATGCTTTTTATTTCTTTTATTTAGGATTGTTATTCAGGTTTTATTTTTACGTACTTTCCGGAAAATACAGCAGTTTTGTTTTAGGCACTAAACAGACACATACATACTTTAAAGACCCCATGATATTAAAATGACATGACAGCTTTGTGGCTTTTAGTCCATTATATACACTTGTCATCAATATTACGGTAATGTAGTGTTGGCACTGTACTGGAATTTGGTACCAATCAGTACTGAAATTTTAAAAGTGTCCATTTTCTGCTAACATTTGAGCACTTTGATTGGCCATTGTGTTCATGAGCTCAACAGAAATGACTGTGATTGGCCATGAAGGTCATCAGTTCAACAAACTCACCGCTGTTTACTGAGTGTAACCTCGAATACAGGGACACTGGAGCATTTCAAAGCAGCGAAGATCAGTCGATTTATCATCGGATCGCTCATATGTCTGCTCATAGACAGACCAGCTGATCTGCGATGCTTTAAAACGCTCCAGTGGCGTGTATCTGCGGTTACACTTAGTAAACAGCGTTGAGTTCGGTAAACTGATGACCTTCATGGCCAATCACAGTCATTTCTGTTGAGCATGTGAGCACAATGGCAAATCAGAACATGCTCAACCGCACTCAAATGTTAGCAAATGGATGTTTGAAAATTTCAGGTACCGATTGGTACCAAATTCCAGTATCGTGACAACAGTATGGTAATACTCTCAATAATAGACTTTCTGCTTTTTAGAAAGAGACTGTTCTATATTGTAACTATTGTAAAACAGGCAAACAAAAAGCTTTGGCCATTAAAAAAGTAAAGACCCACCCAAAGTTCTAGCACTAGTTTTAAACACAAAATTGCACTCATTTAGTTTGCTTCATGGGGTCTTGAATGAATGTCAGAAACTGGGAACGACTACAAAACTGACATTCATATCATGCATTTGACTGTCACTTCTGATTTTTTATTATTTAAATAAAAATACCAAACAGTAATCAAATGTCTCAAACATTAAAAAAACTGCAACATTAAAAATAAACATCACAAAGTGTGTTAGTCCTTCGACAAAAACTTGCTCAACATCCTTGCTCAACATCAAAGCTCAGCTTGACTAAAACCACAGTTAGTATTAGTGATCAAGAGACAGTGAACACATGCAATCCATCACATGTTCATGCTGTGTTGCTTTAGTGTACTTCAGACTCATTTCACGCATGCAACATCCCATCACACCCCTCAGGTTAAAGACATGCCCCGAACTCACCTCATTATATTTGGCACAATTGCTAAAGACAAGGCGCACGTCCGACACAAACTCTTTAGGGCTCTTGTAATGCAGAGGATGCTTTCTCTGTAGTTTCCGCTTCACCAGGGTCAAATCCATCGGATGCTTTATTATTTTATAGTAATTAGGAACCTGGAGGAAAATCAAGACTTTAGCATAAGAAAAGTAAAAAAATCTATAAAACTACATTCAAAACTAATTAGATATAAAAAATAATAATCAATTACAAAAGTCTACAATACCTACTCAACGCTAAAATAGTACTGAGCTAAAAACAGCACTAAAACCATCACTAAAAATTATAATGATTTATAAAAAGTAACTAATATAGTTACACCTAAACACCAAGTTTAGGTATTCAAGTCATCAAAACTCAAACTTAAAGGTAACTAAACTGAAAATAACGCACACAACATTTTTTAGCACTCGCACAAATGCTCCCAAATATATTTTAAGGTCACATAGGTAAAATTTAGGTAAAATTTCGGGCACATTTGCGACCAAAATGGTCGCAATTTCGAGCCCTGCAGTTGGTTTATTATTTATTTATCTGAGTCTTGATTTATCTTTGCATACTTATTGAAGGCCTCAGAAAACCAGGAGGGGTGGGAGATGGGAGGGATGGTGAATAGAAGGGGGTAGAAAAGTGTTAAGTTTGATTTAAGAGTTCTACAGGTTTCTTGTTTTTATACATTTGATGCCATCTCTTTGCTGATAGGATTTCTATTTGGAAAAAAGCAATAAAAATATCGAAAATAAAATCTCTCCAGATAAAAATCATTGTCTGATAACATTAAAAATAGGGCAACATTCAAACAAGTGTACATTCCAATACAGGGTTCCTGCAGATAACATAATGTCAAATTTAAGACTTTTTAAGACCCTTTTAAGACCATTAAGTATTCAGTTTAAGACCTATAGAGAGAAAATGAAATATCACAAAATAAGTGGTAAAATAAATGTATTTAAGTTGAACAGTACTAAAGACAGGTTAGATAAGGGGTGGGCAAACTCTGTCCTGGACGGCCGGTGTCCTGCACAGTTTAGCTCCAACTCTAATCAAACACACCTGCGTATAGATTTCTAGTGATACTGAAGACACTGATAAGCATGTTCAGGTGTGTTTGATAAGTGTTGGAGCTAAACTGTGCAGGACACCGGCCCTCCAGGACTGAGTTTGCCCATCCCTGGGTTAGATGCACCATTGAACTACAGAAAAAAACAAACATCTTAATACTGATTTATACTTTCGCCTGGCGCAGCATTGCACACCTCATGAAACAAATGAGGCTTTTATAATTGACGCGTTCACCATTAAGATACTCTTTTAAATGACATGGGGCAGTCAACAGAAACAGAGAAATCATTAATAAAGAGAATCATTAATATCATTGAAGATGTTTTTGGGGGGCTCTTTTTTGTTTTAACAAACTAAACCCCTTAGGTTTTTCCAAACTTTTATAAAAACTGTCCTCCTCTCCCACTGCTGTTGCAATTACTAGCCAAGAATTATTGGTTATCTGGTTCTCCCTGATCACGCATGGACGGATCATAAAGATGTTGGTACAGACGTGCGTGTTTCAGACTAAATCTCTTCAAAGCGTTTCATTTTCAATTCAAATCAAATGCGGCGCCGCACAATCTCAAAAAATTCCATTAGCTTGCGAGCAGTTTTGTCCACAAACAGAGGAAACTGGGGCGTGTGCAAAGAGATTCGCTCTCTCGTATTACATGAATGCACTCCCGACTTATAAAACTGCGCTTACAACATTTGTCATTGAAATAACGCCATACTCTGCCAGCCGAAATCATGTTGCGCGCACTCAAATCGAACTTCCGCAAACACAGCGTTGATGTTACATTCGCCGTGCATACTGAGTTTAATATTAGAAAGCTGATTGGCTATTGCAAGTTGACCATTTTGTAGTTGTAATACTGCAAATTACAATTGGACTAGGAAAATAAAGAACTACAACACCACGAAAACCTAGCAACAGCAACAAAAAAGAATTTAAACGAGCATTAGATGAAGCGTTACATGGACATTGCAAAAACAAGACCTGTGCAAAAATATTTAAGACCTAAAACAGCGAATTTAAGACTTTTTAAGGCCTTACATTTCGATTTTTAAATTTCAGACTTTTTTAAGACCCCGCAATATTAATAAATAAATACAAATATTTGAATCTAGTTTGATAGAAATAACATTAAATTAGTGATCTAAGAAGAGGAAGGGTGATCAAAAAACTGAATATCAATAATTCAATCCATTTAACTCTAATTAAGTCTTATTAATAATTAAGTCTAATTAAAATGTATGAGAGCTCAGCCTTTTATTTAGGTTTCTAGAATCTCCCTCCCTAGAATCTTCTCCTCTACTGAGAAGCTGTCTTTTATAAATAAGGAACGACTGAAACCTGTTCATCAACATAACATTAAAGTGAATGCATTTAGGAGTAGCTTTTCAAGAGCAAAGTGAGGCGGGTATATAAGACACAAATGATTACTCATCAGTCTGCAGCACTACTACACTCAATAATGTAATTACACTAGGACTGTATTGCAACCATGACATTTAACAGCATGAAATGGCCCAGAGGCTCAATACATGTTTGAAAACAGACGACTGAAGTGCACGCAAGTGATGCTGCTGTTTTTTAAGCTTTATTGCAATGATGTTAATGACACTACTAGCAGAGAGGCAGCAATTAAGAATCCCAGCTCGTACTGAGCAATGGTGCAATTACGCATCTGAGTATTGCGCTTAAAGAACACTTGATAAGAAACAACTGATGTTTATGGGAAATGAGGATCTTGTGGGCTGGATGGAAACTCACCGAGGTAGGAACGGGCTCTTGAAACTCTGTGCTGAGCTCATGACAGAAAACATGCAGCAGCAGACGCTCACATCGCTGCAAAACAGAGAGAGAGGGAGAAAATAAAATAGATCAATCATCTGCCAACACTGAAAATATACTGTTATGTGATTGCTGGAACTTTCAATTTAACAATACTGCATTTTATTATTTATTTTTTCAATAATGCATTATATTTTATTATTATTTTAATATATATTATTATTATTTTGTCTATTTATTTTTAATAATTTTATTTAGTTTTGTCATTTTATTTTTATTTTGTCAATTTATTTTTTATTTTATTTTGTAATTTTGTTTATTTGTGTTATTTTATTGTTTTGTTTATTTTTACTATTTTATTTTTTCATGTTATTGTGTTATTATATTTAATTTTTTTTATGTTTTTTATTATTCAATTTTGTTGTTTTGTTTAACTTTTATTATGATTTATTTTATATTATTTTTTATTTTGTTTGTTTTTATTATTTCATTTTGTTTATTCTGTCATTTTATTTAGTTATCATTTTAACTTATTTTGTTTATTTTGTTATTATATTTTGTTATCATTTTAACTTATTTACTTTATTTTGTTATTATTTTTTATTATATTTTATTTGTATTATAGTTAATTTTTAGCATTTTATTTAGTAATTTTGTTTATTTGTATTATTTTACTGCTATTTTATTTACTTTTATTGTTTTATTTGGTTTATTTTTTATTGTATTTTGTTATTATATGTTGTTATATTTTATTTTTATAATGGTTTATTTGTATTATTTTATTGTTATTTTGTTTACTTTAGTATTTGTTTTGTTTAACTTAATTTGTTTAAGTTTGTTTAACTTTTGTTTACTTTGTTTATATTGTTAACTTTTGTTTATTTAAGAATTAGAGATGCAGCTATATGGAAATTATAGCCAATACAGATTTCTCTGAATCTGATTACAAAATCAAAATGTCAAACAAATACAGTACTGATCTTATTTTGAAACCTTAAAGGGACAGTTCACCCAAAAATGAAAATTCTGCCATTTACTCAACATCCAATTATTTTTTCTGTTGAACAAAAAGGAAGATACATAAAAAAATGTTGAAATTGCTTTTCATCCATTGACTTCTATTGTATGTTTTTGTTCCTACCATGGATGTCAATGACCATTTCCCCCCAAAATTCTTCAGAATATCTTGTTTTGTGTTCAACAGAAAAAATAAATCCATTATTGACCACTTGAGTGCGAGTAAACGATGGGAACCTTTTCATTTTTGGGGCGAATTATCCCTTGGATGAAAGCAAACTACAAGCAATCTTCAAGATCTTTCATTCTGCTACATGTTTCGATTCTCATGTCCTCATCTTGTACAGTGGAAAACCCATTGTTAGTAAAATAATCGTTGGTGTGAACAGGCTTATCTACAGACTGTGGTTCGAGTAAAAAGTGTTCACCTTTGTTCACTCATTCTCTGTGTATTATGGTGTTTGTTTGTCAGCGTGACTCACCCTTTGTTCTTCTGGACTCATTGCCATCTCATTTTTTTCTTTGTTTCTGGGTGGATCGTCATCACAGTTGTACTCGATCTCTGGATTTGCGAGATTTCTGCAGAACGTGCACATCCAATCCCCACTGCAATTAACCAACAAACAGAAATTAAAATTCAGAATTCCATATCTTAATATTTGGTCTTAAAAATAATTGAATTGAATTAAACAGGAACATTTTGTACCCCTAATGACATTAAGCATTAAGCAGAATCTTACGCCACTGAACCTCTATGATTAAATTATTTAAATGACCTTGGTCAAGACTGAATAAACAAATTAGCCCCAGGTAAATTCAGTGCTTTCTTCCTTGGTTGTAGCGCTTCTATTGCATGTAGAGTAATTTTATTCTTCTTACTCTTTTTGTTTTCCTGAGTTGAGTAAAAATTATGTTTTTCCAAGCTCCATACCATATTATTAATACACCACAGGTTAAAGCTAGGTAGCTACGTTTCCATCAGCCTATTTTTGTGCGCATATCTAAAATGGTTTGGTCAGGGATGCAAGGAGCTTTCCTAACTAAATGAATAAAATAAGCTGTTGTCCACAAAGGCAACCCAGGGAGCTGAAACATAATTGGCTAAACTGGCATTGGGCAGGTTTAAGACATCAAAACCAAAAAGACAGACATTCCAGCTCGTAAAGCACATTTTCAAAGCAGAATATCTGACTTCTTGTTTGTCTGAAAAACAATGCGGATGTTCATATGGCACGTTTCTTAAATATCTGCAAACATATCATGGTATTTTTATGCTTTAAAAGAGTCAAAAGCGTTCATACAGCACCTTTAAGTGTCTGCTTAAAACATTCAGATACAATAATATTGACTGTGCTGCACCATATGTATGAATAAAGCCGCATCCTTTACCTGGGAGAGGATTTGAGTGTTGGGATATGACAGGTTATGTGGAAGACTTTGGGACAGTGATCGCAGCACAGCAGTTCTCCTCCGTTCTGACAAACAGCACACCAGTCTTCATTCGGGTCGTCTTCCTTTCCCGCAGTGGTCTGACTGTTAGCATTAGTAGTGCCGCCTCGCTGGCCTCCATTCGACCCGCTGGTCCCATTGGTTAGAGTTGCTCTGGAGTTCGGGTTCGTGCAGGAGGAAAGGTTATCGCTCTGTGGTTCAGATTTAACGTTTTCACCAAGTGTCCTTAAAATGTCCTGGACTGAGCCGGTGGACACGGAGCCAAGGATGGGGAGAGGGGGAGTTAAACTTCCTTCTGGACTGCTCATCTGTGTGAGGAGGAAGAACAACAAAGGAAAGACATTGTGAAGAGAGAACAGGTCTAACCTCTAGGGAGCCTGAGGGCCAAAATAAAAAATGTAAAGGATTTTTTTTTTTTTCTACGGGAAGCAATTTGAAAACACATTTGTACACATTTCTAGTAAATATAGGGGAAAACATCCTAGATTTTTAATCAGTTTCCATTTCTTTTAATTGTTCTAAAGGAGTCCTCCTGATAATATGTCCTCATATTGATGATGAATGTGTCGCAGTACGAGTCTGTGAAGTAGGGGTTGCACAGACAGGTCAACTGGTCGACTTTCATGCTCTGCTAATGCACAAGAAGGTGGTTCACTAACTGAAAGTGCCCTCAAATTATTTAAGTTCCTTTTTAATGTTATTTTTCTTATTGGAGCATGAAAGATTCACGTGAGCTTTGAGTAAACTTCAAACAGATGCTAGTTATGTCGCTCCATGCAAATACTCGAGCAAATCCTAGCCAATCATGTTTAAGTAACGTGAAAAAGTAATGTGATTGGCTGTTGTCCTCTGGGAAGTGCAGATGCTGACATGTTTTGTGGATGAACCGTGAAGCGCACAGAAACTGTGAAGTCCGCAGCCACCAGAAGTGTGACAAACTTCATAAAATGTGTAACTATCATCCCAGGTGAACGCAATGAAAATGTGCAGAAGAGACGTCTGATAACCAAGATGAGCCAGTAACCCTGAAAATTGCACGACTTGAGCAGGATTTTGAGCAGCTTTCTAGCGCGCACCATCATAGCAGTAAAATATGCATCTGTGCAAGTCTCTCACAGTGTAATTAAGCATATAGCCTATGTCTTTATGTATGTTATGAAATAACTTCACATGAAGTGTGCTGACGATGTTTGCATTACTTCTGCAATAAAATCTGTTATTTTTACTAGAACCTGCAGCAATCAATGTGTTGACTGCTTTTATTTAGCAGTAAAATTAGCCCGTGTTAATGTCGCATTATTTACTAAATGAAAGTGGTGACAGTGCATTTGTTTGCATTAAAATTAGTCATCGTTATTGTGGCATTGTTTTTGCAGTATGTCAAACAGCATGAGCTGTCAAACAGCATGTGTATATATTTCATGCAAATAAATCACAAATAATGGCATGTTGCAAAATATTTGCATGGTGTTTTTTAATGATGACGTCACCAACAACTAGTCAATGTCAACTCGAGAATCAACTTAAGTCCCTACATTTTATATAGCGCTTTCTGGAAACTCAAGCGCTTATTTAAGAGCTTAGAGCACTCAAATATCTAAGTAATAATTTATACATGAGCACTTAAATAAATAAAAGTACTGTTAATTTTTAGGATATCTACTACCAAGTGTGCCCAAAACAGTGACAAAATTCACATTTAGAAAATATAAAACTGATATAAACATGTAAAGCTTTTAGTTTGTCACTTTTGACTAAATGGCTCAATGTTTTTTTTCACGTCACCTCATACTTCAGTTTCTCATCAAATCTTGATCAAATGCCAAATAGACGCGCGATGAGTGCACGCGAGCTCTCTGAAGAGAGTGAAACCGTTTGCACATTTAGACGGTCCCGTGAAACAAAAACATGACATGGCAGATTTTGTTCTTCTTGGCTTTGTGGCTGCTCGTCAAGATGACGACAAGGTTTGTTTGAGCTTGGGTCTACCATGGCTTGTTTTTATATGTATATATTCTTGTTGCACGCATTAGTGACGTATTTCTGTAAATCAATAGTGTCTAGTTGCGCATCTAGCTCTGCCTTTTGAAACCCTTTTGTTTTGATAGGTACTCTTTGCAAAGGGTACCCAAAAAGTGGTACGGTACCATTCGCTTTTAGGCACCTTTTTACTGGAAACGGCCATAAAAGCATACTGAACAGAACTGTACTGTACCACTCAGTGGAAACGGGTCATAATATGGTTTAGGTCTTCAAAGAAATTCACAAATCTTTTCAGTTTGTAAGAAGTTAAAGGAAAACTAGAAATATGTGGGACTACGTTCTACGAAAACTGTAAGCTAAAGGTGATTACCATACAAGCGCTCCGTCTGCCATCTTTAGTTCGTTCAGTTTTGACGTTTGCTCCAGTATAGCTACATTCTTCCTCAACTCCTGGCTCCTGTTTGACCTTCACCTGGTCCACTGTGGTTCCAGAACTAAACACACACACACAAACATAAATAACACATTATCACTTTGTATGCAATGTCTGAACATTTGGAGACCATTTGGATGCATTCATATATACAGTGCTCAGCATAACTGAGTACACCCCATTTTGAAAATAAATATTTATCCATTTGTCAGTGAATATAGGCAATGTATTTTGGTGCATTTAAAGAAAACAGATTTATTAATTAATATTTTAATATTTTATTATTTATTAATATTTAAGTCACCAAATATATTTAGAAATGGAAAGATATTACATTTAAATTCATGCAAAATATTGAACAAAAAACTACAACATTAACAAAATTGTATATATTTTTGTTTCTCTTGATTTTTGCTATTTTAGAAAATGTTATTTAATATTTTTCTACAACATATACATTTGTCCTACTAATTTTTTTTAACCATTATAGTAAGTTTTTTTTTTTTTTTAAATAAGCTCCAGAATGGGCTTCAGTACTGACTAAACTCATGTATATGCACAAATATAATATTGTAAAGCTTCCTATAGAAAATATTTATTTAAATAAGAGATTTTTGTTTGTGTACTCATATGTGCTGAATATATTATAAAACAAATACAAATTTTTTTTTTTTAATTTATGTACTTCATTTATTCATTCATTTTTTTTTCGGCTTAGTCCCTTTATTAATCTGGGGTCGTCACAGCGGAATGAACCGCCAACTTATCCAGCATATGTTTTACGCAATTGCTTGATTTTTTAAATTCAAAATACAGTCTCTGCTAAAATTCATCCCAGTATATGAAGATTTTTTTTTTAAAAAGTAAAGGATCATGAACTTATGAGTAACACAATTCAAAAAGTTTAAACTAGTATGTCTAGTTTAGGGTTTGCTTTCACACGGCAAAGTTTCTAAACGGACCAAAACAGCTAAAACAAGTCATATTGGTCAGAGCTTCATGGTTTATTTTGCAGAGTCCCGCTCAGCTGTCATGCGTCCTTATTTTAATTTAAGACGATGAGCAATAGGACAATATAAGCAAACATCTGCGATTTAATTTTGAATGATGACACCCACATCAGAGGTAAGACTTTCATATACATAGCAGTTGGCTTATACATTAGAGATAAACAACAGATAAACCAAGACTGCTGTTCGGTCAATTTTCCTAACAGATAAACAGCTCTCATTAATAGATCAGCATGCTTTCACTTTCGTATTAGGCATGAAATGCACGTTTACCGGTAGGAATGACATCCCGCTCTACTTCTAATTCTCTCTTCAAGTAGCCATATATGCCTATTACATGTCCATAATCCACTGTGATATAGCCTGGTTCAATCATACTTCTTTCTCACTACAATCAATCAGCTCCCAAGTTTGTTTCAATCAAGCCGAGACCACCTCATTCAGGCGATCTCAGTATCAGAGCCCGATTGCTGCATACACGTATGCCAAACAAACCACGCTAACTGGGGAAACAAAGCAGGTTCCGAAACAAAAGTCTAGCTGTGAAAACACCCTAAAACATTAAAAGACTGTAGTGAACACTGACCTGCCCCGACTGCCTGTACTTGACGTGCTGGATGGACGAGCTGGAGTGTGAGAATTAGATAAACCTGAAGAAAAAGCGACAGAGAGTCTGTTAAAAAACATCAAATCTACAGAAAATTCACAAGTGAGCAGGCATTGTTCTAGATTGGCTCAAAGCACAACTTAAATGATATAAAAAAGGTTTATTTAACTTTTAGTAATGCAATTCAATAAATGTAATAATTCTGTTAACTTCAAAAAGCCTAAAAAATGTAGTACAATTTTCTAAAACATCAAGATGGTTGGCTCAAAATACGCCAATGAATAATCCTGACATATATACTCAATTCTCAATGTCAATTAGGTCTCATAAGAAATCGCATTTAACAATCTTAAGGGACTTGTTGAGTCAAATATTTTGCTAATCTTAATGACCATTCAGTTTTGGATAGCAATTCAAAGCTCACAAAACACACAATTTTAGAAAGTGAATTTACATTTTGAAGTTTCTCATGTATTAATTATATTTCTATTTATTTAATTTCCACCTAAAATAGTTTTAGTTAACAATAACAACAGCAGTGCACAACAATTAAGATCATTTCAAATAATCATTGATCAAAACAAAGCAATAATAGTGAACTGCATGAATGTGCTAGCGAGCTTTGGAGGCAGTTTGGTAGCACACCATTTGGGACGGAGCACAAATTCACGAGGGCAGCAGAATGCAGTCTTAGCCTCAGGGTTTGTGCATATGGTTGGACAGCAGATTATGCCATAAGGAACCTGGAGCGCTGAGCAGGAATTAATGGCGCCAGCAGAGCTGACACAGCCTTAGCCCTTGGGTTTTGGTGCATATGGTTGGTTGAATGGGAGTTTTAGCCATATAGTACAAGAGGGCAGGGTAGTATGGTATATATAAGCATATCATACATACAAAAACACGCATCTGCATGAATATTTCATGACATTATGTAAATGCAAGCTAACCTATACAGACATTCAAATGCAAAACAATTCATGTCAATGATTTGCTGCAGAAATTTCCACATTTTGTTCTGAAGTACCTGACGATCCCGGAGAATGTGTGGAAGGTCCTGGCGATGGGTTTGTGGGTCCGACAGTAGGATATGCATTAGCAGAAATATACCGACTTAGGATATTATCCAGTGTGCTAGAGCCGGCATCTTCAAGCTGGAGATAAAATAAATAAATAAATTAATTAATAAATAAATAAAAAGTCTCTTCATTTTATTTCTTTTTTATTTAGTCATATTTTGTTTTCTCCTCCAACCTGAATGTATCTTTTCATAAATAAAGTCAGTTTGAGCTTTGTTTAATTTAGCTTTGGTAAAGGAAGCATCTGCTATATGAAGACCATTATTAACAGATCCAAGTACAGGGATTGTCTTTGTTCTGTTGCCTTAGGTGCCTTAAACGTAATTATGTTTAGGGGTTTATTGCATTTGGGCTTTAAAAGTTATTACATTTAATTGCTTTATTAGATTTAGACCCACAAGTTATTACATTTAGAATCTTTATTGCATTTCCACCCATTTATTAGATATGTACCCTCATGATCACACTTTCACAGATCTGAACTTGCAATCTATGACTAACCGGGCCAGGTATATAACTGCTAACTTAAAGCGATAGTTCACCTAAAAAGTGAACTTTACCTCATCATTTACTCATCCTTCACTTGTTCAAAATTTGAGTTTCTTTCTTCTGTTGAACACAAAAGAATATATTTTAAAGTTGTTACGAAACAACAAAGCACATTTTTTGAGATGCTGTCAGTCAAATATGTGTCCCATGTTGCTAATTATTACACTATTAGGACACATATATTTAGGTAAAAAGGGAAAATTGGTCATTTTTGCGTTGTTTAGAGCTAATTCATTCATCACAGCCATGAGATCATTGTGCAAATTCCAGCATGAAGACTGGCTATCTGTACCGGCCGATACAAAGTGACTTCATAGAGTTTTTAGCAACTTCATTAACATGCATGATCCAGCTTCGAAGACTGTTTTTCCCTGTTACAGAGTTTAGAGAGACGCCAAGTTGTGTTGCTAAACATAAATCAAACAAGTAGAAGAAGAGAAATTGTTTGGAGACGTGTCATCAGTGTTATGTTTATAAATGGGCCTCAATGAAGGTTTTGTTTCCATTTCCCCGTAATGGGGCAGAGCTCGCATGAGGACCCACATGTGTGGATTACAATGGTCTGCTAACATGCAACAAAAATATGTTTGTAAGGAACATTTTTTTACCCAAGTGCTTTTTGCATCTAGAAATGGTAAAATGCGGATTTTCTTTTAAAAAAGATGCAGTTCCAGTTGGTGTTGACTGTCCTGTCTTTACATATTTAGTAAGTGAGTGTGATCAATGTTCTTTGTTTATGTTTATTCAGATGGCAAAGTTAGTTAGAATCGTCAGCAGTACTTTCAGTTTTTAAAGACACACCTTAGTCAAAATGATTTAGTTACTAAGTTAACAGTGATATCACTACAATATTATGGACTGAAAATCCTCCACTTTCACACAGCTCTCAGATCAGCTGTAAATGCTGCTCTACGAATCACTGTCTATCGCCCCTGTTTCTGTATTAGCGTTGCCGGTGTGCAAATCAGCGTGTGCACATACACAAACTCCCCTTTTCATGCAAACCTTTTCCTCTTTCGCCACTCGACACTCACACCTAAACAAAGCTAGACTCACCCACTTTCCAGATATTTTTCAAACTAGAGGTGTGAAAGCACCCTGCTGAGACAGGGGGGTTTCATGGCCCTTTAAAGAAATCTAATTACTGCCAACTATTGGCTTTCATAATCTTTTTTTCTTACAATAGGAGTCAATTGGTGCCTGCTACCACCATTCTTCAAAATATCTTCTTTTGTGTTCAACAGAATGTGTTCAAATGAACTCAAACATGATTAAAACCACATAAGGAAGAGTAAATTATGCAGTTATTTTCATTTTTGGGTGAACTATGCCTTTTAATTGATAAAATGCAATAGTAAAGTCACATTGAGTCATTTAGCAGATGCTTTTGTCTTACAATTGAGAAGGCATTCCGCGATTCAACAAAAAAAGGCAATACACACAAGGAGGAACTGTGCAATGGTCCGACTCAGTTGGGGTGCAAACTTATAAATTTAGAAGTAAAAATAAAAAAATATATATGTCTATAAAGTCAGTGCTACATGGCATATAATAGTAGTATAATAACCCTAGTAACCCTTTTTAGAGCCAAAGACAAAATAAATCAAACAGAACTAAACCAGCTTAAATTGCATTTGAATATTGTTCAATTTGCCCTCCGTACAACATCAAAAATACAAATAATACTTTTTACGTATTTTACAACACAACAAAAACTATTCAAACCCCCCCCAAACATACAAATGACTATAATAAAGGTGTGCTCAGAGAATTAAGTGCTGAATTCAGAAGTGTTATTATAGAGCAAAGAGTGTTTCTACAGGTGGTTCATCAAGCCCAATCAACTTTGTGAAGCACACTTCAAATGCACAATGTATTGTTTACCTGAATAGGAGGGATGTCGGGTAGGCAGGGCAGGTTCTCAGGGTTGGTGACTGACGGTATGAGCTCTATAGGGGTGATAACAGGACTGGAGGGGCCGCGGTGCATATGGGCATTGGCCATACTGGCACTGGTGGGACTGGTGGGGTTGGCAGCACTAATGTTGTGTAGCGACGCCACAGGGAATGGACCCGCATGCCCAGGATTAGAGTGCTGAGGGGGAAAAAGAGGGACAGGTGTTGGAAAACGGCAAAACATTTTTCATACAGCTGGTACATTTGTGTTTTTGTGTTTTTGTGTGTGTGTGTGTGTGTGTGTGTGTGTGTGTGTGTGTGTGTGTGTGTGTGTGTGTGTGTGTGTGTGTGTTTCAAAGACAAAAAGGCATGTTTAGGAGCAAGAATCATTTGATGTCTTATTAAAACCTTCACGTTTATATTTATTCATTTAGCAGGCGCTTTTATGCAAAGCGATTTATAACTGGTAAAAAAAAGAAGTGCTCAAAATAGACAGAGATCATTAATATGCAGTTAGTTAGTTTAACATATTATTATAACCGTAATTAAAACAAGTAGAAGAAGAGGAATTGTTTGGAAACATGGGTCGTCAGTGTTGTGTTTAAAAATGAGCTGCAACAAAGATTTTGTTTTCAATTGTCCACTATGAGAGCGAAACATGTGGACCCATGTGTGTAGATTATAGTGGTCTGCTACACGCAACAAAAATATGTTTGTAATATGTTGTAATAGGTTTTGTTTTTTACCTGAGAGCTTTTTCGAATCTGGAAATGGTGAAATCTGGATTAATCACTCATCTTTTTTTAAATTCCACAGATTTGGTAAGTGTGCGATCAGTGTTCTTTGTTTATGTTTCTTCAGAGGCAAAGTTAGTATCGTCAGCAGTAATCTTTCAGTTTTTAAAGAGATACCTCAGTCAAAAGAATTTAGTTACAAAGTTTACAGTGATATCACTACAATATTACAGACTGAAAGTTTCACAGTAAATGCTGTTCTTCGTATGTAAATACCTTAATCAAACTATTATCGTCGTGTAGGATTTTCGCCGCATTTTGTGACTATAGTCTATACGCATGGCTTTCTGACGCTACCTACCTAGTGCATCTAATGCGGAGGGGGTTTTTTTCCCCCATCCGCAGTGCGGTATCAAACATTCCATTAAAACTACACTCTTCCAGCAGTTCCTCGCATCCAATATCTTGTTTGTCACGAGGGGCATGCATGAAATGTTCCTGAATGAAAGTGCCAAACTGCAGTGTAAGTCGACAAATTAACAATTTAGCTAATAATTTGATTACTTCGGTCCATGTAAACAGTCAATGCATCTCCCCTGCGTCTGTGGAACAGAAACTCCCCTTTTCGTGCAAACCCTTCCCACTTTCGCCACTTGACACTCCCACCTAACCAAAGCTGGACTTTCCTGACTTATTCTAGGGGTGTGAAAACACCCCACTGAAACAAGGGGGGTTCATGGCCTTTTAAGGTATTGTTGATGTGACAGTGAACTACTGAGGATACATATAACATGCCATTTTATTTCCCTGCTGTCTTCAGTGATTGATTTTGCTTTCAATTAATTCAGATTCTCAACCGCAAAGTAGAAAAGAGTAAAGCTCTGGTCACACTACGAGCGACTCGCAGCGGCAAAGCAACAAGCAACCGTTGATTTCAATGGAGAGTGAGCAACATCTGGTGACCCCGTCTATGTGAGCGACAACGACCGTTGGCAACAAGATGGGCGTGTCGAGTGACATGACAAAGTTGTGAATCCTTCAATTTTATGCAAATGAAGAGCAACTTTCTTGAGCGACAGCCAATAGGAGCACCAGTAGAGCTCACATGATCCTCTCTCAGCTACCACAGAGGCTGGTTATATTCTCTGTGCTGTATTTCTACACTGAACTGCGTTTGCAGCAAATAAATAGCCGCAATGACAGAGAACACACTTTTTTTCTTGATCGTCTGTGTAATTAAGCATTTTATGTGCTGATTCCATTTATATTTAGTTTACTGTTTAATGTTTTATTTAGTTTAATGTTTACTTTTAGCGGCATGTAAAATCATTCGCTCTCTGTGAATATCACCACAAATGGTACCCAAGCAACCTCAAGGTGGGAATGCCCACAATGATTTCAATCGCCACCCAGAGTCACAGGCAACTACAAAGTTGCTTCTAGTGTGAATGAGGCATGTTTGAGCATATGCTTTTTTTGTGGTTTAGAGACCTGCAAAAGTCTTGACTGACCTGTCTCTGAAGTTGAGGTTGCATCATGGGATATGGCTGGCCATTGAGTCGAGGTTGAGCAGAAGGCATGCGGTTCTGCGCTGACACCATGCGCAGGTGATGAGGCGGAAACATGTGGGAGGAACCATTAACTCCGCCCCTGTGGAGGGCCTGCATACTAATGAGTCTCGGAGGCTGAAAACACACAAAGAAAGAAATTGCATCCTTTAACTTTATTTTGTAGTGTTCTCTGAGGTGCACCTAAATCGTTATCATAATTTTTACATCAGAAAAATCATCTTATACAATTAATTAAAAGTTACTTTCTGTCCTGTTTTGAGGCCCTCATCTGAACACTATTCAAATACTGTATGTGTAGTAGATTACAGATCAAGTAAACAACCACTGCTGACAGTTTTCAGAAGAACAGCTGTGTGCACATTCACAACAATGTCAAATTCTGCATGTGTTTGGCAGCCTACATTCTTTATGACTTTGGTCAAAACATAAATACTCAGTACATATTAAACAATGTGTAATAACTAGCAAAGCAAAAATGATCACATAATAAAACTCAATCACAATTGCGACTTCACTGTCAGATGAAATCTTGCTACTTGCAAAGTATTCATAGCGCTTCACTTATTTTATCACAGGTAATAAGTAATTATTATGATCATCTGGCCATCACATTTCATATTTGTCTTCAATCACACAGCCCTGCTAATTATTCTAACTAAAATGCATTTTGATAAATATTAAGCTTATCTTTTAAGACTTGATTGTGCAACCAGCTTCACAAGCACACACAATTATCCTGGTCCAGAATAAATCAAACATGTAAAGTAGGAAAGAGCTAATTCCTAACTTACAGGTTGCTGAATCATTTGTGGAGCTCCTTGTCTGGGATGCTGGGACATCTGAGAGGCGATGCGCATCTGCTGCTGAATTTGTTGCTGGTGTTGCTGTTGTTGTTGTTGCTGCTGCTGTTGTTGTTGTTGTTGTTGTTGTTGCTGCTGCTGTTGTTGGTGTTGGTGTTGTTGTTGTTGGTGGTGTTGGTGTTGCTGCTGATGTTTCTGAGCAATCGCTGCCTGCTGCATGTGCTGCAGCCTCAGCTGGGCCAGGTTGATCTGTCCTGAGTGCTTACCTGGGTGGTTGTGACCGGGAGAGATCTGCTGATTGACCATCATGTTGGACGGAGGAGCAGTAGGAGCAACTTTTTCAATGACTAGATTGCCTGAATGATTAAAAAAAAAGAGAAGATCAAAAATATTGCCAGAACAAAAAGGAGAAAATGCATAAATTAAAAGAAATCAAATGTATTATGAAATAATGGACATTGTTTATTAGAATAAAAGGTTTTAAAAATGCTGTAGTATATTTCAGAAAACAAATTACAAACACAAACACTTAAAAAGAACATAAAATATTAAATAAAAGATTGCCAGAACAAAAATTAATTATAAAGCATGTAAATGCCTGTTCACACCAAGTCTGAAAAAAACGTAACTAATATATATTTAATAAATAAGAAAATAAAATTGGATTAACAGCATTAGTTAAAAAATATTGAAAATGGTAAAATGATGGCTAGAAGGTCAAGGCCCAATCCCAATTCTACCCCTTAGCCCTTTCCCTTAATCAATTCTCTTTAGCTTAAAGGTGTAAGGCTACGGGGAAGGGCTAGATACCCCTCGAAACAGATTTTTCAGGACCACTCTTGATACCAAGGAGTACAAAAATTTCCCAAAATACACAATCTGCAATGGCAGCATGGCTGCACACGGAAGTCAGGAGATGCACAAACTAGTATTTTTTTGACATTATTATGAATTTTTACAAAAAACGAGCACATGTTTTAATACGTTCATAGCCGCATTCGTGTTTTACCATCATTCTTTGAAAAATTGCAAAAATAAAAACCACTAAATTTCGTGATCTATATTCCCTAATAATAACCAGTGTACTGCAGTCCTACAACATTCTGACATTCGATAACACTGGATTACCCGGTCAGGGAGGTCCAGTGGCTGGGAATGAGATCTTACAGTGTCTGCTATAATGTTAATGTTGTTTTCGTGTGTTTAAATAGATGAATATGGCCACAGAGTAAATGCACAGTACAGTTATGTCTGTGTATCTTTTTACCACATTATATTGATATGACAACATGATATTGCTGCCTTCAGTGATTTCCTGAAAATAAATACCAACTGGAATAACTACAGCAGTCGTGATCGTTGATCTCATATGAAGCAAGAGATCGTGATTACATATGATGACATGTGCAGGTGTTGTAGTGCTGTCCTATTTTTTGGGGGGTAAATTTTGAAGCCCTTCCCCTTCACACTCCGTTTTAAGGCTCATGGGATAGGGGTGCAAATATAGAATTGGGATTGGGCATAATATTGCTCAAAGGAAGGAAAGTTTCCAAAAACCTTTAAACAATGGCGTATGGAACTTTTACACCACTTGACCTTTGAAAAAAAAATTATATACTCTAAGTAGTGGTACTGATATATTTTTTCTCAACCCGTTTTAGATCACAAAAAGAAAATGGAAACCTTTTACTTAATATCATTAATTATTTATGTTTTATTTTTATATTATTCATGTTTTATAGAACCTAAATGTGTGTGTGGGACGGGTTTTGTTTGCTTGTTTGTACTGCATGTTTCAAGTTTTAACATGTTCAATGCAAATACTTTTAAGAACATTATAAAATGAAATGTACAACAAAACTAAATACAATAGTATGGGGAATCTAGAAAAAGATCTGAAAAAACTAAACAAAAAATTCTGTATTACTGCAGGCAAAAAACAAAAATAATTATAATCAACATTGAGGAAAAACAGGGTCATGAAGCACCTGAAGAGAGTGTCAAGGCAACAGTAGGGGTGTAATGGATCAAGTGATTTGTACAGATCACAATCCACGGTTCGGGACACATGTGGTTTGCGGATTAATACAGAATCATCCTTAATTTGTAATGATTGCAGAGAGATTGTCTCTCGCGTCATTCAAATAACATGTATGAAAACATTTGAAATCTAAAAACACAAAAATCAAGAGAGAGATTCAGTCTTTAGTCTTAGTTAGTTATGAACTTACAAACAGTCAAATAGCACAGAAGTACTGGGATAACAGTTTATAATTTAGATAAAACCACTGATGTTTATGGTAAAGATTAAAATCACAGTCATTTGCATTTAAATTGACGCTCAAAAATGAAAGTTGTAGGCAGCCCTTACATTGTTTAGCCAATAGGTGGCAACAACCAGATATGGAAAATATGCCGCTTTATAATTCCTTAAAAATGACACGTCTAGTAATGAAATGTGAAGTTTTATGAGTAAATAACTGAATCATTTATTAAAAATGAGACTAAAAATAAATATGGGTTGTACCGATTGTTACATTTTTACATTTAGTGTTATCAGTAACAGTAGTACAGCTGTAACAGAATTTTTCACATTACTGAATATTCTTACAATTTATTTTTATTCATCTGAGTATTTCTTCATTATATTTTTAATTAAATTACAGGTTCTACATTTTGTTTGTTAAAACCAAGTGTCTTGCAGTGCTGTTTTTGTAATAAATAAAAGCAAATGACATTTGTCTCCTCCCCTATTTGGCTGATGCAAGTAATGGTCTGATTCGTGACAAAAAAAAAAAACATTATGTGATCCGAACCAGGAGATTTGTGATCTGTTACACCACTAGAAAATAGGATGATATTTCAAATTATTAATTAAATAAATTAATTAATTACATTAAATTTTAAAAATGGACTTGGTGCCAATGGGCTTTTGGTCTCAATATGCTATAAAACCAGATATCAGATGCATGTTGAGTCAGTACCAAGGTTAACCACATTCTTGGCCCAAAAGGTTGGGTCACAGAAGAAGCGAACTGCTCCATTAGCTGGAGGTACTGCATCCACACGGGCCTTCATAATCAGACGCAGCTGGTACGTGATCTACAGTGCCAAAAACAAAAGAGAAACACAAAGGAAAGAATAATCAACAATAGCAATGTTGTTTGTCATTTCAGTAATTGAACTAAACAAGGATCCGACTCAGATTAAACAACATGATTTCAAATACAGCAACGTGTGTGAAATAATGAACACAGCATTTGTAATTGCTGACAGGTGGAGTTCCAGTACATGAGACGCATTGGTGAATATTAGGGAATCTTGTTTTTATGAGAGTTGGAAGCATGGCTGACCAGTCTCTTGCTGTAGAGCAGGGCAGTGCTGCTGCCGTTAGTGATGGCCCAGTTGGTGAAGTTGAGCACATGGATGATCTGCTGGGCCAGAACACTGATGTCCCTCTGTTGGCTCAGCAGCTTCATGCTCCTGTCTTTGGTCACACTCTGTAGATGGAGGAAATCAAGAGGAACAAGAAGAACATTAGGAATGACTCAAAAAAAAAAAAAAAAAAAAAACTAATTGGTCTTCAAAATAGATTTAGTTTTTCTTTAAAAAATATATATTTAATTTATTTTTAAGTTCAAGTTTTAGTTACCCTGAGGCTTAATTTAATATAAATATATAGATAGCTGACAAACGGGAAGAGCTTGGTGTCGCAGACAAAAGTGGGGGTGGGGGTCACGGACTAAAGTAAAGAGCTGGAGGGGGGGTTGAAGAGTGTGGTGGGGGATCAGGAAAGTAATAAGGGGGGTAGGGAGAAGGGGTTTCGCGGACAAAAATGAAGGGTGGGAGGTGTCAATGATTCATCTATCATCTATCCATCCATCCATCCATTTATCTATCCATCTATAACCTATCCATTTATCATCTATCCATCTGTCCGTCCATCCATCTATCTAACTATAATAATATTGACCATAGCAGTTTTTAGTTTATTTTTATTCCAACCAAACTAAAATAAACAAGACTTTCTCCAGAATAATAAAAAACAGAAAATACTGACATATTTTTCATGTTCTATTAAAAATCACCAAATAATAAATAAAATAAAATAAAAAGAGGGCTAATAATAGTGTCTTCAGCTGTATACAGAATTACATTTTTCTAGATTCCAATTAAACAAAATGTCATTTTTTCTGGATAATTTTTTTTTAAATGAAAGAAACAATAAAGGAACAACATACAATAATTTATCATTAAATACAAAAATTATTACAGAAATATTACATATTTAATTGACTTCCATAGACCAAATGTTTGTGTGGAACCGCAGGACTGACCACATTTCTGCGGCGCGGGAATACATTTTTCGAATAAAGTGCAGGAGCGGTCGGTAACTGGTTTAATTTTGGAAGGGAGCGGGCCATCTAGCAAAATCGCTGTACTCTGTATAGCTTGTTAGCGGGAATGGGTGCAGCGGGTAGAAAACTGGGCGGGTCAGGCAGCGGGACAAAAAATGCTGAATATAAGCGGGAGCGGTCATGTTCGGGGTAAAACCTGGCGGGAGCGGGATTGGGATTCAAAATTTAGTCCCGCGCAGATCTCGTGCGTTTCATGCAATTTTGGGTGTTTTATTTATTTATTTTATTTTTATTTATTTTTTTCAATTTAACTGCAGTTCAGCAGTTTTACTTTTATTTCCTTCATGCCCCCAGAGGTATTGGAAGTAAGCATGAAGTACAAACTGGTCTGGGAGTGTTGTTTTAATGGAAATTGACACCTCACACCCAATGAAAAAATGAAACCCTCCACATTTCACAATGTGTGTGTCTGTGATCCTCTACTGACCCAGTGCGTGCAGAGAATGGTGTCAAACAGCCATGTGTGTATAGAATATCCTGTCGCAAAATACAGCGGAAAGCCCTACATGATGGTAATAGTTTGATTGCGGTGTTTACATGTTCTTACTGCACTTCAATAATGTGAGTGAAATCGGCATACTCCACAAGTCTTAATTAGATTTCTGTTTAGTTCACTTATGATTTAAGCCAGATTAAGCCAATTAAAAACCGCTGTTTACATGGCAGACTCTTAATCAGAATATTGTCTTCAGTGCATTAAAATCGGATTAATGGTGTCAATGTAAATGTACCCAATGTATATGTTAATGTTTTAAATAAGCTCCAGTTGCAAACTCTGCATATACTCTGCATATAGTATCTGTGAACATGGCCTGTTTTGCTTTCACTTAACTTGAGGAGCAGCTTTATCAGTCATGAGACGACTGAAAATTCTCTGGCAATATAACATAATTAAACACAGTGCCACCAGCAGGGATCATTCATCACACTGTGGTGTGAATTGCAGTCAGAGGCGTCGACTGGTCTTAATTTGGGTTAAACCCTAATGAACGCTGTTGTAGGTGTCGGACAACAGCTCTGAATGTCAATTTACATTTTTCACTTTTAGCCACTTTTATTTAGCCTTTCTAAACCCATCCGTCTCATTGTCGAAAAATCATCCTTGAGTGTCATCCTTATCCTTCAGATGCTGAATATCTCATGGAGGGGTAAATTCTGTCCTTAAGAATTCATTAATAAACTGCTGTTCTTTCATTCATTCTTGCAATTGCAGTTTTTCTCCAAATAACACCATCAGTAATGCTTCCCCGCAGCAGTTCACAAGCATGGCAAGTGACAAAACTCACACTGAGTGGTTACTATAAAAACTTAACCTTGTTTTCACTGGGTCTTAACATGCGATAAGAAATCCAATTAACATTGGGATACAAAATCCATCTCGGCTGACCATTTGTGATCGGATCACCAGAGACTGATCTGCTATCCCAATACATTTACTAGATGCATGCTAATGAGGCTTCAATATGCTTTTGACGCTTAAAAACTTGCAATAGTGCTGTTGTTTGAGCAATCAACAAAGACTTACTAAGTAGTGTTACAAAAGAAACGAGTCACTCAAAAAGGGAGTCATTCAGTATATTAGTAATCACTGTTTTTAAAATCCTTCAGGAATGTACACCTCCCAACCCCCCTAAATTTAAATCTAAGTTGGGCTGGGCACGCACGAGATAATAAAGCTGATTTTGAGCTTATTTCTCTCGTTATGAAAATCCTAGGCAATTCCTGTGGTGTGAGGCGTGTTAAGAGTGACTTATTTTGTTCAAAATCTAAGATATGCTTAATATTTACCATCAGAAACCCCAAAAACAAATTCACATATTAGCTAAAGATTATCATGTCAAATGAAACCACATCTAATCAGCAAGTAAGCTGACAGAAGACTTAATAAACACAATCATGGTGCAGCACAAAGTGAAACGGATGTGGACAGCAGAGATGGAGGATCAGCTTGTCGATTTGAGGCAACAGCACAAATGCGTTTTCATTTATTCGTTCACAATGTTTACTATTTAGTCTCCAGAGATTTTGTGAGATTTGCTGTGTTCACATGCAAGACTGGTGTTGGGTTGGTTGGTGTACATAAATGGTTTGTGTTGGGTATGTGCGATTAATATAGTTACTGTTATTACCTTCATTATTATTATTATTATTATCACTGCTACCCTCATCACAAATAATACTTTCATCATCACCAACTTTAGTATTACTATTGATATTTTTTTGATTATTATCGACTATGAATGGTTACTGAAGCCAAGCAGGCTGAGGCTGGTCAGTACCCGAATGGGAGACCACAGGAGAAAAACTTGATTGTGGTTGGAAGTGGTGTTAGTGAGGCCAGCAGGGGCAGCGCAACCTGTGGTCTGTGTGAGTCCTAATGCCCAAGTACAGTGAAGAGGACACTATACTATCAGTGAGTGCTGTCTTTCAGATGAGACATTAAACCGAGGTCCTGGTCTTTAAAAATCCCATGCCACGTCTCGTAAATAGTACGGGTGTAACCCCGGTGTCTTGTCCAAATGCCCTCCATCGGCCCTTACCATCATGGCTTCCCAATCATCCCCATCCACCAAATTGGCAATAGCTGGTGTGTGGTGAGTGCACTGGTGCCGTTGTCCTGTGGCTACCGTCGCATCATCCCTCATGGTTGTGAAGCGCTTTGGGTGTATTGTCATACACAATAATTGCGCAAAATAAATACACATTACATTACATCAGGGTTTTTCAAAGTCTAAGACAGTGGGCCTCCCTTTTGACACAACTTATCCATTGGCGCCCCCCTCCTCCCAAATACCCACGCACACACGCGCACACACACACACAAAAAATTCTGGAGGTTTTCCTGCTACCTCATCATGCTTGGTTTCAAGGTGTCGCCGAAGTTTAGCGTGTCTCATGCTGTCATTAGCCAAAATATCTTGACAAACCACACATAAAGGTCGTGGTTCATCAGCTACGTTTTGTAGTGTTTTTTATGAAAAAATAAAAACTAATTGAACAGCATTAACAACTTTATTTTATCATTACATTTTCAATGTAAAATAAAGCAAAACCAGTATTTTTTTTCCTGTAAAAATGTTAAATGGTTTAAAGGAAAATGACTCTCAGTTTTTAACCATTCTTCTGGAGAAAAATAAACATAATTGCCTTTTCTGGCAGAAGGCGGGGTCTTTCTTGGTTTACTGTGCTCCCTGCAGTTGAAAATACCCTCTGTGAGTTCCGAAAAGCAGTTAAATAATCAGATATTTAGATTTTTCATTACCACATTCACATTAATGAGTTAACAGTGTTTTGGGAGTTAACCGTCTTGCAATGTAACAAGCTGTTTTTTATACATGTTTATATGTTTTAACTGATGTAAAAGCATTTTTAATGTTTAAGATTTATCTAGGCTACTGCAAAAACATACTGTTTTCATTGTAACCGGATGTTTATTAAACTATTAATGTTATACTAATTTAGGTGATTAACTGTTGGCATAACGTGGATGATGTAAAGTTACCGTTAGTAGCTAGGCAGTCAAAACTCTGCATCACAGTTAATGCACTTTTGAAAGATACTTTCACTTTGTCAAATTGCTTGCATTTCCGCTAATACAAGAAAACAACTTGTTGCAACAGGCATTGTCGCTGTCCAGGAAATACAACTGGTTTGTTCACTGCGCAAACTTGAGAGCTTTGTGAGCGCGAGTCTGTGTCACAAGCTATGTGTGTGCGCTTAGCGCGAGCCTCGGCTGAATGCGTGTCCACAGCCAAGAACTGTGAAGGCTTTTATACTGGACGCGCTCGACGAAAACACAAGCATTTCTCATGATTGCCAACTGTGTGGACGAATATCCAATATCGTAAATTAGAAAAGGTTGGTCAGTTAAATTATGCTACTGTAAGTAATGTTTGTTCAGCAATAATTCTTCAGTACCGATAGCAGAACCGTTAACTTCAGAGCTTATTGATCCTTCTGTCTTTTATAATGTAGCACCAAAAAAAAACTTTGTTTAATGTGCTTGATAAACAACATCTAATATTGGGCTTTCTGCATGCAAGCTCATCAAGGTTACATTTTCAGAAAAAATATATCTAGAATATAAACTGACAAGGCTTTTAAACGTAGACGTTTGTATGGTTTTGCAATGAGAATCCGAAGCACAAGCTGTAAAGTCACCACCCACTTCTGAAAACGGGGGTGGGGAACAGCAGCTTATTTGCATTTAAAGAAATACAAGACAATTCACCTTATTCTCCGCTGACGAGCAGGCGCTGCCATTTGAATCTCTTTGGCTTGAGACTTCCGGTCTCATTCACTTCCATTCATTTTTTTGACGTTTAAAACTGCTCGATACACTGCTTGATGTTGCAATTTGATATTTTCTTATTATATTATTCTACTTGTTCTGTATAGTCATGCAAACATTTGTTTGTAGAGCAAGTAGTTTGACCGTTTTCTGCCGTTTATTATTCCTAGTCATTTCTCCCATAGGCGACTGAATCGAAAGTTCTAAGACAATCACGAAAACAAGCGCACTTCCGCATTTTAGAATAAGGTCAATAGAACAAAAATATATACATTTACATCATGCAATAAAAAATGATCCATGAGGTATTTAGAGCTAAATGTCAAGAGATATTCTAGGGACGCCAGAGAGTTTGTAAAATGAGGCACGCATTCACCATTAAATGTGACACGCTCATTATTTTTTACTTGTGCAGTTGTATTAACTGAACTTTGGACCTACAAGCTTCATATGATCTCTATTTATTCATTTAGCAGATGCTTTCATCTATATTGAATTATTTGTGCCGCTGCATGTTGATTTTCTTCTCTCTTTTTTGGTGGATTGTATATTTTAAAGTTGTATCATACATTTTATTGTAATGGTTGATCAGTGGTTGATCACTTTAATGCATTTTTCCACACATACATGTGAAACTTACCTCCAACTGCTGCAGCAGAGATTTCCCCTTCTTGTTGATTTCATTGATAAGAGTAAAGACTGCTATCTTTATCTCATGTTCCACCTTCTTATGCGTCTCAGCAACTTCTTTGAGTCTAATGTGAACAAAAAGACATTGAAGTAGTGCACATAAATTCTGCCAGGCAATTTAATTATATTTCTTTGTTACATAAAACAAGATTTATAAGACGTGGTAATCAAATTTGAACGTCATCTACTATTAAACTAAAGCAACAGAAGTCCTACCTTTTTTGCACTTCAGATGCAGAGTACTCCACTAAGCCTCTCTTCTCCTGTAACTTAGTCATGAATGTCGCAATGATGCCTTTCTGGTTTTGACAGGCTTCATCTAGAAACTGGTACCTGTGAAAAGAGGTGGTGGTGATTGAGATTAAAAATATTTTTTGGGGTACTTTTGTGTTATTGTTTTTTTAGAGGTACTAACTGTATGGAAAGTACAGAAATAACGGCCATTCTAGTTATTTTTGTACACTGATATTTTGATCTGGTGATTATTGCTTTAGGTAATAATTTTGATTATCATTATTACAATATTGCAAAAGTCCTAAATTTGTGTCATAAATTCTTCAGGGTGAACCAGAGTTGCATTTTGACTTTTTATTATGACAATGTTATAATCCCAATTTTATTTTTGTAAAGAAAAAATGGTCTCCCCTTGGCCCTTGAAACAGAGTGAGATGGTGAAAGGCTTCAAAATGTTATCCGTAAAAAAATAGGACAGCACTACAATCAAGGGGAAGGGCTAAGGGATAGAATCAGGATTGGGCCATAAGTGTCAATTTAAAAATAAAAACTGATCTATCTATTATCTGAAAGCTGAATAAATATGCTTTCCATTGATGTTAGAATAAGACAATATTTGGCTGAGATACAACTATTGAAACCTGGAATCTGAGGCTTCCAAAAAAATCTAAAATAATTAAAGAAGAAAATCTCCTTTAAAGTTGTCCGAATTTTCTAAAAGTTGTCCAAAGTTCTTAGCAATGCATTTTACTAATTAAAAAATACATTTTGATATATTTATAGTAAAAAAATTATTTTTGGCTACTTCCTAAAATATACCTATATAAAAAGACACAAGAACATATCATAATTTGTATGTGTGCAGTCCTACTTTTGATTTATTCAGCTAGAATTTGCCAAATTATGTGACATTTTCTTTTCCCAGTGATGGGTTGCAGCTGGAAGGGCATCCACAGCGTAAAACATATGCGGGATAAGTTGGTGGTTCATTCTGCTGTGGTGACCTCAGATTAATAAGGGGTCTAAGCCGAAAAGAAAATGAATGAATGAATGTGACATTTTCTGCGTTGTAAAGTAAATCACTTTTTAATGACTGGATTCTGCCTTTTCCACATCACTGAAATCAAAGGACAAAAGAAATTTCTGGTCATCTATTCCTTTAATGTGATGTTTAATTCGAGGTACCTAAAGTCAATTTAATATTCTTGCTTAAAAATCCCTTCATGCAATGCCAGGTGATTAACTACAGTGCAGATGAAGATGATTATTATTATGATGATGATGATGATGTTGTTGTGTGTAAAGTGTAAACAGTGCTGTCCGGCTGACCTGTGTTCTTTGTGTTCAAGTAGCTGGCAGTCTCTGCAGGTCAGAGTGTCGCAGGTCTCACAGAAGAGCTTGAGGGCCTCTTGTTTGTGTACCGGACAGAAAACTGGTCTCTGGCCTGATGTCCCAACAGACTCTACAACACACAACCAATCAAATGCACGTTGTTTCGATTACTTCTCCCTGCTGTACTTTATTCTCACAGTCTACGACTCCCATATGTTCTCATATGCCCCTTGCCAAACTCTATCGAAATGAGGAAAACTAAGTGGGTTAGCTTTAATGAAAACAGTACAGGCCGAGCAAGCGACTCTCTCTAAAACTCTGCCTGTTGCCATAGCAACTGTACTACGGTACTGCCTGCTTAATGCGAAAAACAGACACTCCGTACACAGTTGCAGAAAGATCCAAACGTCAACCGCGCCACTAGAGCAAAGCAAAGTCATAACGAAAACGATCATATCGTAACTGCCTTGCAAATAAAAGCAGATTAATATGCAAATTAATTAGTTTATGGCACATACCAGGAGACACTTCCTCTTTTTTGCGTATTTTATGGTCCTTGGTAAATTTGACCCTTTGGTGCGCTTCGATGCAAGTTTTGCAGAGCCACTCTCCACATTCAACGCAGAATCCAATAGCACTGGCATTATCTTCACAGCTGGTGCACACCTGTTATGGAGAAAAGAAAGTAAGACATTTCTTAAATTAGGGTTTCTACAGGGTTCATCAAGTCAATTTTAAGACTAATTTAAAAAGACCATTTTAATGCAATAATAAATACATTTCAGACATACACAAGGCTAAACGCCAAATATATTTTTAATAGCCAAGTTAAAACTTTGAAAAACAAATGTTATTGTAAGGAAGATAATCAAAACATATTCATATGTGAATAGAGTTAATAAATAAACGTTTCTTAAAACTTTTATGAAAATATATTACTAGTGATTGGATGGGTGTTGGCCTAATTGGGTATAGCTTTACATGGACATAGGAACATTAGGACCCATTTAAAATGGTTTAAGATTTACAACACATTATTTCAAAGGATTTAAGACTTTTTTGAGCTGTTTCCACTGAGTGGTACAGTCCGGTACAGTTTGGTTCGGTTCAGTACGCTTATGGCAGTTTCCACTAGACGCACAACTGAAAGCTATTGGTTTACAGAGATAAGTCAGTCGCTCGTACAACAAGCAGAATAAAAATAAAGAAAGCACCATGTTTTAAATACACAGCAGAGACATTACACCGTAATAATATATACATACAATAACGAGCAATGGTCAACCGAACTCAAACAAACCTTTTTATCTTGAGGAACAGCCACAAAGCCAAGAAGAAGAGCAGAATCTACCCTGTAATCTGTGCCTGTAGTTTTTTTACAAGGCCCTTTAAGCAGAATCTACCCCGTAACCTTTGCCCCATAGTTTTTTTAACAAGGCCGTCCAAGCAGAATCTACCCCAAAATCAGTGCCCCATAGTTTTTTACAAGGCCGTCTAAAGTGCGATCGGTTTCGCTTTCTTGCTTGAGTTTGCCATGGGTCTATATTTGAAATAACAAACTTCTGGAGCTGATCATAATAACGCGCGAGAGATTATTGAAGTGCTTCAGACACATGATCCTTTCAGAAACAAACAAATGCAAGACTGCATGCGAAAAAACAAATAAGAAGTTTAAAAAGCAAAGGATTCTTTTAACCTAAAACATAAACAAACTGCCATGCTTAACTATTATCATCACCTTATGGACTATTATGACCTCGGAATGACGGAATTACTCTCTAAAAAGAGGTTACATGTGCTGGTGAAGATTAAAGATACAGATGAGAGGTTTGCACTGACTGTGAGCCATATGTTGCATGTTGTTTTTGAACCCAAAAAAATAACTAAATGTATGCTGCGTGTAGTTTTTCTGTAATTGATAACATATCGGAGACTGTAAGGGTCACAGACGTTACAGTAGGCTACTTTGCATCATTGATCGGCAGTTATAATTTTTACTTTGACATTTTCGTGAGCGAAAATGACGTCGACTGAAACTTTCTGTTGTACACCACACCCACCAAAAGAGTACCATTGATTTTGTAATGGAAACGCAAGCCTGAAAAAGGTGACCCGTACTGCACCACTAAAGAGAAGGGGTCATTAAGGACCCTGCAGATACCCTTTAAGAAATGACTAGAGGACTTATTTTTTGGTTTAAAGTCAAAAGCTGAAGCATAACAATGTTTAAGCTAATAAAACAAAATAGTATCTAAAGGAGTAAACAGTAGTTTAAAACATGCTGATCATTGCTTGAACTAACAAAACAAACATTGCTTGAATAAACGAATCTGCACTATTCATACACACAGAAAAAATTAAAACATCATGTGACCCTGGACAACAAAAAACAAGCATAAGCCTCAATTTTTCAATTTTACTTAAAGTATTTTTCCTACAAGACAAGAAGTGTGAAATTTCACTTACAGGATGCTCAATTTACTTCTAATTTTAAAGCAATGTTAAAAATGATCCTGCAATTTTTAGCGTCTGACCTGTGTCGAGTTCTCCACTGACGTGTTTGTGGCCTCTGAAGTGTCCTTGACGAAGTAATTGTCCACCATGTCAATCTGTTTGTAGTCCTGATGGCACACCGTACAACGCATGACGTTCACTGCACAGAGACAAACAAAAAAAAAAACACAGAGAGACAGAGTTAGCAAAGTCTGGAAACAAACAGCTCAATTCAATTCACGTTTATTTCTATAGCGGTTTTACAAGGTAGATTGTGTCAAACCAGCTTAACATAGAAGTTCTAGAAAATCAAACTGTGTCAGTCCAGTTTTCAGAGTTGAAGTTCAGTTTCGTTCAGTTTAATGTGGTTTATTTTCACTGCTAGAAGTCCAAACACTGAAGAGCAGATGCTTGAGAGACATTCCTACATTTTTAGTACAACAAACATGAAGCTGTAAAAAATACCTAGAATATGATATATATTAATAAAAATGTAATATAATTCTTATATAAATATGCAAATCCAGTGTAGTGCTGTCAAAATGTGAATCGCTGCTAAAATAAAGTATTTGTATAAGGGCTGAACAATGTCTCATTTGAGCATCGATATTGCAATGTGTGTATCTGCAATAGTCACATCACAAAATTTGATGCTTATTAAAGAATAAAAGATTTAATTGAAAGATTTGAAATGATTTATATAACGATGACCATGTGATTTTACGTTTCATTGTCCTTGATTACACTGATTACACTTCATTCAAACTGCCCAGTAAACCATAAAGCTCTGTTTATTTAACTTTTATTTAGGCTCTTTCGTATTTAAATGTGCTTGCAATTTATTATATTTTATGCCGATACACTGCATAGAAAAAGATTTGATTATCCCAGTTGATCTAAATCAGGGGTGCCCAAACTACAACTCCAGATTAGCTCCAACTTTCTTCAACACACCTGCCTGGAGGGTTCAAGTATACCTAGAGAGAGCTTGATTAGCTGGTTCAGGTTTGTTTAACTGGGGCTGAAACAAAAATATGCAGAACAGCGGCCCTCCAGGACTGAGTTTGGACACTCCCTAAATGATTGAAATCTGCCCGAATAGAGCAGTTAAAATCATCTGGTGGTATTATATTCATATCGCAATAGATATCGCAGCAAAACAAAATATTGCAATGTCAGATTTTTCCAATATCGTGCAGATCTAGTTTGTATTTATATATGTAAATGCTGTGTATATTTATTATGCATATATAAACACACATACATAAAAACAAATAAATGAAACAACAACATTTATATTTTTATATATTTATATGTAATTTGTATTATATATAAATAATAGGGCTGGATGATATTGGAAAAATCTGGCATTGGGATATTTTGTTTTGCTGCAATATACCCTGTTAAAAAAATAAACGGAACACTTAAACCATACAATGCAACTCCAAGTGTTCCTTTTTTTTTTTAACAGTATATATCTCAATTAGAATATGAAATGATTTGTATAGCTCTTTTTGGAAAGATTCAATTAATTTGGGTGGACTGAAATGATCAAGTCTTTTTCTATGCAGTGCATTCGCATAAATTACAATAAATTACAAGCAAAATTAAATAAATAAACAGCGCTTTGGTTTTCTAGGGTGTCCAACAGTAATCAAGCAGTGTAAATTACTATCATTGTATGAGTAATAATAAATTATAATATCTTATACCAATCTAATCCATGTGATTATTGCAGACACAAACTGTGCTCGGCATAATAGAGTACATTCCATTTAAAAAAATCCATTTCTCAGTGAATATGGGTAATATATATTAGTGCATTTGAGCAAAACAGATCAATTCAACAGATATATTTATTAAAATAATATTTAAGTCACAGCACATCTTTAGAAATTGAAAATTAATACATTTAAAATCATGCAAAATATTGTTTAAAAATTACAAACTACAACATTGATAAAATTACTTATATTATTTTTGTTCCTCTTGATTTTTGCTTTTTGTGAAAACTTTTTTTCTATTAAATCTATTTATTTAATATTCTATAACATATAAAGTTGGGTGTACTAGTTTTTGGACCGTTATCATAAGTTATTTTGCTAGATAAGCTCCAGATTTGGCTTCAGTACTGACTAAACTAATATATATGCACAAAGATAATATATTGTATAGCTTCCTATAGAAAATATTTATTTTAATGAGAGATTTGTGGGGGGTGTACTCATGTGTGCTGAGCACTTTAAATTGCGATATCAATGCTCATTGCTCAAACAATTGTTTAACAAAAAAAAGCCCTAATAAATAATGTAAACATATGTAAATATTTGATCGAATACATGTAAGCATTTATATATGAATATATGTCAAATGTACGCAGTACACACATTATGCACCTCTTATTCTGTATGTGATTGATTACTCATAACTTTTTGCAGCACTAGTCCAGTGAATGCTTGGTTGGCAAGAGAATAAAGTTATTTTCCTTATAACTAGGCCCACACGGAATCTGTGTGCGCAGAAATGCACAGATTTTCAGCCCATCGTTAAGTCTATTTATTAGTTGTGTGTAAATGTAAGTTTATATTTATTCAGTTTGTAAATCAGTTTCAGTAATATTACAGACAAATATGAAAATGTTCATATGATTTACTTAAAATACAGTTAGTAAAGTAAAACTTTCTGTCTTTTAGTAGATATATGGTAGATACATTATATGAGAGACTTGCTTTGTTACCAAATAAATGGATCTAATAGGATTTGCATTGTAAAAATTCAATAAAAGTTTCAAATGTATTATTTTTTATTTAACATATTACCTTTTTCGTTACGATACACCCAAAATCATTTCCGCAAAAAAATCTTCTTCTTTTTTTTTTAAATATTCTGCACATAAATAGCAAAAAATGTCTGCAGATTCTGTCTGGCCCTACTTATATAATATGCTAAAAACATCAACTAGCGGATGTGCATAACTAGCTGTTAGAGGTCAGGATTAATTACACTCTCAGAAATAAAGGTATGCGAGCTGTCACTGGGGTGGTATGTTTTCTAAAGGTACAAATTTGTACCTAAAAGGTCTATATTAAAACCTCAAGGGTACATATTAGTACCTAAAAGTACAAAAGTGTTCCTCTTAAATTTTTTAGGTACTAATTAATACTTTTGAGGTACTAATATGGACCCTTTAAGTACTAATGTGTACCTTTTAAAAAGGTACCACACCAGTGACAACTCGCATACCTTTATTTCTGAGAGTGTAGGCTGATTTCAAGTTCACAACACCCAGATCAAATACATCTCTCAGGGATGCTTAGAAGACATATTTCATCTTTATTAAAAGTCAATTATGTAATCAAGCATGTGGACAATCATGCCACACGCAACAGAAACGTGTTGACATTTTGATAACATCTTAAAATAAATGTCCCAGGACAGACCAAATATAAAAATGTGAATGGGTGGTTTATTTCTGCCACAATGTTAACAAATCAAGTTTTAAAAAAATGCAAATTAATGTGATTTCTCGGATCAAAGACTATCTCCAGCCATAAACCTGGAATATTTAGTCATTTTAATTCCATTATGTGAAAAAAGCAAGGCAGAGCGCGCAAAAAAACCCTCATACAGAAATGCAAAGTAATGAAGGCTTATTCTGCATTTAATATCCAAAAAGGAATTAAGATTATTCAATAATTCATAGGTTTTTATTCGCGGTTATTGCTGTAGAAGCTACGAATCTGCTATTTGTGTGCGTCACACTGCAGCATTTCACCACAAATAATGATCTATTCATAAAACTAATTTAATTCCATCTTAATTTAATTTGAAAACACATTGAGTGATTGGATGGAGCCCTCCCCCATTCATCACACGCTACAACCCCCCAACCTCATTTCCCTGACAGACCATCAATTCCCCCACAAAGCCACAGCTAGATCTAGTCCAAGCCGGTTTGAGCCAGTTTGCACCGGCTCGTACTGCTTTCAGCCAGTTTCCTCTAAGCACCCAGCTGCAAAACCCTGCTGATGATTGGCTAGTGGGAGCAGCTGGAGAGAGACACTGCACTGAAGCACACTGCAACCCACAGCTGAGTTACTCTGGGCTGATATTAACTGGAAGCAGTGATGCATTGCCTGAGGCACATCTATTCCACAACACATCACGTGAAGAGTCCTGTAATGCAATCAAAATGCCTTTATTCAAGCCAAGCACCATCCTTAACATTTACATTTCAATTCTGACTGACTTTTTAAACTCAGTCGGACTCAATTCACAAGTTTTAAACATGAAGCTTTTTGATGAACACGCTATGCATGTTCAATCAAACAAACAGATGGTTACAGTCAAGCTGAGAATAACAGTTTGACAACCACTCTAGCTAGTCAACATGTTTTAGTACAGCACTAGGCCTGTTTAGATACAGCATGTGTCATGCATAGTTTTAGTCTGGTTAGCGTGATGAATCACACTGGTAAACTTTGAGTTACCTCCCTGTGAGCTCTAATTAAATGTCTATGACATGCCCAAAACAAACCCAGCAATAAACAAACCCTTCAATTACTGATACAAAAAATGGCAACTACACAATCAAATAACATAGCTGGAGTATAGAGCATCATTCATCTTAAACAAATAATCATGCAATTAAAAGAATCACCAACATGCATTTAACTTTTCCAAATTACAGATCATATACTTTGTTATATTTCGTTGTTATTTTTTTCAATTTTGTTATCAAGAGATAATTTTTGCATTCTTAATGCAAGTTTGTTGGAAAAAATGCAGAAGTTAAAAAGCCTTTCTTACAATAAAAAAATGTAATGGGTTGAAATAAACAGATGCAGAATAACTGCAGCTGCACACCACTAGGGCTGCACAATATATCACTTTAGCATCAATATCGCCATGTGTGCATGCACAATATTTACATTGCAGGATCTGTAATGTGGAGCCAGGATTAAAGTTGACCATGTACGTACAATTGTGGAGTCGTTTCATTTTAACCAAAAAAACTTGAAAGTATATTAGTTTTGTGTGTTTTAAGGCCCGTGACTGTAAACATTTGAAATTAGCTTAAAGCATTTGGGCGCAAGGAATTATTATTGCATTTGGTAGCTTTAACAAAAGATACATTTATTTAATAATTTATATAATGAA